CCGGTCGTCGGCACGGCGCCCAGTTCCGCCATCACGCCGGTCGTCGGCACGGCGCCCAGCCCCGCCGCCACGCCAGCCGCCAGCACGTCCCTGATCGCCGCAGAAGGCTCGAAGGAGAGAAGCAGATGCCGGCCTATGGAGACTCAGATGTACGTGCGCCTGGTCAAGGACGCAGTCGGTGGCGAAGCCGATCCTCGGAACTGGCAACCGGTGCGAGCGCCAGACGGGCTGCTCTTTTGTTGCCCAGACGGTGGCTGGCACGACTTTGCGAAGAGGAAGGGGACGTACCCGGAGCCATGGAGCTTCGAAAACTCGAAGATCTACTGGCAGCTGCAGGCTCTGCGCCAGATCCTCATCTTCGCGACGCACCCGCCAACGGACGCGGCAGTCAGCGCGTTTGCTCGCATCACGAGCGAACCGACGTTCCGCGTCTTTCGCGACGAGCTGATCGCCGTCGGGGCCCTGAAAAGAGGAAAGGGCGGAAGCAAGGGGGAGGTCCCTCCCAGCCCAAAAGAGCGAGGAGAAGCCATCATCGGACTGGCACGGCTCGCCAAACCGCAGGTCGTCGAGGCGCGGCTCCTCAAGCTCGGAGGGCCAAAAGAGTCAGCCTTCATATCGCAGGTCAAAGGCGACAAGCATCCGTATATCGCTTGCCTCCCGGAGCCGCCTTCCCCACAAGGTCAGAGCACCATCCCGGGAAGCTGGGAGCTGGGCACGCCCAGCGGGGATCGCGCCCGTGCCCAAATCGGGCAGCTGCGACCCGCCATCGTGTCATCATCGGATGCGAAGGAGCTTCTCCTATACTCCTGGACCCGTTTCCAGATGATCCATTACATTCGCGCAGCGTTCGCCGCCTCGAACGAGAAGATCCGTTCCCCGATGTGAGTACCCAGGCTTGCCGTGCATGGTGTGACGTCGACTCCGCTGTACCTGTGGCTGACCCTCGCTTCTGCTTGCCTTTACAGGGACCATATTCTCGTGTCGGAATGCGCCACGATCCTCGTCGAAGTCATCAAGATGCAGAAGGAGCCGTGGCTCCTCAGGCTGGACGACGTCCGTCCAACCGGAGCGCTCAAGGGGTACGACCGACAAGTCGAGGTGATAGTCAAGAACCTCAGAGACCCTCGCCTCAAAGGTCTATGCAAGTGCGGCCGCGCTCTCCAGGAAGGCATCTGTCCCGATCAGGAACTGCACCGTGCCACGTGGAGAGCTCAGACTCAGGCAAGGCGGGGAAAGAGCGTCAATCTCGTTCGCAATCGCATCGTCACTACGACGAGACGCATTCTGGCCAAGCCCTCGTTGGGACCGAGGCAAATCATGGGAGGCGACGAGGATCGCGACGAGGCCGATGATGACCTCGACGAAGACGACAGCGACCTCGGCGACGACAACAGCGACGACGAAGACGACAGCGACCTCGGCGACGACAACAGCGACGATGAGGGCGACGAAAGCGACCTCAGGGACAACAACCTTGCGCTACGGGAGGCCAAGAAGCGGGAGCTCTGGGCTGCCCTGGGCACCTGGGTTTACAAGGCCATCGTCGAGGGCAAGGGCCTCTGCAAATACTGCGGGGCAGTCCTGTGCCTGTACGGGCCCACGCCCCTGGCGAGCACCTCGTGGTGTTATGTGTCCATCGATCGGGTGGTCCCCGGCGTCGACGGAGGCCGATACGAGGCACACAACATCGCGGTCGTTTGCAGAGCATGCCAGATGACCAAGTTCAGTCATCCAGTAGGCACTTTCCAAGGAGTGCTGCTCCCAGCATTGTCGGCTTTGCCGACTCTCCGCCTCGACAGCAGCAACATCGTCGTCCAGCCGGCAGTGGACGTGGCACCGATGACGGCAGCGGAAAGGCTCCAGGCCAAGGAGTGGCTGAAGGTTAGGAGGAAGCAAAACAAGGCATGGCAGGCGATCCACCCGACCCGAAAGCGTAAGCCGTGGCTTCTGACCGAGGACGAGGGTCTGGCCCTAATCGCATCTCGCTGGATCGGGCACGGCAAGATCGTCGACTGTTACGGCCTGGAACAACCGCTCGAGTGGTCGAGCATCGACCGGATCGACTCGGACAAACCGTACCAAAACGACAACGTGCGGATGATGCTCGCTGGACTGAACCTCCTCAAACGCGAGCATGACGACACCCAGGGCATGGCCTACCTGGCCCACCTGCGTGGCGCCTTCGCGCCTGGCCCACCTGTCCCCTCGCCATCGCCCTGACCACTGATCGTTGAGCGCTCGAGTAATCGACGACATCGCCTTGTCATCATCGTTGAGCGTCGACCAGCTGCTCGTGTATGGTGCCGCCGGGAGCAGAGTGATACCGTCGCATGCAGCGGATGATGCCAGGCGCTGAGCACCGATGCCAGTGATTGTTGACTGTCAGACTGAGCGGCAGGGGTCGTAGCTGGACCGTTGAACGAGGCATGCAAAAGCTGGTACGGTGCACGTCCTTCTATTCGAGGCCGAAAGTGTGACCGGGTCGCTGTCCTCGGCCCCGTTGTGAGTACGAGGACGACATGGTGGAGGATAGCAAGGAGCCGGCCAGGTTCGTGGCGAGCGGAGGGACCGAGCGAACGATGGAGCTGTCACTGCTCTGGGATGATGCCACACTGAGAAGATGCTTGCTCGAGAATGGTGGTTCGTGTCCAGTGGATTCGGTCAGGTCCATATGCGAACTCGGCCCTACGCCGTTCGTCGAGCACACCTGCCAGCTCGACTCGGCGACTTTCGTCAGGCTCATTTGCCAGTTTGACCCGACGAACTTCGTCAGGCCCGTTTGCCGGCTCAACCCAGCGATTCTCCCCTAGGTCACAGTCACGCTTGGGCACCGGGTCTCTTTCCTTGTCGCAATCTCCATGCCGAACAGTCGCGTTGAATCTGTTGGGTGATGGCAGATTGTGTGGCCTGGCAGCATCAACATGGATATGGCTCGTATGCCACGGGGACCGAAGCCGTGCGAAACGCACGGAAGGAGCATAGAGTTGGAAAGTGCGTAGCGCACGGAGGGAGCGCTGGGCCAGGGCGTGCGTGGCGCTCGAAAGGACCGCCGACCCTGAGCGAAACCCCCGCCCGGTTCCCCCTCCTGGAAGACCCCTTTCTTTGAATAATGATCATGTGGAGGCCCAAAATGCGAGCCTACTAGGCTGCTGGCCAGACGGACGCTCACACAGAACATCGACGCTTCAATCCTTCCAGAGGTCCCACGCCCGACGCCGAAGAGCACCGCCGCCACCACCATCGCAAGCCCAGGCCACCCTCGGGTCATGGCGAGCCCCCATATCGACGGCACAAGCGACGCCGCCATGCATCAAATCCAGGTGCACGGCCCCGACGCCAGCACGATCGACCCGAGCCGGCCCTCTCCCCGGCTGCCCAACGAGCTCCTCGCACTCATCATCGAGCTCGTCTTCCTCACCTCCTCGCCCACTCCCGCACCCGCTCCAGAGGGCCATCCCAGCGACACGACCATCCCCGGCCAGCCCCGGACTCCATCCACCTGGCAAGCACGCACCAACCTCCTCCTAGTCAACAAGGCCTTCCTCCGGCTGGCGACACCGCACCTCTACCGCACCATCTCCCTCGACACCGATCGCTCTCTCGACGCCTACTTTCGCCACGTCCTCAACCACGAGCACGGGTCGCAGCTCTTTGCCGGCCTCGACCGAGCCTGGTTCGGCAACGTCAGTGCGGCCCAGAGAAATGGACTCACCATCGACCCCGTCCAGTACCGCCTCGCCGAGGCCGCCTGGTACGAGGAGACCGCAGGCGGATTCATCATCGGCCATGCCTACGCCTCGCGCAGAAGGATGCCGCGGGGCAAGGCCAAGTCGAAGCGAGGGCCAAAGAGGCTCAGGCGGGTCAGCGTGTACTGGGCAGAGGAGGAGATCATCGAAGAGGTCAGCGATCCCGAAAGCGGCAGCGCGAGCGAGGGCGAAGGCGAAGGCGCGGGAGAGGATGAAGGGACGATCGCGCCCCGGGAAGGCCTCCATAGCGATGGCTTCGCCGCCGAGGGCTCAGGAACCTCTGCGTCCTCTGCAATGGCACAGCCGGCGCGGCCCGCCTGGCAGACGCTCTACGCAAGCAACCGGCAGACACGGGCTGCCAGGGACAATGGGCATCGTCCAGAGTTCCAAGGACCTCGGAGACGAGTGGCCATGTCGGCCACGCTGAGCGGGCCAGTCGAGGGCGAGCTCGACCCGTGGGACATGGTTGAGGCCCAGGAGCGTCTGACATCGCAGCAGGCGGCCCTGGACCCAGCGACAGGAAGCGCTTCGACGGCGGCGGATCCTCCCGACCTCGGCAGCCTGAGCATCGCGGCAGCCACGCCGTCGCCGCCGCTGCCTGACCCACCGGATCCTCCCGCCGCCAGCACGTCCCACAAGACCACACTCGCCGCGCTCGTCGAGCACCGCCACGCCCACCGTCGACAGCTGCACCTGCTTCAGGAGCCGAGGGAGATTGTCGCCTACCACCTCGTCACGGCCACCCTTGAGAACTGGATCAACCGCATGTTCACCGAGATCCGCACCCTGCGGTACATTACCCTGACCGTGAGGCAAAAGTCACTGGCTGTTCCGTGTTCGCCCAGGCTCCGCGCTGACGTCCGCGTTATCTCTCCCTCTCCCGCTCGCTCTTCGCTCCATGGCAGTTCTACCCGGGCATCATCCTGGACGACGACAAGCTGGAGCACGTGCTGCGCCGGATGCTCTCGGCCGACGAGAACCCCAAGCTGGAGCTGCTCCTGGTGCGCATCGCCCACGAGCCCGTGGCGGCCGGATCGCGCTTCCGCCGCCTGGACCGTGCCATGACCATCGGCGGCGCCGTGGACCGTATCCAGGACGACCGCATCCGCGTCGAGGGTCTCGGCACCGCCGTCGGCGGCGAGATCCTATCGCCGCCGCGCAGCCAGGCTTCGGCCCGCGCCGATGCTTCGGATGTCCCCCAGCCGAGCGACTCGTCGAGGCGATCCGAGAAGCAGCCAGAGTCGAAACGGACCACGAGCGCGGCGGCCAAGGATCAGCCGGTCGGATCGGCTTCGGACTCGGACTCGATCGACAGGCTGAACGACGCATCGCGCCGAGCCGTGCACATCACCCAGGACGGCTGGTGGTCGCGGGTGCTGCAGCAGAACCACGCGCGCCGAGGCGACGCGACGGAGCCCACTGCTCACTCGTCGATCTCCGAAGAAGGCGACACGCAACCCTTCTCGTCCCTCTTTGGCCGCGGTGCGAGCTGCACGACAATCGAGAGGGTGCTCGGCCAAGCCGACCCCTTTGTCGACGCCCCGCCGCCCATCGGGCGGGGACGCTCCTCCGCCGCAGGCAAGGCGAGCAAGGCCACTGCCCGCCTGCTAGAAGACGGAACGGACATCGAGCCGCGTACGGGCTACCGCCAGCTCCAGCTCAACTACATCAACGGCTGGGCCAGGAGGGACACCGAGGGCGGCAACGAGGCTTTCGAGGGGTAGAAGGGCGTCGTTGTCGAGTGTTGGTGGGGCAAGAGCAGACGTTTTGCGGGGCAGGTAGACGTGGACGGGCAATAGACTGTTGAGGAATGCGAGTGGCGATGTCGGGTGGGACGCTTGGTTGTTTTGCGGCTCTGGAGCAGCTCGACGGGTTGGTTCCGACAGGGCACGGCACATCCGACACACGACGGTCTCGTCGGCGTCACCGTGTCCCAGCCTCTTGCAGGCAGGACCCGGCCACGTCCCGCAGCCATCGAGCATGCTAGCTGCGAGCGAGGCGGAACCGACGGGCAATTGATTGAAGGCAGTTAAAAGGGGCTGCGAGAGAGTCGTCGATCCACGCCTTTTCAAAAGGGCTCGAAAATTGGGCGCGCAAAAGGGGCGGGGTCCCCAGTCGAGCGTGCAGGGAGCAGGCCACGCCCCCGGGCCTCCCCGTGCCTCTGCCGTCTTCCTGGCTTGGCAGCAGCTTCCGGTAGCCGGGTGTTCGAAATCTGCCGGAACTTTTTTTCAAAAAAAATGAACGAGCTGAACTCTTGCTCATCCTGCGCTTTTGCGATAGGCTGAGAATGAGGAAATTGTGCGACACAAAAAAGTTGACTTTCTGGCGGCAGCTGGGCGCTGTGATAGGGATCACGGACGGATCAGCGAGTCAAGAGCGCCAATTCTTAAAATCCCAAAGTGCAAAAAGTTTCGGCAGGCCGAGGCAACTTTGGAATGGATGGCGAGATGTCAGCTTGTTGATTCGAGAAGAAGCTGTTTCGAAAATTGTGTGAACATGAACCCCCTTCGCGAGGGCCGAGGACAAAGTCAGCCGCTTGTCATGTTGCGCCCCACTTTGCTCCTGCCATCGGATGGGCAGCCGAAGGAGCTGAATCACCCACGAGGGCGACAGGCCGTCGTGGACTGGTGCAGCGTGAGGGCAGTTCCGTCTGCGACTGACCAGCCACACCTTCGCTCTCGCCTTGCTGGCAAGCAAGCAAAGCGGGGGGCGCAGCCAGCCCAACGTGACAGCTTGGGCGCCTGCCCTTCCCGACCTCGACGACGTGCTTGATCCGCGCATCCGGACCCTCCCCGAACGTCCACTCAGCAGCAGCAGCGGCATCTTCCATGCATGCATGCCCACCTGATGACTGCGCCTTCTCATCGGCACAGCCTCGACCGCATCGCCAGACGAGGCAGGAGAAGACCGCTCACCACCCGCTGACCAGGGCCAACGTGCGTAGCGTCTGGTAAGGGCCCGTCGTGAATCAGCTCCCTGACTCGCCTCACGGTCGGTGCTGGACATTCGCCGAACGGATCGATCAACGACGACGAACGGAGGCCGTGCGTGTAGCTTTGAAATCAGCGCATGACCCAGCCGGCCAGCCAAGACGTCGATGAGTGTTCGGCGCATCCTCATTGGCCGATCTCGAGGCCATTCGACGGATCGGCCTGAGGAGCTGCCTGGCGTGCTGCGTCTGAGCGCGGTGGGCATCATAGTATCGTCTCATATTCAGGTCAGGCCAAAGGTCCGAGGCAGGCCGGGAGCAACGACGCCGTGCTCGCCCTCGACGATGCCTTGAGGCGGCCTCGCACCGAAGCTCGCCTTTGGAAGAGAGGGTATAAAGCAGGACAGGCGGTAGGAGCCTCGGTTGCCCGTCCCTCTTCTGCCACCATCCGATTCCCAACCGCCAGCAACAACCCGCCCGCACACCACTCGAGCTCCAGCCTCTCTGTCTATTCACTCTTCCCAAGTGAGTGTCGCCCTCCTTCCTCTATCCCCTCCGCATCCGCACGCACAATCCAGGCGCGACGATGACGGCCCTCCGAACCATCTCGAAGCCCGGTAGCGCGTCGCCTCTGCGCTCGCTGCTATCCAGCGGCACCGGCTGCGGCGCGGGCAGGACGGCTGTTCAACGATCTCTGATCGGCCCTGCGCCCCTTGTCTCGACCCTCGCTCGACGCCCTCAGCCTTGCACGCTTGGAGCACACGCCACCGCCGGCTTCGCCACCACCGCCATCGCCCGCTCTTCCGCCGCCGCCACCGCTGCCGGAGCTGGATCCAAGTCCAACATGACTTCGCCCGTCATCCGAGAGGTCAAGGTATGTTGCCGTCTCGGCTGTTCTTGAAGGTCCGGGTCGCTGCGGCCCCATCGCCTGCTCTCGAAATTGACCTTCATCTCCTTTCCTCTGCCTCGACCCACCTGCCTGGTACCGCAGGTCGACCACGACAACTTCCGCGACCTCCTGGAGCGCTTCAAGGATGCCGCCTCGCGCAAGGAGAGTGGCCTGATGCACGACAGTGAGTGCCGCGTAGCACCAGACATTGCCAAACACGCCCACCAGAGGGGGCAACGAGGGCTGACGACATGCGTGATTTCACCACTGCCGTCCGCCTCGCGACGCGTGCGGACACGCTTCGTCACCGCCTGCAGTCGTCAACACCATGATCCGCGAGGCCTCGGTCCACTCTGATGCCGAGGTACGTTTGCATGGCGTCGAGGCCGGAGCCCGTCGACTCTATGTGCACGAGTAACCATGCCGATTGTCTGACTCGTGTCGATTTCACCACCGCTCCACGACTCGGCGTGCCCGTGCAGGAAATGAGCATGTGAGTTGGCCTTCCTGCCTTCTGTTCTCTGACCTCTCTGGACCACTGTTGACCCTCCGTCTCGGGGCTCCTCTCTCTCACACATCTCTCTGGCTCGCCTGCAGCTACAAGACGCTGGCCGAGAACGGCATGGCCGACGCGGCCGAGCACGACAAGGCCGAGCACAACGACGTCAAGCAGGCCATGTATTCGATCGACAGCGAGAGCGTCGACCGCGTCGGGCACGACAAGTACGTCTCGATGGTGACGCGCGCCGGCGACCTCTTCCTCAAGCACGCCGACGAGGAGGAAAACGACCAGCTCGTCAAGCTCGTCGCCAAGCTGAGCGACGACGACCAGGTCAAGCTGGCCAGGCAGTTCCTCGACGCGCGCAAAATGGCCACCACCCGCCCGCACCCCATGGCCCCGCAGTCGGGCGGCGCCATGCAGAAGACGGCCGAAGTCATGTGTACGTGCCTCCTCGCGCTCGTGGTTGCGATGCGACGGATCGAAGTGCTGACCACCCTTGCTCGTGCCTCGTGTGCCCATCTATCGTCGTCGCGCCTATCTTCTCTTTGCAGCCAAGCCCCTGGACCAGGCCCACCAGGCCATGCGCAAGTTTGTCGACCTCAAGTACCAGCACTCCGAGCCTGGCCAGGCCTGATTGCGCTGCGCAGTCCAGCCAGTCGCGGGCCCCCCGGCCCACATCAAGCCTGGTCTCGTCCAGCTGACCCTCATCACAGTGTCAGGGCCCAGCCTCTCGGCTGACGCTCGGGCTCACTACGCTCTCTCACGAAACCAAGCCCGGGCTGTAGTTCCCAGTCAAGTCTGGAATCGTGACGAATGCATCCGTCGCAGCTTCGTTCCGCTCGGGGTTTTTCGAGCCTGTCCGTGCAGGGACTACAATTCACAGAGTGACATGACCAGGTCGTTGAAGGCAAGTCGATATCGTGGATCCGCCCCCTGCCTGCTCTCGCATCACGGTGCGTCCAGGCCGAGCTCGCGCGTGAGGTCTGTGGTGGTATGTCGGGGAACAGAGAAAGGGCAGCGTCAGCGACACGGACGCTCGCGCCGAGTCGATGGGCAAAGGCGCAGGTCAGAGAGGGTTTCGACAGGACTACGCACCGGCTACATGCCTCTCGCGCTTCTCGAGTATAACGGCGTATCGGATCGACGGTTTGAGGTCTTCGCATGCCAGCTGATGGTCGGCGGCAGCACGATTGAGGAGACAGATAAAGGGGAAAAGGACGACTGGTCAGTCTGCGAACGGTAGGTCCGCCTCTGAAGTCCAAAGCGAAGCGACGACTCACCTTGATCAGGCGATCGACGGAGAACAGCCTCGAGGTCATCGAGTGCACCTGTCCGTAAAAGGCGGCGGCCGACGTGGTGGCGAGGAGCTCGGCCTCGTTCATCTTGAGGATGGCGACGGCGACGCGGAAGAGGATGACCATGCCCTCGACGAACATGACGTCCCACACGCGAAACAGGGTCTCGACGGGCAGGCAGTCGGTGTAGAGCGACAGGAACCACGCAAACGTCACGGCGGGCAGGTCGACGCCCAGGTCGGCCACGTGGGCCGACAGCGCCGGCATCAGCTCGTCGACGAGCTCGATGAGCACCCGCTGGTCCGCCTGCGACACGAGCAGGTGCGACGTGTAGTACTCGGACGGCAGGATCTTTTCGATGATGCACACCAGCACCCAAAAGGCCTCTTCCTCGGTGGCGTGCGTCAGCAGCAGCGTGGCGGCCAGGTTGTTCATGCCCTGGCAGTAGCCGCACGCCGGGTTGTACCATGAAAAGGCCACCAGCAGGCGCCGCAGCTTGGGCACGCCCTGGCCGTCGCCGCCGAAAAAGATGTTGGTCGGCATCGTCCGGTGCACGTCGAGGTCGATCTGCGTCAGGCACTGGTTGGTCTCGCCCTCGTGCTCCTGCAGCAGCTCCTGGTACCGCCCCGGCTCGTGGACCTCGTTGGCGCCGCTGCACTCGGCCCAGATCTTGGCCCGGTAGCACAGCGGGATGCCCGCCTGGCACAGCGAGAGGAACTGTTTCCAGTCCTCTTTGCCCGACTTGGTGGCGCCCATCCGGTTGATGCCCACCATCCCCTGCGACCAGTCCTCTTCGGGCGCCTTTTCTGAAGACGCCAGCGCCGCGATGCCGGTGGCGTGGTGCGACGAGGCAGAGTTGCGGCGGCCGTGCGATATCGAGCCCGCTCCGCTTCCGCCGCCCCCTCCGCTGCTGCTGCTGCCGGCTGTTCCGTTGACGCCGCCTTCGAGATTGGCGCGGCCGAGCCGCTCCTGCCGCCGCTGCAGGAAGTCGTCCCACTTGGCCTTGTGCGTCGTCTGCTGCTTGTCGTGCATCTCTTGCAGCTGGCCCAGCAGCCGCCGCACCGTCTGCGACGACGTCGGCTTGGTGGCCTTCTGCGCCGTGTCGGCGGAAGTGGCGGGTGCGACTTGCATGTCGGTGAGGCTCGAGGCCGGGCTGCTGCTCGTGGCTGCCGCTGCCAGGCCGGCGCGCTTGCCCCTCGAGGCTGGGCGCGACGTGACGCTGACGGACAGGGCCTCGGCCACCGGCTTTGAGTGCGAGAGCGAGAGCAGGCCCCTTTTGCTCTGGGCAGGCTCGACCGCCTTTGCCGCGGTGGCGCCGTCGCTCGGTGCAGACGAGATGCCCGTGATCGCAAGGCTTTCGCCCTCGCTGAGGTCCTCGACATCATCGCCGGCAGCCCCGTCGGCCAGGCTGCTGCGGTCGATGCTGGCCCGCTCGTCCTCGGTGTCGAGCTCGGTGTTGTCGGCTTCCTCCCTTTCCTCTTCGCTCTGGCTTTCGGTGCCGCCGCGGGCCCGCACACCGACGCGGATCCCCGTGAGGCAGGCAGGCGCCGGGGTGGCGGCTTTGCGCGCCTGGCGCAGCAGACGGATGTCGGCGGGCGTGGCGTCGTAGATGAAGCCGTACCGATCCGTCAGTAGCCCGGCATCGTCGTCGCTGTCCGTATCGTCTACTTCGTCAACGTCATTATCGTCGTCGTCGTCCTCGGCGCCGTCACGCTGAGGTTGCCCGTACCCTGCGGCTGGACCCTTGCCGCCGTAGACTTCGAACTCGTCGCCGGAGCTCTCCTCGTCCAGCGGATCCAGGCCGCCCGACCGTGGAGCGCCGGTATTGGTCCTGCGCGAGGGGCCGGGGCCGTCAGTCTTTCGCTGCTGTCGCTGCTGTCTCTTCTTCTTCTTGCTCCGCTTCTTTGCCAGCGTTGGCGGCGCAGCCTCGGAAGGCACAATGGCCTCGAGCTCGACCGCTGCTGCTGGCGGTCTTGGCAGACCCAGGGGGGCATCTGTTCCCTGCGCGTGCTCAGCACCGCCTGGCGTCGATGGAGCCGGTGCGTTGGACGCAGTGAAGCGGTAGGTGTCCGGCAAGCGAGTTACGTTTGGTTCGATCTGCTGCCCCGAGCCGTCCCGAGCAGGCGAGCGGGTATACCGGCCGAAGGCGCGGGCGAATGTGGTCGAGGGGGCCACTTTGGGGCCGCCGGCGACCTGGCCGACGGAAGCACGCTCCGCCTGGCCGATCGGGGCACGCTTGGCGTGGTCCTCGACCGTCTGGGTGAGCATCGCATGGGCCATTGACATCGGTCGGGCAGCGGCTCCCGAGGGCCTTCGTACGCCTGCCAACCTGGAGGGTTCCTCGACCATCTTGCCCTCGTCCCTTGCGCGTCCGACCAAGCTCGAGGCCAGCGAGGCGATCAGCTCCGATGTCTTCTTGCCGCTGTCGTAGAGCAGGCTCGACGGGTCCGGTGTCATGATCCGCGTTGCAAGAAAGATGGCCTTGAAATGGGTCGGTTTCGGCAGCACGTCCGGCGGCAGGCCGAGCTGAGCCTGCAGCTTCTCGGTCAGCGGCGAGGGCGGCTCTGACCCGATGGCCTCGTGCAGCGCCACGGGCATGCTCTTGCTCGAGCTGCGGCGGATGGCAATGGGACGGTCTGTCGGCGTCGAATCTGGCTCCTCGTCATCGCCTCTCCGAATGTTCTCGTCGGCAGACTGGCTCGTTTCGACAGACCCTGCGAGGGATCCCTTTGTCTCGACGGCCACGTCTGCGGCGGTCTCGTGCCGCTGCTCGCCCGTGAGGTCGCCGTTTGGCCTCATGGTGTCGGTGGATGCCTCTCCAGCGTGGCCGTGCGGGCGGTCCGCCGCTATCGGGGAAGCGGGTGGTTCCGGCTGAGCTTGAGGCTTCTTCCTCCGCCACGCCAGCGTCCCGAAGATGCCTAGGCCGGACCTCGACGAGGGTCGGCTAGCCTCCGCCGATTCCGCTCGAGGCACTGATGTCGATCTGCTGCGTGCCTGCGGCGATCCAAGCGCAACGGCCTCGGCCTCTCTCCGAGCAGCAGCTTTGCTGCCCTCCTCTGGCAGAGCCGTTGTCGACTTGGACTTGGTCGGCGCCTCGAACGGGTCGGGCTCTTCGCTCACCAGGCCCTCGGAGATGGTATGCCGGCCAGGGCTGGTGGCCTTGACGTTGCTGGGCGCCGTGCTGGCGGCTGCTTTGCGGCTGGTCCCGGATGCAGCCCAAGGCATGAGGCCGCTGGCCCATTCTCCTAGCCCAGCCGTCGAGGCAGTGCGGTAGGTGGTGCTCGCCGAAGACGACGATCGGACGGCTGGCGGCCTGGACACGTTGCCGGCCTTGCTCGACGGGCTGTTGACCGTGATCGGCGACCTCGAGGCGGACGTGATGCTGCTGATCTCGGCTCTCAGGTCGGCATGGCTGCCGCGAGTCCTTCCGTCGGATCGCTTCAGCCGATTGAAGCTCGACGCCGACGACGCCTCGGTTCTGAACGACGTGATCGACGGGGAGCGGTCCCGGCTGCTGCCGCCCAGTTGGCTGATGGCGCTCATCGAAGGCGAGGCGTCGCCGAGGCTGGCTCCGTACGCGCCCTCGAGCTCCTCGAGCATGGCCTCCTGCAACGACCGCGGCAGGCTGGCGGTGACGGCCGAGGCGCCCTTGTCAGCCTTATCGGCTGTTGTGCCGAAGTCGCGGCCAGTCTCGTTGGCAGCGCGATGGGCAGGTCCCACAGATGCGATCGTTTTGGGCGTCGTCAGGATGTGGCCATCGGCCTCGATCCGTCTTTTGGTGGCCTCGGCGTCGAACACGGGCGCACGCAGCAGGCAGCGGCTGATCTCGCCCTCCTTGATGCCGTGCTGAAGGCACAGCTCCTTGAGCGCCAATTCCCTCGACCGGTGCTGCTGATTCATGTACTCCACGGCCTCGTGATTCTTTGACCTCTCCTTGATGGCCGATGACTTTGCCTTGGCAGCATCGTCGAGGGCCTCGGATAAGGCAAAAGAGAGCGATCGTATGAGGGCGTGGGTGCGGGCCTGCACCTGCACGGCGGGGACGGCGGCCGCCTTTGGAGTTGGCGGCGCCCGGTGGCCCGAATCGGATAGCGAGTCGGTGCGACGCCGAGCCATGGGCGATGCTGCACCGGACGGCGGCCCGTCCCGATGCTGGTCGGTCCGGCTCGTCGCCCCGAGAAGGCTCTGCAACTCGCCATCCGACATGCCGTGCAACGTCCTTAGAATGTCAACACTGGGGCCTCTCCGCACCTCGTCGTCGCCCTCGCCGTCGTCGTCGGCGTCGTCGTCGGCGTTCGCCGCGGCCCTGAAGGCCGAGGGAGGCCGTGCGATGTATCTCCCTTCCGACGCCGCGGCGCGCCCGAATGGCGACAGTGCACCTTGGCGCTGGCTGGCGCGGGACGAAGCCCGTGTGGGTCGAGCAGTCGTCGGTTGTGGTGTCTGGCTCGCTGATCGCGAGGAGCTCTGGAAGCCGAGGGGCGTGCGCGCCTGCGGGGCCACCAGAGGAGGGGGTCGCCGCTTGGCAGCGGCCGAAGAGGGTGCAAGAATAGCAGCGAGCTCTGCGCTCGGCTCGTCTCGATGTTCAAGATGTTGTCCGTTGGCGGCAACGATCGAGCCGTTCGAGGCGTCGGCCTCGTTGTCGTCCTCTTCATGCTCGGTCATCGGCTCTTCTGTCCGTGCCGCACGTAGGGACGACGTATCCGAGTCGTAGCTCTCGGCCTGGCTCCGAGTCCGCGTCGGAGAAGCCGTGCCAGGGCGCTGGGTCGTCTCCAGCCTCTCCTGAAGGCCCTTGAGGTCGAAATAGCGCGACGGGCCGCTTGCGACCGGGGCTTCGACCCTCTGGCTCCAGAGTGGACGAGCTACGGCGGGTCGAGCGTCGGGCCGGGTCTCGGCAGCTCCGTCCAGGAGTAGCGGATGTGCCTCTGCGGTCCGGAGCGCTGGCCGGGCGGAGGAGTCGTCGAGCGGATCAGCCGTCGTAGAGGGCGGCCGGGACCCGGCGGCTGCAGCCGCTGAAGGCGCGTCCGCCGCGGCGTCGGAGAGCATCGCAAGAGGCGATGCAGGAGCGTGGCGAGCCAGTGGCAAGATTGAGATCCGCTCCTTCAAGCCGAGTCGGCGCGGGTCGACATGCGCGGTGAGCGGTCAAGACGCAGCTTGGTCGCGAGGGTAGATCGAGGGGCCGGTCTCGTCTATGTGCGGATCAGCATCGCCTTTGGCACACGCCTCCAGGTCAGTCTGGTGCTGCACGCGTCGGGCGGGGGGCCGTGGGCGTGTCGGAATGGCCGGCGATCCAGGATCTCTGTGTTGTGCTGTTGGCGACGCACCTGAACCGGTGCCGACAGTCGGAAGCGCCGATACGGGGCTCGGCGCAGCGGTGGCGAGTCGAGCAGAGAGGGGCGGGTGGACGAGTAGAGCAAGGTGGGCGCCGCTGGAGCCGCACGCGTATCGCACCTCGCTCACTCAGCGCGGCGAGCAAGCAGATAAGTTATCAGAGCAAGGGCGTTGTGCTAGCTGGCTGTGAATCTTCGGCCTGTTGCCGACAAAGGACCGCTGGCGGCTGGCACGGCAGCTGGGTATGGGTGTAGGCTTCGGCGTTCGGGGCGACGAGGCTGGGGCCTTCTGATGGCGGGCGATTGACCGGCGGTAGCGCCGCGTATCGAGCCGTGCCGAGGTCGAGGAGGGTATGGCGGCTAGGCAGGATGAGACAAGGCCGGTGGCGAGGCGGAGATCGCAGGCAGTAGAGTGATGGGCAGAGTGAGGTTGCAACGATGGCCTGCGGCGGGTCAGTCCGTGTTGCTGTCTGCCTGACTACTGTCCGTACGTGTGTTGCTCTGGGCCAGCGGGCAGGCCAGCAGAGGCCCGCCGGCGGTCTCAGCGGAGGCAGGCGACGCGGTTGCTCGGGCACGGCGCAGCGGGCTTGGCAGGCCGGGCAGGCAGGCGCTTGCAGCCCAAAGCAGCCCTGCCTGCCGCCGCCTTCCCAAAAAAGTGGAGCGGGGCGGCCCAGCAGGCTGGGCGGCCGGACCCTTCCTTCTCGCCAGCAGCCACCACCACCACCACGAATCTCTGTCCCGACCCCATAGAGACAACCGAGAGAGCAGCCAGCTCGCAAACCACGCCAACCCACCCTGCGTCGCCGCTCTTCCTGATCGCAACTGCCGCCGCCGCCGCCGCCGCCGCCACTCTACCGCCTCTGCCCACAGGACTCTACGATGGCGCCAGCCGCGGTCGCAGCAAGCGCATCGGGCGCCGCTGCCATGGCCGGCGACCCATCGTCGTCGGGCGAGGACCAGCTGACCATCGAGATGCTCGGCGCAGGCCAAGAGGTCGGGCGCAGCTGCTGCGTGCTCAAGTACAAGGGCAAGACGGTCGTCTGCGATGCGGGCGTCCACCCGGCCTACACCGGCCTCGCTGCGCTCCCCTTTATCGACGAGCTCGACTGGAGCACCGTCGACGCGCTCCTCATCACCCACTTCCACCTCGACCACGCCGCTGCACTGACCTACATCATGGAAAAGACCAACTTCCGCGACGGTACGGGGAAGGTCTACATGACGCATCCAACAAAGGCCGTCTACCGCTTCCTCATGTCCGACTTCGTCCGCATCTCCAACGCCGGCACCGACGACAACCTGTTCGATGAGAACGAAATGCTCACATCCTGGAGGCAGATCGAGGCCGTCGACTACCACCAGGATGTCTCCGTCGGCGGAGGTTTGCGCTTCACACCCTACCACGCCGGCCACGTCCTAGGCGCCTGCATGTACCTCATCGAGATCGCAGGCCTCCGCATCCTCTATACGGGCGACTTCAGCCGGGAAGAGGACCGGCACCTGGTGCAGGCAGAGGTGCCTCCGGTGCGGCCCGACGTGCTGATCTGCGAGAGCACGTACGGCGTGCAGAGCCTGCCCCCGAGAATCGACAAGGAGGAGCGCTTTACCGGTGAGTGCGCGGCGGCCCAGGACATACCCCCCAGATGCGCCAGCTGCGTGAGTCGTGTACGCTGACTGCAGAAGACGCCATCCCTCCTGTCCTCGCTGCTGCTCGCCAATAGCCCTGATCCACAGCATCGTACGGAGGGGTGGCCGAGTGCTGCTGCCAGTGTTCGTGCTGGGCCGAGCGCAGGAGCTGCTGCTGCTCCTCGACGAGTACTGGTCGCAGCACCCGGAGCTCCACTCGATTCCGGTCTACTATGCCTCGTCGCTGGCGAGAAAGTGCATCGCCGTCTACCAGACCTACATCCACACCATGAACGACCACATCCGCAGCCGCTTCAACCGCCGCGACAACCCGTTTGTCTTCAAGCACATCAGCAACCTGCGCAGCCTCGACAAGTTCGAGGACAAGGGGCCGTGCGTCATGATGGCCAGCCCGGGCTTCATGCAGAGCGGAGTGAGCCGCGAGCTGCTGGAGCGCTGGGCGCCCGACAAGCGCAACGGCCTCATCGTCAGCGGATACTCGGTCGAGGGCACCATGGCGCGCAACATCCTCAACGAGCCAGACGAGATCATCGGCATGAACGGCCAGAAGATCCCGCGGCGGATGTCGGTCGACTACATCTCGTTTTCCGCCCACGTCGACTATACGCAGAACGCGCGCTTCATCGACGAGGTCAAGGCCCAGCACGTCGTGCTCGTCCACGGCGAGCAGAACAACATGAGCCGGCTGCGCGCCGCGCTGCAGAGCAAGTACAGCGACCGGTCCGAGGACGTCAAGATCCACACGCCGCGCAACTGCGAGCCGCTCAAGCTGCGCTTCAAGGCCGAGCGGACGGCCAAGGCCATCGGCCTGATCGCCTCCAAGCCACCCGTCCAGGGCGGAATTATCGATGGCCTGCTCGTCTCCAAGGACTTTGCCTACACGATTCTCGATCCAAAGGACCTGACCGACTTTACGGGGCTCAGCACGAGCACCATCATCCAGCGGCAGCGAATGGCGCTGGCCGTCAGCTGGGAGATGGCGCGGTGGCACCTCGAGGGCATGTACGGCAAGGTGGTCGAGGGGCTCGACGTCGAGGGCCTGCGGACGATGCGGATCATGGGCGCCGTCGACGTCAAGCAGAGCGGGCCGCACGAGCTGACCGTCGAATGGGTTTCGAGCGTCGCCAACGACATGGTGGCCGACTCGGCCGTGGCGCTGCTGCTCGGCGTCGACAGCAGCCCAGCCTCGGTCAAGATGACAATGCACTCGCACAAGCACGACCACGGGCACGGGCACGTCGATGGCGAAGAGGGCTCGCGAGCCAAGGTGGAGAGAGCGGCGACGCCCGACGCGCCAGCGTCGGCGCGCAAGGTGGCTGCCGACGTCGTCAACCCGTACTCTGAGGCCGCGCTGCCAGTCAAGCAGATCTCGATCGACGAGCAGCGGGACAGCGAGGCGGAGCAGACGGCGCTCCACTACGACGTTGCCAAGATGGAGCACATTGCGGCCTTCCTCGAGGCGCACTACGGGCAAGTGGAAGAGGTGCTGATCGGAGAGGGTGTCGCCAACAACGATGCGGCGGAAACAAACGGCCACGTCGAGGAGGCGACGACCACGACAGCAGCAGCGGCGGCGCCCGATGAGGAAGGTTTTACGATCAAGCCAGACCCGGATGCGGAAGAGATGATGCCGCCGGCATCGGCAGACGTGGTCAAGGCGGATGACGGCGCAGGGAGCGACGCGATCAAGGCTGGAGCAGCAGACGGGAACGGCGACGGGGATGAGACGATGGCAGACGCCAACGGGGCGACGCCACCGCCGCCGCCGCCGAGACCGCTCGTCGAGTGCTTTGACGGGCCGCCGCGCGCCGGTCTGCGGGTGATGCTCGACGACCAGGAGGCGGTGCTGGACGTGTCGAACCTCGTCATCCTCTCGACGTCGGACCAGCTGCGCTCGCGTGTGCTCCACCTGACGAAGTTGGCGTTGCGCACCATGACGAGCCTCGACGAGAGCTTTGTGCTGCCGCAGCAGCTGGGCAGCAACGTCTTCATGGGCAAACACGGCGTGCCTGCCGACCTGGCGGCGATCAAGGCGGAAGACGAGGCCGAGGCTGGGGCGGCGAGGTCTAAGGACGAGACCAAGATGGTGGAGGGGTGACGGGGGCGAGACACTGTACGCCGAAGCTGTTCCTTGACCATGGCGCGCTCCAGAGGGGGCCAGCAATCGGCATCGAACTGTTCTACATGATTCCGGAGTGGAAGGCGTGCGTGTAGGGGCCTGCACACACTTTTGTCGACGCCTTCAATATGTACTTTTCCATGCAGCAGCAACCTATGTATCGTTGCCGCTGGCCTACACACCATCGGTTGGGTCTTGATTTCTGCCCCACCTCCAGCCATCGGAACGCCTGCCGGTCGTGTCGGCCTGAAGCAACACGCCCGCCGCACTCGATCGCGACCATGCATCCCTTTGAACGCCCACCTCATCAATCTCCCACACGGCCTGGTGGGGGTCCATGAGAGGGGGCACCAGCTTCCGGGGGTTGCCGTCGTTCGGATCAGATGCTGTTCCACCCACTTCTGCACCGTTCATGTCCGCAAGTGGGTCGAAATGGCGACAGGAGTCCCCCCTCCCTTCCTCGCTCGTTGCAGTCGCAGCGGTCGACTTGACGAAAGGTATAAAGAGAGGCGAGTTTGTCAAATTGCACCTCCCCTTAAGTAACACACACACACACCAACCGCGTCTTGTCGATATCCACTACGTTGCTGAAAGCTGCCAGTTAATTGCGAACGTGGGTCAATCCGTGTTGATCCATCTCGCTCCTCCGTCCTAGACCGACATCGACTCACCCTTTCCCCGCCCTTGACCTTTGTGGCTTCGGGACCACGGCATTCAGGATGGAGCACACCTTCAAGTCGGTCCTCGTCCTTGCCGTCGTCGGCCTGGCCGCGTTCGAGGGCGCAAGCGCCACCATCTGGACCTTCGGTGACGCTCCCACGCCGTGGTGCAAGGCTACGACCAACAAGCCCCCCGGTACCGTGGCATCCAACATCCACTGCCAGTACGGCCTTCCATCGGCGCTGGTGGGCAGCGGAGGGACTGAAAACCGCTGCTTTGGCGATGGTTTCGAGGCCGGCCAGGTGTCGGACAGGCAGGCGTTTTGTAAATGGTGCAGCCTGGTCGGAGGCGAGCCTCACGGTTGCTGAACGGACGATCGAAGGGCTTCACAGTCGACGGGACTAGCCTTCACAAGGATCCACCGACGCGGGTCAAGCAGGACGGTGTCAGCTCGATGCCATGGGCGAGATCCTATCTGTCGCGGTTCCGAGAAGTCTATTGTGAATCTGATGCGAGCGAGGCTTGCCGTTGCGTGCGTGTGGCGAAACAGAGTGATGGTTACAAGTACAGAGGGCACGTCCGAACGGTAGGCGGTGGCGGTAACGCAGGTTGAGGGGCAAATTTCGAGACGTTGAAGTGCGAGGCAAGGCGGGGCGGGGCGGGGCTAGAGGCCTTCCTCCTTGAGCTTCAATGCCTTGGCGGGTGCTTCGATCTGTAGCGTGGGCATCGGTTGCGCAGCGAAAGAAACAAGATTCCAGTTCGTCAGCACTTGAAGAGCGAAATATCTCCTTTGCTACTGCTACAGCTACTGCTGCTGCCGCCGTCTCCAAGCGGGTGGGTTACGCACCTTCCTGACGAGGTCAGCAATACCGACACGGACGGCCTTTTCGTCAAACTGGAGCGTCTGCTTGTTGCGGTAGGTGACGGTGATGCACTGGTCCTGGTCGCGGGATACGGTGGTGGCCTTGATCTCGGGCAGGTCCATGCCCGCGGCCGGGGGGCGCGCGGGGAGGCGTGCGAGAAAGAGGCGGAGCGAGCGCGCCGACTGCGACGACGAGAGCGGCGCAAAGCTCAGGTGCACCGATGTGATCTGGCGCAGTGACGAGGCGGGGAGCGACATCGTTTGTTGTTGCTGTTGTGCGGCGGGATGAGGGGCAGAGAGAGAGAGAGAGAGAGGAGGGGTGTGAGGTTGTCGGGAGGAATGATGTGGAAGAGGCGGGTCTGGAAGAAGTGGGGCGAGCGCAGCCAACGATGTGCGTGTGGGTTTTGCCCCGAGATGGCGGAAAGCGGCCATCGTGTGGTTCCTGTCGGCCGAGAGAGGCCGTCCCTCCACCTCGACGACCAACCGCCAACCCGCCTTTGGCCCCCCGACCCTTTCCCTTCCCCTCTCATCATCACCTACCCTTCCCTCACCGCCCACGCACGCACGCACGCACGACCATGGCGACGGCAACTCCGCAAGCGAGAGCCGCAGCAAAGGTGACGACGACGCCGATACCCGCGCACCTCCTCCCCGTCGTCCCAACACGGCAGGACAGCTTCACCACCCCGGACGGGCACACGACCGAGATCCTGGCACAGGCCTTCCAGGACCGCATCCTCATCCTCATCACCCAGGTCGGCAAGGTCGGCTGCCTCGTGGGTGTCCTTGGAGTTCCTGACGTAGCGTGGCGCAGGACCGCTGCTGACTCCCTCCTCTCCATTTTGCGCCGCGTCTGCTGCCAGATCCAGTCGCAAACACCCACATCCCTCTTCCAATCCTCTTCCCACCTCGACGATCCAAGCGACGCCGACGCGGACGCAGACACCGCTCCAACCCTGCCACCACCATCATCCTCCACCACCCTCTCGCACCTCTTTGGAACGCCGCCGCACGGCTACGCGACGCTGTACGACCTCTACGTTTCGCAGGTAGCCGCCATCGTCGCGGCCGACCTCGCAAAGTCCTACCAGGACTCGGCCGGACAGCGTCCCGTCGTCGTCGGACTCGGCCTCAAGGTGCTGCCCAGACAGTCTGGTACCGATGGTGGCGATGACGACGACGACGGCGGCGATGAAATGGCGGTGATGCTGGGCGAGGCTGAGCGCAAGCGGTTCCTCGAGATCATGATGAGGGTCGCGGGTTGTCGCGTCTGGTAGTCCGATGCGCGGTCGAGGTGTATATCCAAACTATCCTTGACTAAGCGAACGAGGGCGAAAGGTACAGGTCCGGATCTACACGGCAAGCATAAAAACAGCGAAGTTGAAAGACCGGGGGGCGATGGCGAGAGAAGAGACTCTGAGCGGCAAAAGAGGCGCAGAGTGCTGGCGAGTGGAACGAGCAGGCGGCCGACGACCACCTCACTGCTTGCCGAGCTGGATGGCCTCTGCGTTGCTGACGACGGTGACGGTGTTGTCGGTGCCTTCGTCCTTCTTGAAGGCTGGCGGCGCCCCCATGCCCTGCGAGCGGAGGCCCGCCGATCCCAGCTGGCCCGCCTTGACCATGGCCAGGCCGAGCGTCGAGACATTGATCTCGACGTTGGAGGAAAAGTGCGAGACGACTCCGGTCAGCTTCTGCCGGAGCGCGTCGATGGGGTGGCAGAATTGGGGCGAGGGGGGGAAAGGGGCCACTGTCAGTCGAGGTCGGCCGCGCGAGATGGCCTGTCTGCTAAGCGACGCCTCTGGACTCACGCCAAAGATGGTCTCGAGAGCCCTGGGCTGCTTTCGCTCGGCCTGGGCGAGGAAGCCGGGGCGAAAGATGATGACGTCGCTTGCGAGCTTGGCCAGACCTTCCTCTGTGAGGCCCTTTGATCGCGGGTAGAGAAAGAGGCTAGACGAGTTGGCGGCCTGCGACGAGCAGTAGACGATCGTCTTGTCCGCCGCCGGCTTCGTCGTCGTCGTCGTCATCGTCGTCGTGGTTGAGCCGGTGAGTGCAGCCTGTGCCGCGGCGAGGACGTACTGCCTGTCGATCTTCTCAAACGCCTGTGCCGAGCCGGCTTCGGCCCTGGTGGTTCCGAGTGTGATGAAGACGACGTCGGCGCCGACCTGGCTCAGCTTTTCGGCTTCGGCCTGGTCGCCCGAGAGGAGCTTGTCAAAGTCGAGCGGGTGCTGCGCAAACGACTTTTCCGGCGAGACGGTGGGCGTGGGCATCTGCGACGTGGGTCTGACGAAGGCGTGGACGCTTGAAAAGGACGACGAGGGCGAGAGGAGCGCCGAGAGGAGCGGCTTGCCCACTGCGCCCGTCGATCCGAGGCTGTGGTGGGCGGGGTGTGTGAGAGGGGAGGCCAAGACAGGGAGTCAGCCAGGGCGTAGAAGATGAGCAGGGCATGTCGGCCGGGACCAGGGTTGGATACTTGCACGATGGCCGTCTTCTTTGCGGATGCTGCCATGTCGGTCATGCTGCTTGCTACGGTGTTACTGCGGTTGCTGCTGCTGCTGCTCGCCTGGTAGTATGTGGTATTGAGATGGTGGTGGCAAACGGCTTCGCATGAAGCATCAACCTGGCGTCGGCGTCGGGCTGGCTTGGCCTGGCTTGGCTTGCCTCCACCGCAAGCGCCCGCCTCAGCTTGCTTTTGTTTGGTTGCCACGCGTGAAAAGGGGGCCGAACCCCCAGCTCGACGGCGGATCGGGCCGTCGCCGTCGAGCCAAGCTCAATTTTCGGAAGACGGAACGAAGTTCGGCAATCTCTCCCCTCGGCTTGCAACTTTTCCACGGCGCCGGCGAAGAAGCCGAAACAGGGTTGGGGGTCGAGCCTGAGCCTACCTGGCCATGCAGCTTCGGAGATTTGGTACCGTCGGCTGGGCCGTGGCCTGGGCGTGGCCAGCTGGGCGGGGCTGCATGTCCATCGTCATGCCACGCCCAACAAAGCAACAGGCTAGGCTAGGCAACGGCGTGCCTCTCTTTGCGGCCTGGCTCCGCACCGGGGATGCCGCGCTGCCCTTCAACTGACTCTGCACTTCTTCTCGTCTAGGCCCGTCGTTGATCTTGCTTGCTCGCCTCCTCTTCCTTCTTCCCACTCCAACCACCACCACGCCCCCCACCACCACCAACACCACCCGTCGGCATGTCCTCCTCGTCCAAGCCCGCCTTTGACCCGTCCGAGCACCCGCACCGGCGGTACAACCCGCTCACTCGCTCGTTTGTCCTCTGCTCGCCCCACCGCACCAAGCGGCCCTGGCAGGGCGCACAGGAGTCGCCCCAGACCACACAGCTGCCCGCCTACGACGAAAAGTGCTACCTCTGCCCCGGAAACGACCGCGCAACCGGCGGCAAAAACGACCGGTACGAGAGCACATTCTTCTTTGAAAACGACTATGCCGCCCTCATGCCCCTCGACGTCGAGCAGAGCAGCGGTGAGGAGCAAACGCCAGACTACAGACACGCATCATGAGGGCGGCTCGCCGCTCACACCGTTCTACTTTGCTCGCCCCCCTTTGGCCATCACAGACGCCGACTCGCACCCGCTGCTGCGCATGGAGCCGGCGCGCGGACGGTGCTATGTCATCTGCTTCCACCCCTCGCACAACCTCACCCTCGCCCAGCTCTCGACGGCGCCCTACACGGCCGCGACCCACATCGTCCCCATCATCCGCGCCTGGCAGGACCTCTACCTGCGCATCCCCGCCGAAAATCCGTTCGTCAAATACGTCCAGATCTTCGAAAACAAGGGATCCGCCATGGGCTGCTCGAACCCGCACCCGCACGGCCAGGTCTGGTCGCTCGACTACATCCCCGAGGAGCCGGCAAAGGAGCTCGAGTCGCAGAAGGCCTGGGCACTCGACGCCGCCAACGCCGAAGAGCGCATCAGCCTCGGCGTCCGCGACGACAAGGGCCGCCCCTCGCTCCTCCTCACCATCGCCAAGCTCGAGCTGACGTCCAAGGACCGGCCGCGCGTCATCTGCGCAAACGACGACTTTGTCGCCATCGTCCCCTTCTGGGCCGTCTGGCCGTTTGAGGTCCTCGTCCTCCCCGCCAAGCGCCAGATCCCCGCCATCTCGGACCTCTCGTCCGACGAGGCCGCCTCGCTCGCCCAGATCCTCGGCGAGGTGGCGTGCCGCCTCGACAATGTCTTCCAGTGCTCGTTCCCCTACTCGATGGGCATCCACCAGCGTCCCGTCGCCGCCTCGGCCTCGGCCTCGTCGGCGAGCGCCGGCGCATGCAACCACGGCCATGGTCACGGCGACGACGACAGCTGGGACTACGCACAGTTGCACATCCACTTCTACCCGCCGCTGCTGCGCAGCGCCAGCGTGCGCAAGTTCCTCGTCGGCTTTGAAATGATGGCCGAGCCGCAGCGCGACCTCACGGCCGAGCAGGCCGCCAAGCGCATCCGCGACTGCGACACCACCCACTACCTCGCCAAGCTCGCCCAGTAGCGGCGGCGGCGGCGGCGGCGGCGGCGGCGGCGATTAGGTGGTCGTAGAAAGAATGAAAAACGCCCCTCATCTATTCCCGCCCCTCATGCTGCGTCTAGGGGGTTGATCTACTCTAGCGAATGTACGACGATGCGGCCCCGCTTCTTTTCTCCGTGCTGCACCGGCGCCCCCGTCGCATGGGACGGCGCAGGCCTGCCTTCCTTCCACACGCTCCACTCCCTCTTTTCCGTCCCCGTCCCCGAGGCGTCGCCCGGGCCATACTCGGACTCGAGGCCGGTCCAGGGCTGCGCGCGACCCCGGAACGTGGCGTGGCACAGGTCGACGAGGACGTGCATCGTCTCGAGGGCCGACACGGTGCCGTCAAACGAGCGGCCGGGTAGCAGAAAGGGGAAATCGGAAAAGGCAGTATGCTGGCTGGCGTACGGTTTGGCACCGTACGCCTCTTCGTCGACGTACCGCCAGGCGGGCCTTGGTGCGACGGCGTCGAGGTCGCGCTGCCGCCGTTCCGAGACGAGGATCTGGCGCGCGCAGTCGGCGAGGTCGGTAGCGACGATATCGGGCGTGCCGAAGACGTCGTGGCAGGCGTAGTGCTCCTCGTACGTCACCCAGGCCGTCTTGAAGCCGGCGCGCTTGGCCGCGTACAGGTCCCACTTGTGGGACGCGACGAACCACAGCCCCCGTTGGCCCGCCCGCTTGTCGACGCGCTGCAGCACCTCGTCGTACACGCGCATGTCGGGCTTGGCCACCTCGATTTCGTCGCAGCTAAACAGCCCCACCCCCTCGCCTACGCTCGTCGCATCGCCCTTAGCCGTCGACGACGACGGCGATGGCGAAGACGAAGATGAAGATGAAGGAGAGGGCCGCACGTCGAGGTCGCCGCCATCAATGTCTCCGAGGACGCGGAGGAACGAAGACCGGCCCAGTTCGAGGCTGCCGTTCGTGGCGGCCCACAGATCGACCTTGGTGATCGAGGGATGCAGTGTCCCCTCGCCGCGTCGATCGCGGTAGATGGAGCGGAAGGTATCCTCCATCCCCGGTCGAGGCGCAAGCCGCTTGAGCGAAGCCATCATGGCATCGACGACCTCATCGCCGTACGGGTTGACGAGGGCGTGGTCACCCGATCGATCCAGGCCGGACCCGGCTTGACTCAGCGCGTCTCCGCCGTTGCTGGCGCGGGGAAGGAGGCCGGCCTGAAGCAAAACGCGCGGCAGCGTCGCTTTGAAGACGGCGCCGATGGGTGTGTAGCCGCCGGACACGGAGCGATAGGTGAAATCGCGCTGGGTCGCGTGGAACCAGTCCATGACGATCAGCTCGGCCGTAATGGGTGGCACGCCGCCGCCCCCGCCGTCGCCGCTGCTGGCGTCGGGCGAGAGCTGCGAGGGAAAGAGCGAGACGAGCGCCTCGGTGGGCGCGGTGAGCGAAAAGAGGGTGCCGAACATGTCGTGCACGACGACCAGCCGGTTCGGGTCGCTCTCGTCGCGCTGCGGTGAGGCGGCCGCAGTCGCCGCGGGCACCGCCGCGGCGTCGGTCGTCGGCTCGGCAGAGAGGGTGCAGAGCCACCCCTGTCCCGTTGCGGCCCGGGCGCCTTTCATGATCTCGACGACGTCGGCCATGTGGCCCTTCCAGCAGGTAAAGTGCTCGCTGTTGATCGTGTACACGGGCCGCCTGACCGGGCGCGCCTTGAGCGAGTCGAGCTCGATGGGCTCGACCCAGGGGTCCATGAGGAGGGCTCGCGAAAAGGGGCAGTCGTCGCGGCGCACGACTTCGAGCGCCGTCGCCGCGCCGAACGAGTGGCCGGCGATCCAGGGTCGGTCGAGGTCGAGGCGGTGCGCAAAGGTCGCGATGGCGTCGAGCAGCGGCTGCGTGGGCGAGCGCGTCGAGGAGTGCGCCACGGCGAGGCCATCGCCGGCGTCGATGCGGCGGAGCACCTGGAGCGCCGCGGCGACCTCGGCCTGGCGATGCTCGAGCTGGGCGCGTCGGAAGACCATCGGATCGGGCTTCTCGGCCACTTCGTCGGGCCGAACGTAGGTCTTGGCCGTCGAGGTGGGTGCAGAGCCGCCGCCGCCAGAGAACCAGCTCCACAGTCCTCGGGACGCCGCGCCGTCCCTGTCTGCGCTGCCGCTCGGGTGGAGGGTCGTGGTACACGCCGCAGTACCGTCGCGGTGCTCGATGGCGGCCACTATGTTGCCCCGGGCGGCCAGGCCGATGCAGAGGGTCGAATAGGTGGTCCTCGTTCCGCCGAGACCGTGGCTGAGGACGATGGTCGTCGTCCTCGTCCTGTCCTTTTCTTGCCGATACAGGGGTTGGTGGGCGAGGCACGGCAGACGCTGACCCACGACGCCCCACGCGGGCAGCACGATGGCCGGCGCGAGGAATTTGGGCACGCCGGCGTACTTGAGCAGGCCCGTGATCGACCTCAGTTTGGGCGGTTCGAGCCACGATGGGCTGTCGTGTCCGGCTTTGGACGTCGACGACGAGGTGGTGGAGGGCGGCACATCGCAGGGGTAGTAGAGCGTAAGCAGCACGGTCGACGTCGAGAGGACAGCGCCGCCGCCGTTGATATCGGTGTACTGTGGCGAATGGATGGGCGTGTCGAGCGGCACCTCCAGCGTCAGCGTCGATACGCCGTACGGCGACGAGGCGCGGGGGCGAGGCAGCGACATCCTCGTCGCCAGTCTATGGAGGAGCAGGGTGAAAGAAGTAGTCCCGGGGGGTGTGGACGGCGCTGCGGTTGTGGGACGGTCTAGGCGATGCTGATGGTGGTGGTCGATATGGACGGTGAGGGACAGGGCCCTCCAGGCCTAGGCTATGCGGGGATGACAGATGGTTTGGCTTGCTTCCCGCGTCTGTGGCCGCCCCCTAGCCTGACCTGGCCTGTCCTGGCCTTGGTCGGCTTCGCGGGCTTTCGTCGCACCGCCAGGCCGGGCATCGCATCAGCGAGCGGCACGAGGGCGGCGTTCCTGGCTGCCTCGGCCAGGCGCTGCACCAACCGGCTTTTGGAGCGCCGGCGTCCGGACGCCAAGAGTGGAGGCGGCTAGGGTGATGCGGCCCTAACCCCGCCCGCTCCCTCCGCGGCGCGGTCCTCACACGACAGAGCAGGATATTCGCGTGACCCTTTGCTTCATTCGCGCGTCTATGGATGGAAGGGGGCAAAGGTGGGGGTGTGGGACAGGACGGCGTGCGCGGCAGAGAGCCTACTTCTACTGCGCCGCCGTCGCCGGCCCCTGAAAACCCCCGTGGTGGGAGGATTGGCGAAGAGGAAAGACCTTGGAAAGGCAGGCAGAGCGGCCGTGCTGAGCTCCGGCCGCATCTGAAAGGGAAAAGAGAGGGGGAAGAGAGTGTCCACGTCGTCGAGAAAGAAGCGGGGGCCGTGAGAGGCGGGCGTCGAGCGGGGTCACCGGGATCACGGGAGAGAAGACAAGAGTACAAGGGTAGGGGAACCGGGGCGAGAGGCACGGAGACGGAGAGAAAGAGACAGAGATGCTGCAGGGTGGGTGAGCGGAGATCGAGGCGAGGGAGACGCGCCTCACTTCTTGAGCGTGCCCATGACACGGGCGGGCGTGGCCATCTCGATGTGGAAGTCGTCGGCGGGGTGCCTGTACAGGCCGGCCTTGAGACGGCGCTGGTCGATGTGGTGGCCAATGAAGCCAATCGAGCGGCCCAGGGTAAAGATGCCGTTGAGGAAGCCGTACGACAGGTAGTCGCGCGCCTCCTCCATGGTGAAGGCGCCCGAGTCGCGCAGCAGGTCGACGAAGCACACGGCAAGGCAGCCGTCGACGTTGAGGATGAGCGTGTCCTTCTTGGCCGTCGTCACCTTTTCCACGGCGAGCGCGTAGTCGAGCATCTTGTGCGACGGGAAGTTGTTGAGCACAAAGTCCTTGACCACCTGCACGCGGTAGTCGGGGTTCGACACCGACTTGATCTTGTGGCCGATACCGGGGATGAGCTTGTTGCTCCTCCTCATGACGTCGACGTACTCGCGCGCCGTGAGGCCGCGGTCAAAGGCGTTGGAGAACTCCTTGGCGGCGTCGTCGAGCGCACCGCCGAAGCGGTCGCCGATCGTCAGCAGGCCCGACACGAGCGACGAGATCAGATCCTTGCCGGCGCGCGACGTGATGATGGTGTTCATGGCACCGGACACGGCGGGGCCGTGGTCGGCGGTGAGCATCAGGGCCATCTCGATAAACTTGGTGCAGTAGTCGGGCAGGCGCCTCTTGAACCACAGCAGCGAAATGACGCCGCCGATGCCCATGCCGGACTCGAAGACCTCGGAAATCTTGACGCCCGAGTACATGAGCTCGGATCCGCGCTCGTCGGAGATGGTCGAGATGAAGGCGGCGGGCTTGCGCACCATGCCGAGCTCCTGGGCCCACTTGTAGTCGATCGGGATGGCGGGCGCGGGGCGCTCGGGGACGGGGACGACGCTGCCCGAGGCGACGAGCTTGTTGTACACCTCGCGCAGCACGACGGGCAGGTCCTCGAACGTGTCGGGCACGATGAAGCCGGCGGCCTTCATGGCGGCGTTCTTGGCCGACGCCGTCTCCATGTCGCTGTTGGCCATCGAGCCGGCGTGGCCGAACTGGACCTCGGTGGTGAACATCTTGGCGCACGTGCCGATGGCCCACGCGACGATGGGCTTCTTGATGATGCCCTGCTTGACGGCGTCGATGACGCGGTACTCTTCAACGCCGCCCACCTCGCCGAGGAGGACGAGGAACTTGCAGTTGGGGTCCTGCTCGTAGCGCAGCAGGTGGTCGATGAACGTCGAGCCGGGGTAGCGGTCGCCGCCGATGGCGATGCCCTCGTAGGTGCCGTTGGTGGTGATCGAGAGGATGTTGTTGAGCTCGTTGGACATGCCTCCGGACTTGGAGACGTAGCCGACCGAGCCGGGGCGGTAGAGCTTGGACGAGAGGATGTTGTCCATCATGCCGCCCGAGTTGCCGATGCGGAAGCAGCCGGGCTTGATGCCGCCGACGGTGGCCGGGCCGATGATGAGGACGCCGGCCTTCTTGGCGCGGTGGAGGATCTCGCGGGCGTGGCGCTCGGGGACACCCTCGGCGATGAGGGCGAGGGCGCGGATCTGGGGCAGCTCGAGCACCTCGAGCGTCGACGAGTAGACGGAGCGGCTCGAGGCAAAGTTGACGACGACGTCGGCGTCCGGGTGCTTGGCGACGGCCTCCTTGATGCTCGTGTAGACGGGCAGCAGCGTCTCCTTGGTGCCCCAGTAGAACTTCTGGATGTGGTGGCCGCCGAAGGGGTAGATCATGGCGGCGACCGAGGGCGTGGCGCGGCCGCACGAAAAGTCAAAGTCGAGCATGCCCTGGATGGCGCGCGGCTGCAGGCCGTAGACGAGCGAGCGCGTGTTGGCGTCGAAGGGCAGGTAGGCCGGGCGCTGGCTGCCGGAGGCGGCCGCCGAGGCGCCAAAGTGCACAATCTGATCCTGCGGCTGCACGCGGGCGCCGGTGGCGGGGTCGACGGCGCCGGTGAGCTTCTCCTCGGCCTTGGCGCCGTTGGCCGAGACCTGGACGGCGGGGCTCTGGGCGCCCGAGGGCAGCGCGTTGGCGCTGGTGCTGGCCAGCGTCACCTCCTCGAGCGTCTTGACGCCGAGGGCGAGCGGGACAATGTCGGTGATGTGGGTCTCGGGGCCAAACACCTGGATCTCGACGCCGAGGTCCTCGCCGAGGAGGCGCATCGCCTTGAGGCCCTCCTGGTAGTTGGGGCCACCACGGCGGACAAAGATGCGGACGCCGTGCTTGGCGAGCGCCACCTTGTACTCCTTGAGCGCGCGGATGATGCCCTTGAAGGTCGAGGCGACGTTGGTGAAGTTGGCGATACCGCCGCCGATGATGAGCAGCTTGCCCTGCGGGTTGACCTCGCCGCGCGTCATGAGGTCGAGCAGCGTCTTGGCGTACTCGAACGTCTGGCCCTCGGAGGGCGCTCCGGAGTACTCGCCGTAGTTGGCCAGCTCGTGGGCGTAGCCGTGGGCGGCGATGGCGTCCGAGTAGACGACCGACGCACCACCGCCGGCGACCATGGTCCAGATCCTGCCGGTCGGGTTGAGGACGGTGAGCTTGAGCGAGGCGCCCGTGCCGGCGTCGAGCTTGGCAATGTAGGCCTCCTCCTTGGTCAGGTCACGGCCGAAGGGGGCGGGCCAGTACATGGGCGGGCCGCGGTCCTCGCCCTTGTTGGTCTGGACCTGGCCGATGGGGCTGTCCATGTAGACCGAGGGGTCGCGGGCAATGGCCCACTTGGGTCCGCAGATGAAGTCGGCCGTCTGGTCGAGCTTGGCGGCCATGTCGAGGTAGGCAATCTGGCCATCGTCGGTGGCGACGAGCGGGTTGATCTCCAGGTAGGCAAAGTGCAGGTCGACGTAGACGCTGTACAGGCGGATCAGGAAGTCGGTCAGGACCTCGCGCTTGGCCTCGGGCACGCCGACGAGCAGAGTCTTGGTCCACTGCTCGCGCAGCGGGAACGCCTCGCTCGGGTCTGCGGGGATCAGGAGCTTGAGCGCCTTGGCGTCGACATCGCCGACGTCGACACCACCCTCGTGGGTGAAGAGAATCCAGTCGCCCTCGCGCGCAGAGTTGATGCAGACGTAAAACTCGGTGTCGGCCGGGTGCGGGCAGAAGGGCTCGACGATGAAGTTGTTCAGGGTGCCCGTCACGGTCTCGACCTGCGCAGGGTCGGCGACAGCAGCGGCGGAGGCGTGGGGATCCACGCAAGCGAGTCAGAAAAAGGCTGTCACGGCATCCGACGACTGCGCCACGCGTTGCCCGTGCTCACCTTCTGGGGCTTGCCAGCACGCTCCTGGATCCACTGCTTGGCGTCGGCCCATTCCGTGTTGAGCTTGAGCAGGCCCGCCTTGCCACGGCGCTTGATAAGCTGGTCGGGCTTGGCGACGAGCTTGGTCGTCTTGACCCACGACGGCAGCGAGCTCTCGTCGGTGATGGTGTTGGTGGCCGGGTCCCAGGCGATCTGGGCGACCTTGGGCGCGGGCGCAACAAAGTCAGAGTTGACCTTGATGTCCGGGTGCGCCAGAGGCGACCTGGGCAGCCAGTAGTTGACCAGGAGCTTGGCGTCGAATTCGCGGATGGCTGAGGAGGGGCGAGGCGCGAAGAGAGAAGGCCGAAGCGCAGGTCAGTCGCGGTGCTCGTGCGCGGTCGACTGAAGACAGCGGACCAGCCGCAGAGCCGTGCAATGGCAGCATAGCACATGCGAGGACGGCAGGCAGACCACGGTCGCGAGCCGACTCGACCGCAACGCCGAGGCCGTGCGCATGCCGCAGCTCTCTCTCTCCCTCTGTTTCTCGCCGAGTCGGCGCGTGCGGCGCGTCAAGCTGCCGCTAGCCAGCACACGGCCTAGCGCTCCGTCGTCCGCTCGCTCGCTCGTTCATTCCCTCGCTCGACTACGCACCTTTGGAAGACATGGTGGTTTGTGTATGTGAGGGGGGGAGTTGGGAACGATCTCAGCTAAGTGATGTTCGTAGGAGGAGAGGACGGGCGCGTCGGGACGTGGGGCTAGGCAATGACCCGGAGTATCGACGGCAGCAGCGAAGGAGGGTGAGATGGTAGTGGTGGCGGCGAAGGATGGGAGGAGAGGATGGGCGAGTGAGGGGGATCGAGGATGGAAGGGGCGTGGAGTCTATTATACAGGGCCCTGGTTGGCGGACCACTGGCTGGCAGCTGAGCCGCCTTCCGTTGGGGGGGACCAAGGTGTGGCCCCTGCGTGCAGCAAATTTGGGTCCACCCTCACTGGCCTGCCTCGACCTTCTCTCTCTGACCCTGGATTTCTTCCAACGCTCCGGTTGGCCTGCGTGCGCGTGCCCGGCTGGAAGGGCAGCAAGCCGGGTGGGTCGCCCGCCTTCCGCCCTTGTCGTGGCTCTCTGTCTGTCTGTGGTATTTGCTTTTTGATCTTTTCCTGACGCGGGCGGACCGCAAGCTAGCCCTACGCACGCCCAAACCACCTGACCTTGGCCACGCCGGCCCATTTCATATGCGGACCGCCAGAGCATGCCGTATCGTATCGTTCGACTCGGTCCTCTCTCCAGAGGAGTCTGACTGCCAGAGCCGCAATCAGCTCGATCAGAGAGAGTGTGTGGAAGACGCGATGGGTTGACGCCGTCGTCTCGCTCTCGATCTGCTCAACAGCAAAAGCTCGCTGGACATGTCGTTGGCTCCCGAGAACCTTGCCGCCTGCTCGCTTGACCTGCTCGGAAGTCGATCGCTGGGAGCGCTTTCAGATACGGCACCCGAAGGCAGAAGGCAGGCAAGAGGCCGCGCGTCGGGACCGAAGCCGAGCCGGCGCCGGCTGCCCGGCTGGCTGCCCGGCTGGCTGGCTGGCTGGCTGGGCGGGCCAGACCGAGCGGTGTTGATCTGTTGGGGAGTTGGGGACAGGCGGTGCCCTCGCTTTTGGACTCGCCCACCGCGTTTCGCCCAGATGGGCGGCGGACTTTGACCGAAGCCAAGGCAACGAAAAAAAAATCGACGCAAACGGACGCCACCGCACCCTCTTCTGACTGGACGGAGGGTTGGGGCGAGCGAGCGGGCGGCCTGCACCTTGCCTCCCACCGCTGCGCCAGGCTTGCCCTCGGAGTGATCAACGAGGGCAGCCAGCAGGAGAGTCGGTCCGGCGGCGTCGTGCAAGGCTTGGTCTGCAGGCCTTCAGACGTGTGGACAAAGGCAGGCACAGCCGCACTGGTCGAGCGAGCGAGCAGCCACCTTCGCGGCCCGCCGTCGGCGCGTTTCGAGATCCCTGCTTTTTGATCTGCAGCCGACGAGGTGGCCCCATCTTGCTTGTTCGTTCTTGCAATCGATCGGGAGATTGGCCCATCGGGATGATCTGCTGTCGGCTTCCCGGAATCGGGAGGAGCAGCGGCGTCGCCTGCGTCTTCGTCCGGGCCGGACAGGAAATTCTCCTGTCATCCGCCGGCATGTCAGCGCACCGCTGCCGCTGCCCGTGTGTACGTGTACGTACAGCGGAGAGGCTTCCCGGACCATGGTCTCCATCAATACGGCCAAGGTTGCACCACTAGGTCGGCCGGGCCGCCACCCAAGCGCTCCATTGCGATCCTCGATTGATTCACGGAGGAATGCCAGCCAGCACGGCACGGCAGTGGCTGCGCCGTGACCCCGTGCAAGACGAGCTCGGGTCGCCCCGTTAGCGGCGCCGCACCTCCCCCGGAGCTCGTCTTCCGGAGCCAGCTAGACGCCCCACTCATTTGTGCCATCGGCGACTAGACATGATGGCATATAAACATGGCCCTCGGCGACGACGAGACTGCCTCTTGTTCCCATCCTCACCATCACCCTCATCCTGATCTCTGTCTGCCAGCTTGCTCATCCCCCAACTCACCCTCTGCACGACCAACACCCGCACGCGCTCACCCACCATGTCTGGATCCAGCGAAACCAAGACGGCACTCATCCTAGGCGCGTCGCGCGGCATCGGCCGTGCCCTCGCCCTCGACCTCAAGGAGCGCGGCTGGAACGTCATTGGCTCGGTCCGCAAGCTCACCGAGATCCCCGGCGTCCGCATAATCCAGCTCGACCTCAACGACGAAAAGAGCATCCAGGCCGCCTCTGCTGACTTCCCGCCCATCGTGAGTCGCTGTGGTGGTCGCAACGCTGTCGGAGCGTGCCTTGCTGATGATGGCTCTCGCGTCTGGCCATCCTGTCCCCCCGGTTGGCCCGCCTGGCCTGTAGGACCTGCTCGTCGTGAGTGGTGCGATTGCCGGCACCGAGAACCTGCTCGAGACGTCGTCGGAGCACCTGCACCACTACCTCGACACCAACGTCGTCGGCCCGCACCGCGCCGTCCAGGCCTTCCTCCCCGCGCTCCGACGCGGCAACAAGAAGCAGATTGTGCTCATCTCGAGCATGCTCGGCAGCAACGAAATCATGTTCGGACGCGACATGGAGCTCTTCTCAGGTCCCTACGTGAGTGCTCCGCCCTCCGGACAGTCGAGGCGGTGGAGAGATGGAGTAGTCTCGCTGAGCGTCCCTTTGTCGATCGTCCTCTTCTTGCCCGCCTGTCCGAATCCAGTCGATCACCAAGGCCGCTCTGAACATGATGGCCGTCCTGCTGCACAACTACCTGCAGAAAGATGGTTTCACCGTCATTCCCATCCACCCCGGTGAGTGGCCACCGCGAGGCCTGCGCGCTTGACCCCTGCCGCCCGGATCGCTGACACTCGGGCCTCCTTTTCGCTATGTTGCTCTTCGCAGGCTGGGTCGACACGGACCTCGGCAAGCTCGCCGGCCCCGGTGCCATGCCCATCAGCGAGAGCGTCGGCGGCATCGCGGGCGTGATTGAGGACCTGACGCCCGAGAAGAGCGCCAAGTTTGTCAACTGGAAGGGCGAGCCCATGCCGTGGTGATGGATGGGCGACGCTGCGCGCCCAGTTCCGCAAGCCCCGCTGTTACGATTCCCGCGACGGACGATGGACGATGAACTGACGTTGAGAAATGACAAACGAAGCGACGGTTAGAACGAGTGCGCCTTTGGACGATATGATGCTGTCGAAGTCGAAGAGGGGAGCCAGCTCGGGGAATCGAGGGCGGAAGGCAGGCCTGCCGGCGTCGCTTGAGCAGGTGGGCCGCACGACGAGCGACCCGAGCCAAAGGGGGCCGCGCTCCATTGCGCTCGGACCATTGACGATGGCGTTGGCGAGGGTTCTCCTGCGACCACCACCACACCTCATCCCTTGCTCCCTGCTCCCCTGCTCCCCTGCTCGTCTTCTGCCCAGCATCGCCGGCCTGCGTCGTTCTGGACCACGTTGTCGCGCCTTTGCCCCAACCATCTGCAGCAGCAGCTGCTGCTGCAACAAAGACTGACGATGGCGACGACGACGATGCCGCTGCTGTGCCCAGTTGGGCGCCGAGCTGGGGCGGGCAGCATGAAGCTGATGCGCACGGGCCAGGTGCATGGCGCCATAGCCGGGCTCCGGTCGAGGGCCTTGCCGGCCCGGCACAACAGCGGCGGCCCCGCTGCTCGTTACCCCGCACGGCTCAGCGCCCCATCTTCCTCCCGCCGCGACCTCCCGCAGACATCCTGGTCCTCCTCTTTCTCCTCCTTCTCCTCCTCCTCCCGCATCGCAACGCCTCTATATATTCACCCTCGACCCACGCAGCACCTCGCGACCCTCACTGACCCCCGACACCCACGACAGCGCACCCTATCCACCTCGACCCGCCTCTCGCACCCCATCCTCCATATCCGATCCGCCATGGCTCCTGCAACCTCGGCCTCGTCGTCGGCCAAGTCCGCCGTCGACTTTGACCAGACCGTCGGCTACGACAACGGCGTCCAGCCCGTGTCGTGGAACAGGCGTGACCTCCTCACCTACGCCGTCGGCATCGGCGCAGGCGCAGACGACCTCGACTACGTCTACGAGGCCTCGCACGACTTCCGCGCCTTCCCGACCTACCCCGTCGTCCTCGGCCTCAAGGGTGGGTTGATTGCGATCAGCATTGGCAGGTGATCGCTTCGGACAGCCCAAGTGACCTAGTTCTTGCCCCCCTCCCTTGTCCATCTTGTAGGCACCAGCGAGGACACGACCGTGTTCAGCGAGATGGTGGGCTCGCGCTCGGCGCTGCCCGGCTTCCCCTCGCTCCACCCGGACACGATTGTGCACGGCGAGCAGAGCATCGAGATCCACAAGCCCATCCCGCTCGTCTCGGGCGAGGGCTGGAAGCTCGCCAAGCGCATCAGCGCCGTCCACGACAAGGGTAGCGGCCTCATCCTCGAGACCGAGGTGACCCTCATCAGCCCCGTCGGACACAAGCACGCCACCATGGTCGGGTGAGTGCTCATCGACGGCGGCTGCCGGTGTGCGACACCGTGTGCGTGCAGGCATCGCCGACTCACCACCCTCGTCTCTGTTCTATCCTCTTGGTATCGCCGCGACAGCTCGGCCTTTTACCGCGGCGGCGGCCAGGGCACGGGCTACAGCAAGTCGATTATCAAGAAGCCCGAGAGCGTCAAGGCGCCCTCGCGCTCCCCCGACTTTACGCTGTCGGAAAAGACGACGCCGCAGCAGGCGCTCCTGTACCGCCTGTCGGGCGACTACAACCCGCTGCACATCGACCCGTCGATTGGCCAAAAGGGCGGTCTGGGCGGCGTCATTCTCCACGGCCTGTGCTCGTACGGCCACGCGGCGCGCGCCGTGCTCAAGGCCGTCGACGCCAAGGACGGCCAGCCCGCCGACCGCAACGGCAGCGACCGACGCGCCGAGCTCGAGGTGTTTACCGCGCGCTTCACCTCGCCCGTTCGCCCCGGCGATGAGCTCGAGACGGCCGTGTGGATCCTGGGCGAGAAGGCGGGCAAGCTCGAGATTGCCTTTGACCAGACCAACAAGACCAACGGCAAAAAGACGCTCGGTGGCGGATATGCCCGCGTCGCCCTCAAGAAGCTCGACAGGGCTCCGTCGTCGAAGCTCTAGGGGGTTCACTGGTTGTTTGATAAGCCGTAGCTAGCGTTTATGGAGCCGGACTTACGAGGCCTCGCAGGGAATGCAATCAGAGAGTCTGAGTAGTTCCAAGATGCACCTGGCCGTCGCGCGATGTGTGTGTCGGCGGGCTTCTCTGAGCGGCAGGCGAGGCTACAGGTGGGCCAGAGGTCTGCGCCCTCGAGCCCCGATGGTGCCACTGACGGGCAGGCAGGCTGGCAGGCAGGCTAGGGAATCTGCTCTCAAGACGCGCCCGAGTGGGCGACGGATAATGTCCGAATGCAGGATAAGTCCGGTTGCAGGGTAGGGTGGTCGGGAGGCCCCCGAAGTGGCGAGGAGAAGCGGCCCTCCCGATGAGGGCAACCTCACTCGCCTCCTCGGCCGGACAAGCGCCCGAAGTCAGCGAGCGACCCGCACGGACTTTGCGAGGCAGGCCTGGCCTGGCCGGGCCCGGCTGGAAGCGTGTAAACTCCGTGCGCGACGTGGCTCGTGCCCCGCAGGCCAGGCCTAGCCTGCTCATTTGACGTTGCATGCGTGGTTACGGTACGGCCGTAACTAGGCTTCGGGAAGCCCGAAGGCAGGCCCAGGGTCCTCGTCTGTTCCACCTCGAGGGTCGTCGCTGCTGCTCCTCGCTGAAGGGGACCCCGAAGCCCTACCGTAAGCGGCCAGCCCAGCCCTGCCCTATATCAATCAGCGACCAGGCCGTCATCGCACCGCCTGCCCACCACCTGCCCCCCAGCCTCACCAACCCCGCGCCGTAGCTAAAGCTTTGCCCCCTCGATCCGCCACCATTCTCGCCCGCACCACTGCCCGCCGCCTGCTGCAGCACTCGCCGCTCAGTGCCATCCACACGTCGCCGCTCACCACCCTCGCTCGCCTTTCCTCGCCCTCTGCGACGACGAGCAGCAGCCGCATCAGTTTTGCACGCACCTGCCCATCTCTGCCCCTCGCTCCACCCGCAACGCACCGCAACATGAGCGACTCGCACAAGGACGGCTCCACAAAGTGGTCGTCCGACGACGGCCAGTTCCGCCGCCAGGTGTCGTCGTTCCGCGACGACATCCAAAAGGGCGGCAGGTTTGAGCCCGAGGTGGGCCGCTACCACCTCGTCGTCTCGCTCGCCTGCCCCTGGGCCCACCGCACCCTCATCGTGCGCAAGCTCAAAGGGTTCGACCAGGTACCCGACCTGCTCCCCGTCCACGTCGTCGACTCGCTCCTCGGACCCGAGGGCTGGTCCTTTGTCCCCTACGACGACCCGCCCAACCTGGGCGTGCCCGGCACGGGCAACAAGATCCCGGGACACGAGGGCAAGAAGCGCATCCGCGACCTCTACAAGACGGCCGACCCGGAGTACTCGGCGCGCTGCACCGTCCCCATCATCTGGGACAACAAGAACAACACCGTCGTCAGCAACGAGTCGTCGGAAATCATCCGCAACCTCAACACGGCCTTTGACGACTTTATCCCGGACCGCTTCCGCGGCCTCACCTTCTACCCCGAAGACCTCCGCGCCCACATCGACGACCTCAACGGGTGGATCTACGACACGGTCAACAACGGCGTCTACAAGTCCGGCTTCGCCACCGCCCAGTCGGCCTACGAGCAGAACGTCAAGCCCCTCTTTGAGAGCCTGGACCGCATCGAAAAGATCCTCAGCGACGGCCGCAACTACGTCGTCGGCGGCAAGCTCACCGAGGTCGACATCCGCCTCTACACGACCATTGTCCGCTTCGACCCGGTCTACGTGAGTAGTCGTCGCGGCCAGAGGTGCTCTTTCGCCGGTTTCCCATTCCAATGCCGCCCTGCTTACCCGCGCCGCTCCCTCCTCGACCCCACTCCCGCGCCCGCAGGTCGGCCACTTCAAGTGCAACATCAAGACGATCCGAGCGGGCTACCCACACATCGATCGATGGCTGCGCAACCTGTACTGGAACGAGCCCGCCTTTGTACGTCCTGCCGCTGCACCCTGTCCCCGCTGGCAGACAAGTGAGTGCAGTGCAGCTGACACGCCCGCCCGCTACCTCCCTCTCCCTCTCCCTCTGGCCCCTCTCCGTTCGCTGGGCCCGAACATTCGCAGAAAGACACGACCGACTTTGAGCACATCAAGGCGCACTACTACCAGAGCCACCCGCAGATCAACCCGACGCGCATCGTCCCCGTCGGTCCGCTCCCGCCCATCCTGCCCCTCGACGCCTGATCCGCCTCTGATCCTCGCGCCCTCTCGTGCGCAACCCCCCGTGTCCCGTTTTCACGCACACGTTCCGATGGAAATGAAATCGAATCCGTTTACGACCATCGCCTATCGCTTGGCCTGTCCTCGCCAACCGGCCGGCCGTCGCTTACATGCCCTTGCGCTCCATGAGCTGCAGCGCCTTGATGTCGGGCACGACGTGCTTTTCGTGCATGAGGTAGTGGACCACGTCCCAGCAGTCGGCCTTGATGGCCTCGCGCAGGTGTCGGCTGTCGGGTACGAACCGGTCGGGCAACCTCCTCTTCTTGGACGACCCTGACGACGAGGGCGGCGTGGTGGTGGTGCCTTCTGGCCTCGCACCGTCCTCTTCCTTTTCCCCCGTCCGCCCGACCGGAGCGCGGTACGACGGCATCTTGATGCGCCACCACCTCGCCACGCTCTCATCGACGAGCCGATCGAGAAACGCCCTAGCCTTGGCCCACCGCTTTTCCATCTTCTCCTGCCGTTCGACCAACGTCCTCAGACCGAGTAGCGCGCCCTTGCGCACGGCAATCTGGATGGCCAGACCTTCCTTTTTCGACGGGTCGGCACCATGGGCAAGGAGGATGTGGACCAGCGTCCAGCTGTCCGAGTGCACCGACATGGCGAGCGGGAAGCCAGAATGCGAGTTGGCGTCGCCGCCGTAGCGCGAGAGGAGCAGCAGCACCAGCTCCATGGCCGCGGCGTGCGGGAGCGGTCCGATGGCGTCGCTCGACGACGCGAGAAAGGGAGGGAGCAGCGACAGCAGCGACGAGGGGTAGCCCGACGCCGCGTCCACCGCCTCTGCGCTGGCGGTCAGGGACGGAGGGGCAGGCTCCTCGTTGCGACGACGCTTCTTGCCCCTCGACTTGCCCGAAGCGCCCGGCAGAGATCCCGAGGCCGCCGCCGGAGGCGTGTAGACGCCGAGCTGGACCTGCTTCAACGCGCGGAAGATGCGTTTCGGCAGCTCGACGTGCGTGAGCACCGGCGCCTGCTTGTCGCCGGCCAGATCCGACAGCGCAGGGACCGAGGACGACGCGCGGCGGTCGAGGCGCCGGCGATGATCCTCGAGCACGGCGTGGACGCTCTCGATCTGCAGCAGCCTCAGCTCGAGGCGGATCACGACGTCGGCCGTGCAGATGCCGAAGCGGGCAGCGTACGAGACCGGATCGACGTTGGCCGCAGACGGCAAGTGCGAGGCGCAGCACAGCGCCAGCGTGCCCGGCGTCAGGATCGAGGCGCGCTTCCAGAAGCCCGGCGGCGGCGCCGAGTGCACCTCGCCCGCGGCCCGGCGGTAGCCGCACGAGCAGGCGCGGAAACGCGTGTCGCGCCAGGTGGCGAGGTTCTTCAGGTGGTCGTCGTGCCACATCTCTAGCAGGTACTCGACCCTGACGCCCAGGGGGGCTCGATGGAAGACGTCCCGCAGCCCGCGGCTGGCCACTGCCAACGACGGCGACCGTGCCAGCACAAAGATGCTGTACAGCAGCTCGACGGGCAGGCTGTGCAGGCCGGTCGGGATACGCTGCACGCCCGGGCCACCACCGCCACCGCCACCGCCACCGATCTGCTCGTACTTGTCGTCCCGCTTCCTGTACGGCTTGTTCGGGTCGAAGGGATCGTCGTAGCCGTCGTCGCTTTCGCCGCCGGCGTCGTCGTCCGAGCCATCGTTCTCATTGTTCTTGTCGCCGCCGGGGGCAGCGGGCAGGCTGCGGTGCCATTCGACGAGGAAGTCATCGAGGTCGACAAACAGCCGGATCTCCTTTTCGCACATGACCTCGTACAGCGATGCGATCTCGTCGATCGTCATGGCGTCGCGCAGGGGCCGGCGGAAGGCAAAGAGGTAGATCGACTTGCTGCCCGGGCAGGCCTTGATGGCGCGGTAGAGCAGCCCTTTCGCGCGGGCCTGCTGCTCCTTAAGCCCTCTCCGGTCACCCGCCTTGCTGCCGAGCAGCCTAGTCTCAAACTCGAGGCAGATCGACCACAGAGTCGTAGACGCCTGTGCGGCCGGCGAGTCGAGCGCGCGCTCCATGAGTCGGCGGGCGGCGCTCTCGTTGAAGCGGTCAGAGTAGAGGTTGAGCTCGACGTACAGAGCAAACAGCCATGGCGTCAGAGGTGCCGAGATGGCTGCAGACCGCCCGATTGCACCCCCTGCGAGCGCCCTCGCCGTCGTCAGTCTCTCCTGCTTCGAGAGGTGCGATTCGAGCGCGAGCCGGAGGTGGTTGTCGATCTTGCTGCGCATCTCGTGCGCCGCGAGGTGGCTCCACAGGAGTGTGTTCGCAGGGCACACGGCGACTGCGCTGTCGAACGCCCTTCGCACCTCGGCAGGCCTGTAGGCCTGTCCCGTGGCGACGTGCCATCGCATGAACTCGGCACGCTTCATCGCCAGCCTCTCGGCGACAGGTTGGAGGACCGCTTCTTGCACCGGGTCGTCGAAAACGGCCATAGCCGCGGGAAAGGCCTCGCCGGGCGGCAGAATCAGGTAGTCGAAGAGTGCAAGGCAAAAGACCAAGAGATGGACGAGGTGCTGCGGGACGGCTGACACCTCCTCGGCTCGCAGGGATGCCGATATGAGCGACTGCAGCGCCTTCCTCGTCCGCAGGGCCTCGAGACCGGATGGAGGTGCTGCGGAGTCCAGGTCGCGCCTAAGATCGACCGACGACGGGTGCAGCGCAGAAAACCCGCACTTGGCTGCCGAGACGATGACCGCGGCAGCCCCCACAGTCTCGCCGCTCCGCCACAGTTGCTCCGCCAACGAGGACCACATCTGAGGCAGGTACGCCAGCGGACGGCCGTCTTCTGCAAACCTGGTGGTGGAGCTTTCCAGAGCCGTGACGTAGACGGTCCGAGCCGGGGCGGTCCGGCCGGCGCTGAGCTCGAGCTGGGCGTACGCGTGCCAGAGGACGTGATTGTCGCGGTCCTTCGACAGCAGCTTCCGGGCGAGCTTCGTGGCTGCTTTGAGGTTGAGCGCCGCCTCGACAGCAAGCTGCAGGACTGGTGCGGCGGCGAATGCTTGGCCATACGGAGCAAGCTGGTCGAGCAGCCGTCCAGCCAGCCGAAGCGTCGACGGGTCTGCCGATCTTAGCCGTCTGGCCAGCGGGGGTCCGGAGTCGTCGGTCCCTGGAAAGAGGCTCTCGACCGTGGCCGGACCGCAGAGCACCGGGCTTGCCGAAGGGCTCGACAGGTTGCTCCTGCGTTCCCTCTCCATCATCTGGCCGTCGATGTAGGTGAAGGGCTCCGCAGGGGATGAAGAGGCGTCCGCGTTCAGCGACGCAGGCCAAAAGTCGGGCCCAATGTCGGACGTCTCGGTTCTGCGCGGCTCGCCCGGGGCGCGACAGCCGGTCCCAACGCCGTCGGTACAGCCCTCGATGCTGTCAGTCAGGCCCGACATCAGGCCGGATGGAAGTCCGAGAAAGGCGAGGGCGAGGTCCAGGAGGCCAAGCATGCCGCCTCGACTCTGGATGCGAAAGAGGAACGGCCGCAGGTCCGAGAACAGGACCGTCGAGAAGGCGTCGATCTCGTCGCCCTCGACCTGCCACTCCGGCCGGTCGGTCAGCTTGGCAGGGAACCGACGAAGGCCTCTTCGTCGCCCTTCGGCCTGCAGCCATCGATCGACGGGATGCTGGTGCGGAGAGTCGGGCAGCTCTTTCGAGGTGTGGGAAGCTGCAGTTGGCCCGGAAGTTGGGCTAGCATCCTCTCGACCATCCTTTCGACTTTGAGCCCAGCCGCGCGCGCCCTTCTCCATCAGGCGAGGCTCGCTGCTGTTCCAAAACTCCTCAAAGTCCTGCAGATCCTCTTCGAAGGACGGTCTCGGCGTCGAAGATGCCGAGTCTGCAGACACACCTGGCGGCGATGCGCAGAGGTTGACCTCGAGCAGCGCCTGGACGGTGGCGATAGCTCGCTCAGTCATGCCGGCTGCCTCGAGGACGCCGAGGTAGCCCCGCAGCAACGCCAGCCGTGCCTCGTCAAGCTTGAACGGAGCGGCGGTGACCTGCGACTCGGCCATCGAGGCGAAGTGGGCGACAGCTTCAGCGTGCAGATCGCTGATCTTGCCGAGCTCAAAGGAGGACCAGTCGCTGCGTCGCCAAGCGAGGTAGCCCTGCCAGAGGATGATGGCCGTGTCGACGTTCGCCATGAACTCGACGTCCTTGAGCAGCCGCCTCCATTCTCTCTCGATCCGCTCCGTGTCCCACCTGCCGGTATCCGCAGCGAGTTGCAGGCGGCCTAGGACGAGGGCAAGGGACCTGCGGTTGTCGGGATGGGCCGAGATCGCCTTGTCGAGGATCGAGAACTTGACGTCCAGGACAGCCTGCCTGCGGGACGCTCGCGAAGATTCTCGATCTGCGAGCCTGGCCCTGCGTGACTTTGGTTCAAGGGCGGTGTCGTCTGCCGCACCGATGTCGCCCAGGCGGTCCTGGAAGTCGGCAAGGTCGAGCCAGGCAGGGGCATCGGTCGGGACGGAATGGAGACGCTGATGCAGCTCACGAGCTCGTGCTTTGAGCGAGACCTGGGCGCCTTCGCCAGCCTCGCCTGCGTCGCTGTCGCTGGCCTCGTCGGATGCGGAGCCGGCACTGCCCTGCTCGCCGCCGTGCTCGTCGGCCATCTTTGTGAGGATGTTGTCCAGCACGCTGAAACCCTCTGCTTCAGTCTGGCGGCGCCTTCGAGAGACGGAGATGAAGTCTTCTGAGCTCGGGCCCGCGGTCGATGTCGGTGCAATTAGCCGTCGTCCAGGCTGACGAAGTCGTTTCCAGTCTGCTTTGTCGGAGTCGCGCGAGCGCCTAGAGTAGCTCTGCGACTTGTCCTTGATCTCGAGGGCCTCGCCTCTCGTGAGCCGAATTGATTGCCGCGTGATGCGCAGCGAGCCGTCCAGGCCGACCACGTATCCGTCACCCCCACGATCGAAGAAAGGGAATTTGGACGAGTCTGGCCCATACTGGATGGCCCGTTGGTCGCCCCATGTGTCGGTGACGAACAGGTCCTTGTCGAGTCGAGGGTCGACGCGGATCGATGGACTGAGTTGCGAGGCCGCGGATGGTTCGGGGGAGCGTCTCGAGGTGTGAGGACCCGGGGAGCGGGGCGATCTGCTGCGCCGCGGCCGTTTCTCGTCGACGTGCGCATCACCACTGCGACGATACCGTCGGCTGCCATCTTCGTGCGGATGATGGCGGCTGCTGCGCCTGCTGTCGCGCGCATGCCCGCCGCCGCCGTCGTCGTCGTCGTCGTCGTCGTCGTGGCGGCGCCTCTTCTCGGGTCGATGCCGATCCCGTTCCCGATCCCTTTCCTTTTCGCTGCGGTGATGGTGTCCCCTCTCTCTGCGCTCGTCCCGGCTCGTCGACGCCTCATCGGCTTCAGACCGGTCCGCAGCTTTGGATGGGCGGTGATGGCTGCTTCGGACGTCGCGGCTGGATGCTGTGTCGTCGAGGTGTCGGGGCCGCTCCCGCCGCCGACGGGTGCTGTCAGGGGCGGTCGAGTCCTCGGCATCAACCGCCGCTCTTTGCTTTCCTTTGTCGGCTGAGCCGCTGCCGGATCGATATGACGAGAAGGATGGCGCAGGCGGCGCGCGGAAGGAGGAAAACGAAGGCGGCGGAGGGCGTGGCGGGGCCGTCATGGCTGGCCAGTCTGTCCCACTGGCTGTTTCCCTCGACGGGCGACGCCGGGCGCTTTGGCTAGGAGTGCTACTCTCGCAGCACTGCGCTCGCCGCAGCGAGAGTCCAAGAACAAGGGGCCAGTGGGAGGCGAGAGCGGGGAGTATGAGGTTGTCCGTAGCAGAGGACCGAGGTCGTGAAGACGAGCAGTGAGCCAAAAATTTCGTAGCGGCCAGCCCGCCCTGACATGCTTGCAAGCGCTGGCTGCCCGGGGCCCAACCAACACCTCCACCTTCCAAGAGACTTCGGAACCGAGCGCTCTTTGGCCTGGGGCCGACCCCAACGGCCGGCCAGCCAGACCTGACTCGGCGACGGCGGAAGCGAACAAGTCCGTGGCCTGGCTGGGGCCAGCCGTTCTGCGCTCAGCGTGAGGGCAAGGGCGAAAAAAGAAGAAAAATCACAGCGCAGCGCAGCGGAGGGCAGGGCCGCCAACCACACGCGCACCCAAACCTCTCTCTCGCCCGCGCCGGGGCGAGCTGGCCAGCCAGCCAGACAGCCAGCCAGACAGCCAGCCAGACAGCCAGCCAGACAGGCTGCAGCAGGCAGGCTGTGGAAGGACAGACAGCCAGCCAGCCCACCGGCTGGCAGCCTGGCGGGCAAGCAGGGACGAGGTGGTGTGCATGCCGGCGGGCGACTGGCTCTCCTTTGCCTCTTCGCCATCACCGTCACACTCCACCGCTCTTTCGCCACCGTTCGCCACCCAAAACAAGCTCCTCGTCGTCTATTCGAGAGCACGGATCCGACGAACCTAGCCGGCTAGACTTTCGTCTCTTGCCGCTCCGCCCTCGCAGTGTCAATCGCCATCGCACCGGCCACTTCCACCGACACGTTCACTGCGCTCGACCGTTTGCCCCAGCCGACGACCGACGACTGACCGACAGCCCCCTATTCAGCCAACACACACGCATCTCTACCCGACGCCGCCGTCCAACCCACCTCGCCCAGCATGAGGTTCTACAAGAAGGAGCTGCCCGACGTTGACGAGGTGGTCATGTGCCAGGTGCAGCAGATCGCAGAGATGGGCGCCTACGTCAAGCTTCTCGAGTATGACGGCGCAGAGGGAATGATCCTCCTCTCCGAGCTCTCCCGAAGGCGTATCCGAAGTATCCAGAAGCTCATCCGCGTCGGGAGGAACGAGGTCGTCGTCGTGCTCAGGGTCGACAAGGAGAAGGGTGAGTTGCGCAGCAGACGCTAGGGAGACGGCCATGCCACCGCAGCATACGAGTTAGCCTACGCTGCCTGTCTACCATGCTCGCTGTGGCGGCGGCGACTGCTGCTGGCCCTGCCCGCCATGTGCTTCCAGGCTGACGTAGTCGCCACCGGCGCCTCATGTCCCTCCCTCGACATCCTCTTTCTCGTCTTCCGCTCCACCGCTCCACAGGCTACATTGACCTTTCAAAGCGCCGTGTCTCGCCCGAGGACATCATCAAGTGCGAGGAGCAGTTCCAGAAGTCCAAGGCGGTCCACAGCATGATGGCCCACATCTCGGGCAAGCTCGGCAACCCGATTGAGGAGCTCTACGAGAAGGTCGCCTGGCCCCTCGACGCCAAGTACGGGCACTCGTTTGACGCCTTCAAGCTGGCCATTATGTGAGTGCGCTGCGACGGCTGGACGGCCGGTCTGCGAGCTCGAGAGACTGAACACGCACGCCCTTTTTCTTCAATGCGGCTACCCCGCCCAGTGAGCCCGAGAAGGTGTTCGAGGGAATCGAGGTCGACGAGTCGGTGCGCAAGGAGCTCGACGCCAACATTGCGCGACGATTCACGCCGCAACCAGTCAAGATCCGCGCCGACGTCGAGGTCACCTGCTTTGGCTACGAGGGCATCGACGCCATCAAGAAGGCGCTGCGCGCCGGTGAGGCCGTCTCGACGGAAAACATCCCGATCAAGATCAAGCTGGTCGCGCCGCCTCTTTACGTGCTCATCACCAACTCGACCGACAAGACTGGCGGCATCGCATTGATGGAGGAGGCGCTGGTCAAGATCTCGGAGAGCATCCGGGCGAGCGGCGGCGAGGTCAACATCAAGATGAAGCCCAAGACGGTCTCCGAGGTCGAGGACCAGGAGCTGGCCCAGCTCATGGCGAGAGTCGAGAAGGAGAACGCCGAGGTCGAGGGCGACGAGGACTCGGAGGGAGAGGAGGAGTAGGCGTAGGCGTGGATCCCACCGGACCTGTCTTGTCGTCATGCGCCATCGGCGTCGTCACCACCCAACCCAAAAACGCGCAGCTGCCCGGCCCGACGTGGAAGAGGTGCGCGTGCCTCGGTGCCTCGGTGTCTGCTGCAGCCGACGCTGTCCAACGACGAGTGAGCCCGTCCACCGGCCACCGTTCGCATTGTCCCTGTGGAGACGCGGGTCACGGCGGAACCTACGGGTCACCAGGCAACATAGAGAAGAAAAGCCAGGCCTGATAGACGTGGCAGTGGACTGAGCAGAGTCGAGCCGAGTCGGCGGGAAGGACTGAGCCGCGCGCTCGAGAGTCGAGTGTGCCAACGTTGGCCCGCACCCCCGTCCCAGGCTCGCGGCGTGGTGTGATCTGATTCGAGGGCCGAGGCCCGATGGGGCAATCGGGAAAGGATGCTTTACCCGCACGGTGCCGCCAGGCCTGGCAGCCGGCCGGCCGGCCAGCCAGCCAGAGGGGTGTTTCAAGTTTTTGCAACGGTGAAAATAGGTGTCAGCCTCCAAAAGTCGTTGGCCGGTCAATTTATGAAAGCTGCTACCCACGTCGAAAATCCTGCAAGTCGCGAATTTTGGAATCAGCGGCTTTGGATTTCCTGAAGGCAGGGGTTCGCAGCCGCCAAAAAATGTGATTCCTGCTGGACGCGGAATTTCGCCAGCTTGCGAGATTCAAGATCGCGGGGCAGAAATGGCAAGCTGCAAGAATCCAGCTGTCGAAAAACTCGAAACCCCCTAGAGGCCTCCACTTTGTGGAACAACCGGTGGGCGCGTGCGTGCGTTGGCCGCACGCTCCCGTGTGGGTCAGAGGCGGGGGGCCGGGCGGCGATAGACGAGGACGCCTTGACGCTCGCCCGCCCTGCTTCCAGACCACCTCCCTCTACGCACGAACCTCTTACGACCCGCACACGACAGACGACGATAGACGAATTCCTCCCTGCCGCAGCCACTGTCGATCATGAATCCGGACAGACGCACTCTTCCCGCGACTGAGGGAGGGGCAGGGACGGGAGGAGGAGAAGGAGGGCAAGAGCCTGGACACGGCGGGCGAGGCGCGGCGACTACGCACCCTTCGCCGCAGCAGCACGGCGGCCCCCAGAATGTCGTCTACTCGGGACTCGTCGTCGCAGTGTCGCTGGCTCTCTTCCGCTCCGGACCCGTCAACATCTTGCTGGTGGTCGGCACTGCCGCGTGAGTGTAGACTGCCGCCGGGCGATCGAGGGACCACGCGCAGGCAAGCCAGCGTCGAGCTGACCGGCCCCGGCCAACCCGAAACAACAACAGCCTGCTCCTGTGCAATCCCTGGGTCCGCACGCTGCTCGAGCTGCCCTCGACCGACGCTGCAGCAAAGGTGCGTAGCCATGTCCGGCCCCGGCCCGACCCGACCCGCACTGCTGCGCTGGACGCACACTGACCCTCGCCGACGACGCCTCGCTGCGCCCCCAATCTGGCTAACCAGGCGAGGAGCAAGTTTGACCCGGCCAGGTACCTTCTATTCACGCACGGCACTCGCGACGACGATGCAAAGGAGGCTGCGGCGGAGCAAGATTCGCTGCCGTCGACGCAGAACGATGCCGCGCTCGATGGCGGGGCCAAGCAGCTATCGACGACGACCATCGCACCTCCGCTTCGCAAGCCTGTCCAGCGCCTCGTCGAGCTGGTCGTGCGCGACTTTGTCAAGCATTGGTGAGCCTGCCTCCCGGTCGCTTCGGTGCAACATGCTCACGCCCGCCGCTGACCCTGGACGCCTTGCCCCCTCCCTGTTCGGCCAGGTACGACCCCATCACCTTTGCCCACCCCGGCTTCCCCAAGGCCGCCGACGCCAGCATCTCGCACATGATCGCCAGCATCTATCTGCGGCTTGGCAGGCTGCGCAACGTGGATGCCACGTCGGAGCTGCTGCTGACGTCGCAGAGCGTCATCCTCGCCTCGCTGCGGCGGAAGCGGAAGCGGCTACAGGCTTTCGGCAACCCGATGCCCGACCCCGACGAGGCAGATTCCGACCTCACCTGGCCTAATTCCTCGGCCCGCATCGAATCGCTGCGCAAGGGCATACGAAGGCTGCTCGCGCGCAACATGACCGGCTCCGAGAGGCAGTCGCCCGTCGTTGTCTCGCTCATGACCGAGATCCTCACAAAGCAATGCTGGGAGGCGGTCCAGTACGTCAGCGACCCGGACTTTATCAACATGCAGATCGTCAAGTGGGGGGAGCCGGCTAGCGAAACGAGCCTGCACGACAAGACGCTGTCGCCAAAAGAGCTTGAGGCGGTCAAGGACGCCGCCCAAGGTACTCTCGCAGGTGTCGTCGACGGGCGCCCCAACAAGGCGCTGGGCGCGGCGGCCGGGGAAGCGACAAAAGGCCTCTTCGCGGAGCAACCCGAGCTCAGCCCAGGCGACGTCGGCAAGTTGACACCCCAGGATCTGGCAGATCAGCCGGCTGCAGCACCGCAGCAGGATCCCGGCCATACGCTCAGCTCTGATCCGCTGTCATCGCTCGGCGGGTTCGCAACGTCGGCCCTGAGCAGCGTGACGAATGCCGCCGGCCGCACCGTCGATGTTGTCGGCGAGGGGCTCGGCGAGGTGGGCAACACGCTTCTAGGTGCCGTCGGCGATGACGACGCCGAGCGTTCCGCCATCCCGCCTCGCAACATGCGCCTCGACGTGCCCTCCGCGCTCTCCGATCCGCCTCTGCCCGACTCGCTCAAGAGGAGTTTGCGGCAAGTGCCGGGCGCGTCAGGCCAAACGCCGACCTCTACAGATGCCTACACCATCCCAGACACTCCGGATCCCGCACCGGCGCCGACCCAGCGCGGCCCTCCGCTTCCGATGAGGCCCACGGCCTCCTCCCCGGTCAAGGCGGCCGGCCAAATGGACTTTCCCTCGCTGGATCAGGTCCTCTCGGGGCAGGCGGGGTCAGTGTATGACGCCTTCGAGGCATTTCTCGAGGATGCGCGCCCGCCTCTATGCGGGCCTGGAGAGGGCGAATCGGTGCTGCGCCTTCACACGCAGCTCGGCACCCTTTCCACCATTGCTCAATTCGAAGACCTCGATGCGCGCACCCTCCACGCCGACGCGAGCAACATCCTCACAAAGGCGCTGCAGCGCTTGCCCAACGACAGCGACGCCGACGGAAGCCGCAAGTCGCTGCGCACGGCGCTGGCGCAGACCCTAGACCGCTTGCGCGTCGAGCCGAGCATGGCGACGCTGGAACCGCTGCAGCACGATCTCGACGACCGGCTGGAGCGGCTCTATCGTGCGTTCGCAGAGCAGACGCAAGGCGCCTCCCGATCGCGGACGACTGCAGCTCCGGCTGCCACTCAGGCGTCCTCCCACAGCCGGGACCATTCGCGCACGAGGTCCGAACGCAGCACCGACGCGGAATCGCCGTCGAGGCCGCTGGCGTACGAGCCCAGACGAAAGAACTCTGGCCCGTCGCTGGCGACAGGCGGTGGCGTCGCAGCTCTCACGCAGCCACCGTCGCGTCCTCCCTCGACGCCGCCGAGACCATCGTCCATCCCCTCGCGCTCGACCTCGACTCCGCAGCCTCCGCCTCCTCGCTCTGGCTCGACGGACGGTCTGGACGAAGGCGCTGAGCGCGCGTCGCCGTCGGCAGGCACTTCGCAGTCGGACGCAACCAACGCCGCCGCCCGAGGCTCGGCAGAGGTGATGGTGACGGACGTGAGCAACAACGCCGGCAAGGCAGGGCCGCTCGACGCGCGGAGCCTCGAGCTGATGATTGTCGTCGAAGGCATCTCGTCGGACGGAGGCCACGGCGACGGCTTTGTGCTGCTGCGCCGCTGGTCCGAGTTCGAGGCGCTCGACGCCGAGCTGCAGCGGATGCCGCGCTCGTCGAACCCACCGCCCCGCCTGCCCGCGGCCAAGGGCAAGAGCAGCGCGCAGTTCTGCCCGGAGCTCGAAGGCTACCTGAGGGCGCTGCTGGCGTCTTCGATGATGGACCACCTTGCCTCGAACCCGACCATGCAGCGCTTCATGGACAAGAACCGCGCCGGCGCGCCTGCCGAGGCGGTGCGCGAGCGCGGCGGGCCGGCGGCCTTCTTTGGCGGCATCGGCAAGAACATTGTCAGCGGCGTGGGCGCGGTGGGCAAGACTGCCAAGACGGGCTTCGGACTTCAGGCCTCGGCGGCCGTGGCGGCGAGCCAGGCGGCTGGGCCAACGGGAACGATGCCGGCGCCCGGAGCCGTGGCACGTCCGACGGTCGAGGGTGTTGCGCGGGGGATCGCCACGCCCGCGATGGCGTCGTCGGGCAGCCCGTTCCTCGACAGCGCCTCGAGCGACGCGTCGGGCTTCCCCTCGCGGACCGGTTCGCCCTCCGGCCAGCAGCGCCCTGCGTCTGGCCCGGCGGCCCAGATGAGCGCCAAGGACTTGGACCAGATCCTCTCTGCCATCTTTGCCGTGGCCGACGAGGCGTTCAACCTGCAGGGCGGCTGGACGCTGCGGCGCGGTATGCTGCGCGTGCTCGAGCAGGTGGTGCGGACGACGTACTCGGGCAGCGTGGTGTCGACGTTCAACGAGGCGGCCTCGTCGCTCAACCGGGACAGCTTCGCCACGTGGACCGAGGCGCTGCTGGACTCGTACTGGCCCGAGGGGCAGTGGTCGACCGAGAGCTGGCCCGAACGCACGGCCGAGGAGCGTCAGAAGACGGCGGAGCGGGCGCGAGAAATCATCGTGTCGTACGCTCCCGCCCAGGCCGGGTATGTGCTGGGACCGGGCGGACGGGCGGCGTGCGTAGAGGCGCTGGCCGCTGTGCACGAGTCCCTCACCGACCCCGTCACCGCCGCCGACCTTGGCCTGACGATGACGCTCAAGGTGCTCGAGATGTCGAGCAGGTGAGGCGGCCAGCGGCGATCCCAGCGGCGATCCCAGCGACGACGAGCAAGCATCTTGGTGCCCTTTTGCAACTCTTTGGATCTGTCGGATTCTCTTTGTGCCCGCGGTGTGCAGAAGCGACGAAGCGCCGCGAGGACTGGACAAGCAAGAACTTCTCTGACGGTGGGAGGGTTGCGATCGGGCCGAGCTTCCGGTCCGGTCCGTCCTCATCGCGTGGGACTGGGGTCCGCGGTGTTTGAAATGGCAGACGTCACGTCGGAACAGGGGTCCGAAAGAAGAGATATGGTGGCACGAGCAGGCAGGGCAGGGCAGGCCCGGGCAGGTGACAGGCAGGCGCGATCGGAAGAGAGGCGGTTTCCCTTCCGCCGGAGTTGTAGCCCAGGCTGGCACGTACGTACATCCATCCCGGGTCGGGTGCGTCGGGCTCGACAACCGATCGACCCGCGTCATGTTGCTGTACGTACCTGTACGGTGTGTGGATGAAGGCCGAGCGATCGGACGCAGAGACACACGCAGAAAAGAGGTCGGGGGCGGGGCGCCAAAATCAATCCATCTGTTGCTGTTTATGCCATGCTCGCTCTCTGCGCAGCCCGTCAGCGCGCATGCTTTGACCGCGTGCTTTTTCGAGCGCGCCGACGCAAAGATAGTCGCCGGTTGAACCAAAGAGTGGGGCTGTCTGGCGCTGCCAGGCCTTTCGAGCGGACGACGCTCCGAATTGCCCTCCCGAAAGGATGAATGGAAAAGCAGACCCGACCGGACAGGAACTCGTGCGTCCACCTTGCCCTCTGCCGATTGCTGATCCTTCGTCTTTGAGCGATGGAGGTTGAGCGCATGGCAGAGCGAGGAAGGGGGCTGAGCTGGACCTGGTCGTGTGAGGGCGGTGCTTGGCCCGCGGTGCGAAACGAGCGCGCGGCTCCGTTGGCTGCCTGCCCGCCTGCCCGCCTGCCTGCCTGCCTGCTTCCTGCTTGACCTCGCTTACACAACCGATGGCCCCCTCACACGATCAGGCTAGGCTAAGGTGAAGGCGGGTCAGGCTAGGCCGGGCTCGTCTGCCCGACTCTGGCTGCGCGCCTTCGCTGGCCTCATGCCAACAGCGTGCAACGCCTCCCCCTCGCGGCCGCGGGTGAGCGCCAAGCCAAGCACAGCAAGCAAAGGCAAAGCAGGGCAGGCAGGGCAAGGCAGGGGCTGGTCTGATGCGCGCCGCACGTCTTGGCAAAATGGGCCCGTCGTTCCGATCCCCATTTCCTGGCTCCTCGACCTCGCCATGCATCCAGTCCGTCCCATTCCGGTTCCAGTCGTCGTGGGTATCCATCCGCGACAAGTCTTTCAAAGAGCTGTATTCATTTGTTGGCGCAGTCGCTCGTCGCCACCATCGTCGTTGCCCTCGCCGTCGCCGTCGCCGTCGCCGTCGCCGTCGCCAACCGCCGGAAAGAGGTGGCAGTGTAGGCGGGAGGGGCCAGTCCGACCAACGTCACACGATCATCGCTGCATTTGATTGATTGATTTCGACCACGCTGTCAAAGTTCGCCAACGCACGCACGCAGCGCAGCGCAGCGCAGCACGCAGGTTTCTCTTCGGGTTTTTATTTTCCGTGGGCCAACCCCGCTCAGGGCCCTGCCTGTGGCCCGCCTGTGGCCTGCCTGCACGATCCCCAATGGCGCAGCGTCAGGCTTGCAGTGAGCGCAAGGTCGGGCGGTAAGGGCAGACAGGCCTGGCAGGCTACGCCAAGCCAGGCCAGGCCAGGCTAGGGGTACGGTGTTGACGACCGCCGCTAAGCTGGAAATCGCCGAGGTCTTTCTGGCCTAGCATCATCGAATCCGCCGCCGTTTCTCGCGCCGTGAAGGGCAAACAGGGCGGGCCATGGTCAGACGACCGTACGACCCTCCAGCCTCGACGGGCAGCATCGCCAGCGCTCTGCGCGCTAGAAGCGTTCTTCGATGACACACGGTCGCACACCTAGCGTCGGTCAGAGTAGTAGTGCAACCTCGTACGTCGTCGTATCCTTCCCTCGACTCGATTCGTATTCCCCTCTAACCGTAGGCCCGCCGTCGCATCCGTTGTCTCGAGCGGAGCGACTGCCGTCATTTCGGTTCAAAGGGCCGAAAAGGTCGACCAAGCAAGGGCGGAAGGCGAAGGCAGGACAGGAAAGACGCCAGACGCCCGTCGAGAGAAGCCTTGGCTTGGCATCCGCCCCTGGTACGGTAGGTACGCCCCGTCCAGCATGGACCGCCCCTCGCTCTGGCTCCGGAGCCAAGGACGACCCATGGCGCTGCCGTTGGACCACCAACCGGCAGGACAGGGTCGCCGGCCTTGGCGAGCCAGCCACCATTGTTTCGTGCCTGCCATCTGGCCGAAACGCACCACTGAGCATCCGAACGCCCAGAGAGGCGGCGTGATGCACGGGTCGTGTGCTCCCTTCCGCCCGCGGCGCCCCCGCATCACGACTTGACCCTCGATCTCGGAGCTCCCCTCGCCCATCGCCTGCTCGCTCTGTGAGAGTGACACCAACCGGCGGAGGTATGTCTGCCGCTTTTGTCCCTCGTTCCGTCTGTCAGCTGCTCCTCCTCCCCCGCTGGACCTTGTCGTGTCCTATCTTTGGCAACTGCTGGTTCCAGAGTTCCAGACGAACCTGCCGTCGGTTCTCCAGCTTCTACCAACACCAACACCATCACCGCCCACCACCACCACCAGCTCCTTCTGTGGATCGCCAGGCCCAGGCACTCACTCTTTCGGCTACGCTCGAGGCCTCCTTCGTCACCTTCTTTTCTCCGTGCCCTCTGGGACGTGCCGTGGTCGATCCAGCCTCGTGAGAGATAGACACCGGTCCTCACACCTCGCAGCGACACCAGCTTCATCAGCCACAACAGCAGAACCCAACGTTAGACAGCTGCTGGCCTGGTCGAGCCCGCGGCAGCTATCTACATCTCTACGCCCGTCCTCGTCCTGCCGCGCGGACAGTCGAGCACCCACGTCAGCATCCTTGCGCCCGCGCACAGCCTCGGACGCGGCGACGACGCTCACCGACCTCACCATGGGCCTACTCTCCAAGCTCGCTCGACCCGTCTCAGACCGATACAGCAGCTACCTGCCATTACCCACCTCGAGCTCGAGGGGCAGCGTCAGCTCGCAAAGCGGTCTCGGTCCTGCGAAACAACGCGGGTACCTGCGCACCGCGCTCCAGCACCTGCCACCGTTGCGCATCGCGCTGCTTCTGCTAGCCTGCTTCTTCCTCGGCAACCTCACCAGCGACTGGTTCTTTGGGCCCAAGGGCGACTCGAACGGCGCCCAGGTCTACCTGATCGGCGACGACAAGTACCACCGCCTCTTTGCAGACAGCAATCCGGGGCCGGCGAGCCGGCAGGCCGTCCCGATCCGAGCGTACGACGCGTTCAGCGATGCGTGCGTCGAAGAGTGGATCGTCTCACACACCTGGGGCCCTGCCTGCCAGGGGACCGACCTGAGCGAAGGCCTCAAGATCGACGGTGTCTGGGCGTGGGTCAATGGATCGTGAGTTGTCGCCCCTCAGGCTGCCCGCGCGACGTGCGTTCATGCGCTGCCGGCGTCCTAATCGCCCCTGCTGACCATTGCAATTTGCCTGCTGCCGCCGCCTCTCAGTGATCCGGCCCAGATGGCGTCGAGGAACGCCTACCGCCCCGCCACTGCGCTCAAGATGGACGCGGCGCACCGGTACGCGGACCACAACGAGCTGCTCTACTCGATGCGCTCGAGCCTCGCCTCGCTGGGCTCGTCGTCGCTGCGCAAGATGCACATCATGGCGAGCGCCTACCCGATGGGCAGCATGGTGGGTGCGGGCACCAAGATGATCGGCCAGATCCCCTCGTGGCTGCGCAAGGACGTGGCGACGTCCAAGACGGAGCAGGTGGTTCTGCACCACGACGCCGAATACTACCGGCCCATGCCACACCACGACCGCCCAGACATGTCGCTCGAAGAGGTGCAGCAGTGGCGCGAGCGGACGATCCCCAGCTTCAACAGCCTGGCCGTCGAGTCGCAGCTGTTCAACCTCGAGGACAACGAGTCAGACCAGCTGGTCTACTACAACGACGACTTTTTCACGCTGCTGCCCAGCTCCGTCGCCGACTACACGACGCCGCTTTTTGGACCGGTGCTCAAGACGCTGGCGAGGGTGACGAGCTACTACCTGCCCTCGGAGAAGCCCTTCCAGCGGCTGTGGAACCCGGCCGGCGAAGAGGTGGGCATCAAGCGTGCCGCGTGGATCCTCGGGCAGCGCTTCTCGATGCGCACCCTGCCCTACATCACGCACCACCCGCGCACCCTCTGGCTGCCTCTGCTCAAGGAGGCCGCCCAGACGTTCCCGGACGCCTTCAGCGACACGACGCTGGCTCGGTTCCGCGCGCAGAAGGACGTCCCCTACTCGATCCAGGGCTTCTTCCTGGCGTCGTGGTACATTGTCGAGCGCCACCGCGAGGCGCTCCTCTGGACCTGGGCGGTGGCCAAGTGGGGCGGAGCCGAAGGACGCCTGACCGAGGAGGTTAAAGACGCCATGTGGGCCGAGCTGGCGGGCCTCGACAAGGGCGCCAGCGGACCCTCGAGCATCGACGTGCGCACGCCCGTCCGCACCTCGCCGGACGACATGTCGGCCTTTGGCGCTGCTGGCGTTGAGAGGCCAAGGAACACCGAGTACTCGTTCTCGTCCAAGGACGGCCACGCGCTGTCCTACCTCGGTTGGCAGTGGTTCTGGGACCGCCCGAGGCACGGCTTCCCGGATCTCTCAGAGGCCCTCGACTCGGCGGGCGAGGAAGACGTGGGCGGTCGGCGCAGGCTCGACACGCCCAAGCTTTGCAGCATCAGCCGGAGCAGCTGCCTGGCCCCCTCGCGCGGCGCCGAGTCCGCCAGCGACCTGTTCAAGCGCATCGCGTTTGAGCAGAGCGACTGTGGCGACTGCATCCTCGCCGCCCTGATTGGCGCGAGCGGCACCTCGGGCATCGAACGCTTCATGCCGCCGTCGTACGCCAAGATGCCGGCGACCGAGGCGATCCCCGCTGCGTCGCCGCCGTCATCGTCGTCGCCACCGTTGAAGCACGTGCCGCACCTGCCCCTCACGAGCTCGTGGAGGGAGACGGACTTTTCGCTCGACAAGGCGCTGCCCGCCGGTGCGGCCCAGAGTGGCATGTCGCTGCGCACCTGGTGTGCCCGGCTGATCCAGCGGTACCAGTACGTGCTGGGCAGCGTGCCGTCCGACTTCTACCAGGTCAAGAAGGCGCACAAGCTGGCCGACAAGCTCGCCCAGCTCGACGAGCAGCAGCAGCAGCAGCAGACGGGGGCCCAGGATGGCGAGTCCGCTGATGCGACGTCGAGCGCCCAGCCTGGCGCCGGCGCGACGACGTTCCTCTGCCTCAACGACGACATTGTCGAGGGCGAAGAGGGCACGCGCAAGATCAACACGATGCTCACGAGCTGGTTCCAGAGTCGGTGGGGCGAAAAGATGAGCGTCGAGGTGTAGCCGGCGGGCAGAGCAGACGTCGCCCTCGCACGCACACGCACACAGCATCGATCCGATCCCGTCGTCCATGTCCATACACACACATACACGCTCTCTCGCACGCCGGTCCTCATACCTCATGTACTTTTAGCAAAACTCTAGAGCGTCCTCGCCCCCTCGGCGGGATGGGAACAGCATAGCATACATTGCCCGGCCTTGTTCGCGAACCTCCGGCAGCGGGCCGATGAGCGTGCGAACGGTGCGGTCGGGCCGCCAGAGAGGTCTCGCAGTCTGCCCCGCCTGTTTGCTGCCCGCCCCTCCCGGGAGAGCTCCGATCGACAGCGGGTGTGGTTCCGAATGGCCCCGTACCGCCGCGACGAAGCAAACCAGCTTCCTACAGAGGAACCGCCTGGCCGCGCCGCGCCACACCGCACCGCACCTGCGAGCACTGACCGCTCCTTTCACAACCTGCCATGGCGACCGGGACCGTGCACCAGGAGGCGCTGGAAGCGAGGAAGAGGCAGGCTTGCCAGCAAGCAGGCAAGCTCGTGCCCAGCCGCACCGTATCCTCCCCTGCCCTGCCTGCCCTAGCCTGGGCTGCTGCTCGCTGGCACCTCCGTCAAAAGGCGGGGACCCCGCAATTTTCCCAGATGCTCGCTCGCCTATGCTTCGGCAGTAGGGCGGGCGGCGGGCGCCATGCTTGCCTTGCTTGCTGGCTTCATCTCGGCGGCGTATCGCCAGGCGCCCAGGCCCCGTACTGTAGCCCGCACACATGCTGCTCGACAGACAAGGGGTCCGGCTGCGTGCCCGAGCTTGAGACCTGCAAGGGCAGTCGAAAGGGGGCCCGAAGCAGGGGAGCGGGACAGCGGGCGAGCCGAAAGCAAGCTACGGCAGGAGAGCGGAGAACAGCCTCGGATCCGACAAAGGGCAGGCGGGCACGCAACACGAGCGGCTTTCACGCTGAAGGCTGGCGGCGGCTGCATGGCGGATTAGCAGAGCACGCCACCCTGATTGGCTCGCCTGCCAGACGCCAGCTGGCGGAAAAGAAAAACAGGGCCGCGCCCTGCTTTGAAATGCGAGGAATTCAACTCGAGGCGCCCCCCTTTGGCCTCGTTGTATTGCCCCGGCCACCGGCTAGCGAATCCGAGCTTCGTGACCGGTAATTAGGCGGGCCGACCGAACTGGGCGCAGCAGCCGAGGCTACCGTAGGCAGCAGCAGCTCAAAGGGTCCAGGCCAGCCAGCCATCCAGCCAGCCAGCCAGCCAGCGCCAAAGCAGCAAGCAAGCAAGCAACTCTGGCCCTCCCAGCGCCTTCGGTACGGCCGCTCCTTGGGGGCGTGTTGCTCTGCTTTGCCTGGACTCACCCTGCCTGCTTTGCTTTGCTTTGCTTTGCTTTGCTTTGCTTTGCCGGGTGGCTCGAACTTGGTCGCCCTTCTGTTTCACGGCAGGCACAGCATGCGTGGTGTCCGTCGTCGTGCGTGCGTGCGTGCGTGTCCAGGGCGACAGGAGAAGCGGTGGCGGGGGGCACGGCATGCACCGACTTCGAAAAGAGCCAGAGGAGCGGCCAGCTTACCCCGCTCTTTTGCCTGCCTGGCTCCCTCTTCAACCATCGCCACCACCCCCCTGTTCGGTCTTCCCTCTCGACCTCCATCACCTTCTCCGTGCCCCCCTTCGACCCCACCTACCGCTCCACGGCACCCGCGCTCTTCGCCCTACCTACTGCCTCCACCCATCGCCCATCGCGCACCAAGCTCCTCTCGCCCCCTCTCCCCCTTCCCCACAAAGCATACCCTCTGCCATCATGTCCGCACAGAAGCAGACGACGTCGGCTCCCGCCCGCAAGGAGTACACCCGCGAGGAGGTGGCCCAGCACAACAAGGCCGGCGACAACTGGGTCATTATCGACAGCGAGGTCTACAACGTCTCCAAGTTCGCCCAGCTCCACCCCGGTGGCGAGCAGGTCTTCCACGACGAGGAGGTCGCCGGACAGGACGCCACCGACGTCTTCTTTGGCCTCCACCGCCGCGAGGTCCTCGAGAAGCCCCAGTACGCCCGCCTCATCGTTGGCACCATCAAGGGCGAGCAGCCCAAGCTCAAGGCCGACCCCGTCGGATCCCCCTCGCGCGTCCCCTACGCCGAGCCCTCGTGGCTCGCCACGGGCTACCACAGCCCCTACTTCAACGACAGCCACCGCAGGCTCCAGCGCGAGTGGCGCAAGTTTGTCGACGAGGAGATCACCGAGATCGCCCAGCGCGTCGAGGAGAACGGCAAGCGCCCCGACGTCGAGCTCGTCAAGAAGCTCGGCGCCAACGGCATCAACGCCATGCGCATGGGCCCCGGCAAGCACCTCCACGGCCGCAAGCTCTTTGCCGACATCAAGGGCGAGGAGTTTGACTACTTCCACGAGCTCATCATCACCCAGGAGCTCGTCCGCTGCGGCGCCCGCGGCTTCGGCGACGGCCTCAACGGCGGCATGGTCATCGGACTGCCGCCCGTCATGAACTTTGGCAGCCAGGAGCTCAAGGACGAGGTCGTCGAGCCCGTGCTGCGCGGCGACAAGTTCATCTGCCTCGCCGTCACCGAGGCCTTTGCCGGCTCCGACGTCATGGGCATCCGCACCTATGCCAAGAAGAGCGAGGACGGCAGCCACTACGTCGTCAACGGCACCAAGAAGTGGATCACCAACGGCGTCTTTGCCGACTACTTTACGACGGCCGTCAAGACCGACGAGGGCTTCGCCGTCATGTGCATCCCGCGCAGCTGCGGCAACATCGAGACCAAGATCATCAAGACGTCGTACTCGCCCACCGCCGGCACCGCCTACATCACGTTTGACAACGTCAAGGTGCCCAGCAAGTACCTCATCGGCGAGGACGGCATGGGCATCTACTACATCCTCTCCAACTTCAACCACGAGCGCTGGGTGATGTGCTGCAGCACCATCCGCGCCGCCCGCGCCGCCGCTGAGCAGACGCTCCTCTGGACCAACCAGCGCAAGGCGTTTGGCAAGCCCCTCCACAGCCAGCCCGTCGTCCGCCAGAAGCTGGCCCAGATGTTTGCCGAGGTCGAGGCCGCCCAGAACTGGCTCGAGAACGTCACCTACCAGATGTGCAAGATGTCGTACAACCAGCAGTCCAAGTTCCTCGCCGGACAGGTCGGACTGCTCAAGTCGTGGTCGACGCGCGTCTCGCACAACGTCGCAGACTCGGCCGTCAACATCTTTGGCGGACGCGGCCTCACAAAGTCGGGCATGGGCAAGTTTGTCGAGCTCTTTGCCAGGACCTACAAGTTCGACGCCGTCCTCGGCGGTTCCGAGGAGGTCATTGGCGACCTCGCCGTGCGCATGGCCCTCAAGCAGATGCCCGAGAACGCCCGTCTTTGAGGGTCTTGGTCGGTCGTTGGCGTCGGCGTCGAGAGCCGCGTGCGTTGCACCGCTGTCTGTAGCGTAACGTAATTTACCCGTGACGGTCGCTTCTATCTCACGAGATCTTGTCCTCGTTGGTCTGTGTGATGCCGAGCTTGAGCGAGGTGATGTCAAAGGGACGCTGTGGGACGGCTCAAGGGGAACAGCGAGGCGAGGCGAGGCGAATTGCGGATCCGTCAAAGAAGCGGGGTTAGGGCGTCGAGCAACGGGCCAGCCGCTGTTCTTGATCTCGTCTTGCAGAGGGACGGCAGGAAAGGCGAGGCGTGCAAGTCAACATCAGCCCGCCACGACGGCCCAACGTGCTGCTGCAAATCCCTGTTGCAGAGCTTGAGCATCAAGCTTCGTGCCAATTCCGACAACCTTGAGTCCTACATGTCTTAAGCTGGAGATGGAATTGCTGCCGCTGCAGATGTGGGTGCTGCAACAGGCAACAGAAAGAGGCAGGGTTGTGCAAGCCATCGCCGCTGTGGGCCTGACTCGCTTTGTCGTCGAGGGCCAACGGATTGCGCCGCGGACGACGGCGCCGGAAGAGCCTCCGCCGTAGACTTGAGAAGCCGCAGCGGCGGCTGCCCATTTCCGCCGTTGCTGAGCCAGCTCGTACTGTCGACCGTCAGGCGGGGATCGAACCAATCTCTGGCCCACCGGCCAATTCGCTGTCCTCCTCCGATGCCACTGACCGGACCGCATGGCCAGTCGGGGGCGGCTGGTCGGCATGTTTCGCTGGGCCTCTGCTCACGGAGGCTCGGTCAACGGCGAAGGGCGGCGACTCTCTCTCTGAGGTGAGGGCACGAGGAATGCGGGGCTCTGACAGGTCCCAGTCTGAGCGGGGGCCAGCGGGCAGCGGCAGGCCATGCCGTTGATCTGGCCGCGTTACTCGTTTGCCGCGGGCAGGCGAGGTTGCGCAGCCCACGGCCCAGCAGGTCCAGAGGTCGGTCTGGGGCCGCACGCGCTGGCTTGCAGTAAGTTAGCGAGCACCCGCCGGCGGCGGTCTGGCCCCCATCTGCTTGCGGGGTCGTTGCGCGTGGACGGCCGGCCGGCGACCCTACAGCTCCCCCACGCTCTCCGATGATAAGATCCATGCACCGTCCGCGATGGCTGCACACTCGCGATGCCCCTCAGCGACTCCCACTCGCCCGTAGACTCGTCCAGAGTCGCCTCTAGTTCGATGCCTTGCTGCACCAACCGAAGCACTCACAACGAGCCCGCTTGGTCGCTAACGCACGCGGGCGGCGGCCGTTCGACACCGCGTCTTCCGCCTCTTCTCTCGCCTTGCCTCGTCCTGCCTTGCCTCGCCTCACTCTCTGCGTACTCTGTACTGCCTCTGCCTCTCTCATCCGTTTTGCTCGCTTGACCGTCTGTGAGACCATGTCGCCTCTGCTGACCCTGCTTGCCGTATCTCGCCTCAGCATCGCGCTAGAGTGTCAGCGATGCCAAGAAACCGCGTTGGCGACCATGGAACTCGCCACGGATACGGGTAGGTAGGAAAAGGGCCGTGTGGCGAAACCAGGAGCAACGGCAGGGACGCGCCGTGCTGTTTTGCTTGCCACCCCTTGTGGGTGCTGTACCTAGCCACGCTCGTGGCCTCTGCTCTTGCATCCTGGCCCCTTTACACCTCGGCTCCCCGCACCTTGCGCGGTTTTGCCGTCGCCCTGCAAATCCTTTGGCCGCCACACGGAGCACCAGCCCGGCGGAAGGACCAGGTGCGCTGTTACGCGCTGCAGGCCGTCCCTATTGTACAAATACATGTAACTAGGCATCCTCTTCGGCGCTGTTCGCCTGCACCCCGCATTCGGTCCGTCTACCGTAGGTCCGCCGCGCAGCCTGTCCCGCCTTGCCTCGACGAAGGCCGTTCGTCTTCCCTGACCGGAGAGGTCCGCCCGCCCGTGGGAGTGACAAAGAACCTGCCGGGCGCTCTGCATGCCTCTCTGCATCACACACGCTAGCGCACAGTGGTTAGCGGCCGCCTGGCCTGCCGCGCCGCCTCGTGGAGCCCCGTGGCACCGAGCCACAGTAGCGAATCTGTGGGGTAGAGTGCCGTCCTTGTCGCTGTACCCCGCAAAAGGGCCGACGCCCACCGGCCGGCCGGCAAGGTTATCCTCCGTCCCTGTGTCTGCCGCCGTGCCGTCCGTACCAGACTCCCTTATAAGCCCCCGGACCTACAAGCGCTTTCGAAGCCCCCGGTCCCCCTCTCGAACGCCATCTTCCACCTTCTTGCTCCTTCCTACAACTTGATCCAAGATCTTTCGGCGCGATCTTTCTCATCGCTTCTCGCCCAGGATCTCGCGATCTTCCATACCTTTACTCGGCCCCTCTTCCCGAACCTCCCCTTCCCTCGGTCTTCCCCATCAAAGTACCGGCGCCATGACGACCGTGGCCACCACCGACGCTGTGGCCCCTTCAAGGTCCATCGAGGCCCCTTCGGCGCCACTCGCGTTCGACAGCCGCGGCGTGCCGATCTCTGAAGACCATGCTCGCGTTTGGCGCCGCGGCGTCCGCCAGCTCGACTGGCGCACCGTCCCACCTCTGACTTTGCTATGGCTAGCCAATTTCATTGATGAGTATTGCTCTCGTAGCGCTGCTTTCCAGGTCCATGGAGTGAAACGGGACGATGTCGAGTGGCAAAGAGCGAAGGAGTATGGTGTCGAGCGGTGGTGGTGTCTCGTAAAAAATCCCGCACCGAGACGCGGGGCCCCGTCCAGGAACGCCGCGCTCGTTCCCTACTCCACGCCACAAAAAATCCGTGCTAACTTTCGCACGCGCCCCCTGTCACTTTTTTGCTCGCCACACACCGATCCAATATCGGCAACGCCAAAGTCGCGGGCCTCGTCAAGGACCTACATCTCAAGGGCAACCAGTTCAGCATTGCGCTGGCCATCTTCTACATAAGCTACATCATGGTCGAGCTACCCAGCAACTTCATGTTGAAACGGCTCTCAGCCAAGCTGTGGCTCCCGCTGCTCGTCTTCAGCTGGGGCATCGTGACGATCGGATCGTCCTTTGTCAAGAACTTCGCCGAGCTCGCCGTCATCCGCGTCCTGCTGGGTGTCTGCGAAGGTGGGTCGAGCGACGGCTACATGGCTGATCTGGATCAAAGTGGCCTTGTGACGCTGACCTTGCCTTCCGCCGTTGTCTCCCTTGCGCTCTCCAGGTGGTCTTCTGCCCGGTATCCCGCTCTACCTCGCCACCATGTACCCGCGGTACATGGTCCAGGTGCGCATCGCCTACTTCTACGCCGGGGCTTCGCTCGGTGAGTCTCAGCGGCGTTCTGACCGGTCCACTTCGTCGCCAGCGCTCGAACGCGCGCTGACGCGTCGTCCCGCCTCCATCTCTGTCTCTACTAGCCGGCGCCTTCGGTGGTCTCCTCGCCTCCGGTCTCCTGCAGATGGACGGCCTCGGCGGCCTCGCTGGGTGGCGCTGGATCTTCGCGATCGAGGGAATCGCAACATGCGCCATCGCTGTGATCGCCTACCTGTGGCTTCCCGCATCGGTCGAGGCGGCCAAGTTCCTCTCGACCGAGGAGCGCGAAGTGATGCTCTCGGCCATCGACTGGGACACGCACTCGATGCGGGTGCGCAACAGCGGCCTCGACCCCATTGTGCTGGACAGCAACAACGGCTACAGCCAGGGACAGGAGATGACGCACCAGCTCACCTGGGAGTCCAAGGAGATCGCCGACACCACGACGGCGGCGGCCATCAAGGAAAAGGAGGCCATGGGCGCCGTCACGCCCGCCGTTTCCAGGGGAGGCGCTGGTGCGGCCGGACGGGTGCTCGAGCAGGAGCAGTTCGAGTGGCGCGAGGTCCGCCGCGGCCTGACAGAGATCCAGGCGTGGCTCAGCGGCATCGCCTACCTCTGCGTCTGCATCTGCCTCTACTCGTACACCCTCTTCCTGCCCACCATCCTCCGCGGCATCTACCCGGACATCAGCACCACCAGACTCCAGCTGCTCACCGTGCCGCCGTGAGTCGACCGCGTGCCGCCCGTTCGACATCGATGGACCCGTGATGGCTGACATTCTCTCCATCCCGTGTCCGCCCCGTTTTTCTCTTACTCCCGCAGCTTCGTCCCGGCGACAATTGGAGTCGTCGCGGTTGCCTACGCCGCCGACAGGGCCAAGATGCGCGTGCCCTTCATCCTCGGCTGCCTGCCCTTTTCCATCATCGGCTACATTATCCTCCTGGCCACCTCGGACCCCAAGACCAAGTACGCCGCCATCTTCCTCATCTCCCTCGGCGTCTACTCGGCGGTACCGTGCATCCTGACGATCCCCATCAACAACTCGGCGGGGTACTACAAGCGTGCCACGGTCAACGCGCTGCAGCTCATGGTGGCCAACTGCGCCGGCTTCGTCGCGACCTTCATCTACGACGCAAAGTGGGCGCCCGACTACACGCCGGGGCACTCGGTCGTCCTGGGCGCCCTCATCCTCGCCTGGATCCTCATCGCCCTCAACGGCCTCTACTGCCGCTGGGAGAACCAGAAGCGCGCCAACGGCGAGCGCGACAGCAACTGGATCCGCTACCAGGAGCTCGTCGACCAGGGCCTCACAAAGGCCCCCATCGGCGACCGCAACCCCGCGTTCAGGTTCACCATCTAGGCGCGCCCCGCTCCCACGCCCGCTCCCTCTGCCGCGTTCAGTTTGCTCCTGCCTCTGTAACGATATCTCCCGTCACGATCCAACGAATCAGAACGACCTGTGTAGCAGTGCAATTTCCCCGAGTCTACCTCGGTCACCTTCTGGGTGGAGGACCGCTGAGTCGGTTTGCGCGCCATGCCGCTGATCCGAGTTCTCGCCGTTGACGTGCGGCGTCGCCGAGACGCAAACAGAGGATCTGAGCGGCCTCACCCTTCGTCCTCGGTGTGCCGAAGCTTAATGGCATCGTGCACGCCCTCGCCCAATAGCCTTCGCCTCTGCACGCGGACTCCCATAGGACCACGCACCGTCCGGGCCCCGCAGAAACGAGCAATAACGCTGTATGTTTCGAGCCTTTCGAGACGATGTCTGTATTACAGCATGGGTCTAAGCCGAGTTCTCCTTGGCCTTCTCCTCCTCGGCTGCCGCGGTCGGCGAAGGCGCGCGTGTTGCCGTGCCCGAGGTCGGGTTGCTCTCGAAGCCCGCGGCGGCCGCCTTGGCCTCGACGTCGCGCCGCGCGCCAAGGACCGGACCGCTCTGCTCGCCACTTTCATCCTCGAACGCCGCGTACTTGGAGTTGGCGCGGATCCTGGCGCCGAACTTGATGAGGATAAAGGGGAGGGGGACCGCGAGCGCGAGCAGACAGCCGAGCAACGTTCCCGCACCCCATACGTCGAGGTTGCGGAACATCTGTTGCGCAAAACATAAAGCAGAGATAAGGTCGAGAAGTCTTTAGTACCTCCGAAGAGACAGAGAGCGTCGACCGTACCAGGGCCATTACCAGACACTCGGAAGTGTTCGGAATCGTCCTGGCGCAGCCCAAGACGCTCCAGAATACCCCGAGATGTCCTGGGAGCCTCTGGAAGCCTTACCTGAGTAGAGAACAAAGGAAACGAAGCCGCCATACTGTTGCGTATCAGGCCCTGAGCCGAGATGGCAGACGCTCCCCATTCAGCCCCGTAGGCATCGGCGAGGTACTGCGGCAAAAAAATGGCGGCAAGGAATGAGGATGGTGTCAGTGGCGTCAAAATCGAACGCGTCGCAAATCTAACTTTCCGGATGGCAGCACGAGGCGTACCGACTCACCTGCTGGATGGCCTCAAAGATAAAGTAGATGCCCATGACGAGGGGCACGAGAGCGATCTCGGGTGCGATCCAGTGGACGAAGCGGTCTCCGTTCTTGGTGGGCGAGGTGAAGGCGAAGATGAACATGCCGATGGTGGAGAGGATGCCGCCGACGCAGGCGTAGTAGAGGCGGGCCTCGGGGACGGCGATGCCGTTGTTGCGGGTGCGCGCGCGGTCGTAGAGGTACTTGCTGTGGAACGAGAGGCCAAAGGCGAGGAAGCACGCGATGACGGGGCCGATGTAGGCCAGACCGCCGTTGCCGACGCTCCAGCCATGGCGCTCCTGGAAGACGATGGGGATGGCCGCGAAGAAGGCAAAGATGAGCGCCCAGGCGTAGGCGATGTAGACTGGTGCGGAAGAAGGGCGGGAAGGTATGCGCGCGGGTCAGCATCGGTCGGGTGCTCACGGCGACAGAAGCGCCGCGGGCCCAACAACTCACTGGAAAAGAAGAGGACGACGGGCTCCTTGACGATGAGCATGGCGGCACGGGTGGTCGAGACGTGCAGGAGGGCCTTGAGGGAGGGCGCCTCGAGCTCCGAGGGCGCGCGGTAGCGCTGGTCGCCCGTCTCCTTCCTGAGCTTCTTGGCGCGCCTCTGGAGGATGACCGAGCCGCGAGTCTCGCGCAGGAGGAGGAGCTCAAGGAGAACGACGGCGGCGTTTATAATCAATTGGCACCACTGTATCCAGCGCCAGTTCTTCTCCTGTAGGATGTAGCCGCAGTAGAGGGGAGCGCCGACGGTGCCGGCGACGGCGACGAGGCTGAAGAGGGCGACGGGGACGCCGCGGTCCTTTGTTTTCCAGATGTCGGCGAGCGTGCCTGCGGGGCGGGGGCGGGGTCGCGTCGATGTGGAGGTCAGCGGGTCAGCGGGTCAGTTGGTGCACACCGGAAAGACGAGCGACGGGTGCTCTACGGAGGGGCAACGGCCGCTGTGCTCACCTGGGATGATGGTGGTGCCGGCGGCGCCAAACGCGCCCGAGATAAAGCGCGAGACGAGGAGCGTCTCGATGTTCTTGCCGAGCGCCTGGGGGATAAAGAAGAGGGTGAAGAGGACGTAGCAGCCGAGGTAGATGGGGTTCCTGCCGACAAACTCGGAGAGGGGGCCGAGGAAGAGGGGCACGATGGAAAAGGCGCCGTTGAAGAGGAGCATGCCGACCTGTCCGACCTCGTTGGAGACGCCAAACTCCTGCGTCATGGGGCCGATGCCGACCGAGTAGCCGGCGGTCGAGAGGCCGATGAAGAGGCACATGGCGCACAGGAGCGACGTCGTGATCCACTTGCGCGTCAGGCTCCAGTTCATCGGGTTCTCGGGGTCGTCGGGCCCGTCCCAGACGACGAGGATGATGTTGTCGTCGCTGACGCCGTCGGGCAGGCTGACGTCCTTGCGCGAGGCAGACGGGGCCTCCTTGCTCTTGCGGCTCCACAGGCTGTTCTTGCGCGAGGGCGTCGAGGCGTGGCCGTCGTGCGACGTGGCGGCCGACTGAGGCGCCGTAGCCGGGGCCGAGGCCGAAGCGTCGGCGTCGGCATCGGCGGTGACGTACCTCTCCCCGCTCGAGAGGAAGTTGGTGTGGATCGAGGTGGCTTTGAGGACCATGGTGGCGGCGAGGAGGTGCCGAGGCGGACGAGGATCCGCTGGGCGTGAGAAGGGGGGGGAGGGCGAGGTTGGTGTGGTGTAACAGGGGCAAGGGCGGACGACGGTGCTCTGTCTGCCTGTTGTTATATGGAGTGCACGCCAGAGCGTCACTTTCTTCTCCTCCTTTCTTGGCCTGTCCCTGTTCCACCCACTGTGACGCCCTGCCCCTTCTGTGACCGGGGTCGAGTCGGTCCGTCAGGCCAAGCAGGAGCAGGGTGCAAGCTCACGCTACAGCGGGCGGCACCGGCACACACGGACATGGCGCGGCACGGCCTTCGCCTCATTTCGATTCCCCGCCTGAGGGGTGGGTGCACGGCGGGACGAGGCGGGTGCTCCGCCTGGGGGAGGGACGGGGGCCCAGGCAGCCTGCGTGCGTGTTGTTTGCCATGAGGCAGGTGAGATGGCTGGCGGGCTGGCGGGCTGGCATGCACGCCATGATCTGTGGTCAGAGAGGGCCAGCTTGGCCTGTACGACCAATAGCCTAGCTCGTCCGCGTACGGAGCTGTTCGGAGCAGCAACGACCCTGTGCGGCGACGGCCGCCGTCTCGGTGCGGGCTGAGCGACCTTGCCTTTACGAAGGGGATGCTCGCTGGTGCGTCCTGCCGCCGCTGCCGGGATCAGATCGACTGCGCGCGCCTTGACGTTCTGGATCTGGCCAAGGTGCCGGTTCGACCAAATTTTTTAACTGGTTGTTCTCGGTCAATTGTTGCTCGACACCTCGTCAGCCCCGGCCCGTTGACAGCGAGCTTGTACAGTTGTCCCGCAACGGTCGGGCTTGCTTCATAAGTAGACACCGTACGCCCGTGACACTGCTGCTTCAAAGGTAGCATGCTCGAGACCGCTCTGGCATGGACATCCCCTCCGTCCCGCGACGGAGAGCGAGCTTGAGTATAGGGGGTCCCGACGGATTTCAGGCGCCACCATCGCATCACCATCCTCTTGCGACGAGGTCGAGCTTGCCCTGTCTGACCGCAAAGGGAAAGTAGGAGGGTCGGCGAGAGGCAGACGGCCGGCGCCTCGGTCAATTTGGTGCCAGTCCGCGGTCCAACTTCGGCCGTCGTACTGGCAGGCAGGCACCCGCCGCAGCGCGCACTGTATGACGTTGGACAATGGGCGACAGAGCGGCATGCACCTTTGTCCCGGTGTCGCGCTCAGTCGGTATCTATGGCCGTGTTGGACCCGCCAACCCTAAGTAGCCTGCCGCGGTGTCGCGCCGTTTGGAAATCAAGAAAAAAAATTCTCCGAACAGCCGAACAGCCGTCAAGCTTTTTTTCTCTCCGGCGCCCACGAGGGCGCATGCAGCCAGGCCTTGCCTGCCTGCCTGCCTGCCTGCCTGCCTCTCTCTTCTGGCATGCCGGTTCCATCGCCCCTATTGGTGTCCGGCGGCTCATCTTTTCTTCTTCCGAGCTCTTAGCCTGCCTTGCTCTTGACGCAAACCTTTTCTCTTTCTTTGCCAATCGAGGCGAGGACATCGTCATCGAAAAAAAGGGCCACGTCGACGTGTGCAATTCCTGCTGAGAGGCAGATCGTGGTACAGTAGTTAGCGGGCGCTCAGAGCCTCTACCTTCGCTGGGAGCAACAGCCGGTGCCTAACGCCGTTCGGGAACCGGGCGGGAGGCAGGGTCCAAACGCAAAGGCGTTGCGTTCGTTGATCACGCACAACGACGAAACTTCGGAGGATTTCCCGTACCACCGCACGCCGGGTGGCCGGAAACGCTTAGCTTCGTTGTTCTGCGGTTCGGCCGGCCGGCGGTCAAGGACAGACGGGCGGACAGGCAGGTACGGCGTGACGGGAGATGCCAAGAAAGGCCCGGGTGACAGGCGGGCAGAGGGCCGAAACTCGACCGAGCATGCCCTGCCGGCCTGTCTGCTCCCTGCTGCAGGTCAGGCCAGGTCGGCTCGGCACCAAGCTAAGGTCAGATTCGGCCGATTCGTTCCGAGGCCGTCCCTGCCTGTCCCGACGCTAAAGACGCCGTACGTCGGATCCTCCCGTTGGGTCGTAGCCAATTCAACATCCTCTCTCACCGTGGTTGACCATGAGAGTGAGAGCCTCGTCAAGCTCTGAGTAGGCCGATCATGACGTCGTTTCGACCCTCGTACAACGGTCTTCATCAATGTGCGGCCAACAGAGGGGGTCACAGGCCATGGCCAACGGGAGCCTCAGGTCTTCTCGCCACCCTCTCACTCAAGCAAGAAGATCAGCCACCTGCATGCGCCAGCAAATGAACGCGAGGATCCAGGCTAGGGGGCGAGTAGGTACATACGGTCCCTGCGCCACCTCTGTGCCCACCACCGGATGGCCCGACGCGGCTCGCCCCTTTCGCCGGCCGGCGGACGGACACGGCGCGTGCAACCCAACACGCACTAGCTACTGTAGCTTAGGCTTACACTCTTCGGGGCGTCACGGCGGAACTGTAAACGCGCCGAGTCATGGACGTCCGAGGACACCACCCAGGTGGGTACGGTCACAGTGTAGCTCGCCCCTACCGCACCTTGTCGAGCAACAGATCGACCTCGCTCACACGACGAAGGAAACGCGCACTCGCACTCAATGGAGAGATCCTCTGGCTGCTGGTCCATGGATTGCATGATCCTAACTAGGCACCATCTTCTCCTTGGCACGCCATTGTAACGCGGAGCACCCGCGGGACGCCGTGGAGTGCCCATGGAGCCCATTGCTTGGCAACGAAGGTCGGCGGGGCCCTCCGAACCAGCACGTACGGCGGACGTGCCTGGCTGAGCCTCGCCTACGCGGCGCCTCGTCCGTCTTGGCGCGGCAGTCGCCCCGACGAGGATATTTTGGGCGTCCCGGCGGCGGCCGACGTCGGCCTCGGACCCGCCTCAGAGCCTAGACTTGATCCACTGGAACCAGGTGCCGTTCTTCTCCGACGGGATGATGGCCTCGTCGATCCACTTCTTGATCTCGGCCACGACGACGTTGGGCAGCTCGTTCTGCGCAAAGTGGCCCGATCCGTTGATCTCGACCAGCCTGACGGCCGGCACGTGCTTGGGCATTCCCTTGCCCATTGACGGCGGCACGGCCACGTCGTCGGTCGGCTGGAGCAGCAGCGCGGGTAGCGTCGCGGGCAGTCCCTTTTCACGGAAGGCTGTGGAGCGCAGATGGAAAGAGACCAACCCGTCAGCTCTCTAGGTTACGGCATTCTCAAGGCTCGAACGGGCGCACCGACTCACTCTGGTCGTCCTTGTAGTTGATCGGACGCGTCCTGTACCACGTAAGCGGTCCCTCCATGCCGCGGCTCTTAAAGGTCGAGACGTATCGCTGCAACTCGGCCTCGTCGAGCAGGCTCTTGCCGATGCTCGACAGGTCGACCTTTTGGAACTCGGGGCTGGTCAGGAGCTTCTCGAGCTGGCCTTCGCGGTACCAGTCGGCGGCCTGCGAGCCAATGTTGCCGTCGCCGCTAAACAGGCCGGGGATCATGTAGACGATGCGGAAGAAGCGCTCCAGCTGTCGAGCAGGGCGGGTCGCGCCTCCGACGTCGTCAGTCCCAGGTCTGGAAACCGCCTCGAGGCCAGGGCGGGCCACCGACCGACCACTCACATTATCCTCGATGATCTTGGTCGATCGCGGGTCGGCAAAGAACTTTTGGTAGCCAAAGTTGGGCAGGCCCTGGATGAGCTGGTCCATCGAGATGGGCTTCGACGTGGGAGGCTGGTACGGGACGCACAAGCTGATCGCGACGGAGACGAGAGGAAGGGGGGGTAAGCACAGTCGCCCTAGGCACCGTATGCTCTCTCGTGGGCTCACCTTGCGACGCCCATGATGCGGTGAGGGATCCACTGGGCCGTCTTCCATCCGAGCCATCCGCCCCAGTCGTGGGAGACGACAATGACGCGGCCGTTGCGGCCCTGGCTGTCGCAGCTGTGCGAGCCAAACTCGGCGCCCTGGCCGGCCTTTGCGTGGTCGAGGAGGCCGTCAAGGTCGGCGCAGATGGACCTGCCGCTGTACTCTGCGATCCTGCTCTGGCCAGAGGCGTCGGGCGAGGAGCGGGGCGCCGAGGTGAGGCCGTACCCGAGCAGGTCGGGCACGATCAGGCGGTAGCCCGAGAACTGGAGCGGGGCGACGACGTTCCTCCAGCCGCGGGAAAAGTCGGGGAAGCCGTGGAGGAGGAGAATGGTGGCGCGCTGGGGCACGCCCTGGGGCGGGTGGTAGTCGAGGTAGTGGTAGCGTCGCTGCGTCGCCGGCCCGTCGGGCTGCGAGGGCGACGGCGCGAGAGGCGTCACGTAAAATTGCGAGATGCCGGGCTGAGCCATGGCGGCGGATACGATCAATCAAGGTTGACGGGAAGGGAAGGTTGATGATGGTGGCCGCCCCGAGAAGGTGCCAGGTAGCTCTAGCGTTTGGTTGTGTCCAGCCGTTGCATGCCTGCCTAGCCTCGTCTTCGTTGCAAAAAGGCGGGGTAAAGCGCAGCGCTGCGCTGCGCAGCCCCAAGCTGGCAGGGCTGGCCCCCAGGCGCGGGGATGGGCATGACGCTGACGCTGCCAACCGGCTGCCGGCCTGCCCTCCCACCGGGCTCCGGGCCCATCAATTGCGGGCGAACGGGCCATGCCCCGATCGTTTTCGCAAAACTGGATCGGCGAGGAAAAAAGTTTGGACGCCGATCCGAATCTCTGCAAATCGGGCTTTTTCGGTTCCAAACGAGATTTGACCGGGCTCACGCGAGGGCGGCGATCCCGTCGATTTAGGGCAGAGCCTAGAGGACGCCCAATTTGACCGCCGGGGCGGCAGGCGGCGGCAGCGGCGGCCAAGAAAAGTTTTTCTTCCTTTTCGACTTTTCGGTCGCGTGCGTGGTCCGTGGTTCTAGGTTTGGGCGGCAGCGGCAGGCCAGGCCATGTTGGAAACGGCCTGCTCCGACGGTACAGAGAGACGACACAGAAGCCTGCTGGCGATTCCAACAAAACGCGCTCGCCTCTCGCTGGCCGGCCGTCGTCGTGCGTGTGAACCCTGGAAGGTTTCCAGGTGGGCGCTTCGCCGCCTGGTCGATGGCACCTACGTAGCCTTCGCAGAGGCCGTCTCCCTTCCCCTGTTCCCTCGTTGCAGCCCCCCACCCAACCTCGTCCGGTCAACGTTCGCAACGCCATCCATCGCAAGGCCTGCCCATCGGCGCTTCCCTTTGGACGGGGTACAGTAGACTCACCATGTCACTGCCAGGCCCTTCGCACTCGCTGCCGCCGTCCACCTCGGCCGCCTCGCCCTTCCTCCTCGTCGAGCCGGCCCAGGAAGACTTTAGCTGGTCGGCCGACTCGTCGCCGTGCAAGCCAGTCGTCGACGACGACGACGCCGAGCGCCAATCCTCGACCAAGGTCGACACCGCCAGCGCAGCCACGCTCGGCGACGACCATCTGCCCCCTCGCCCAGAGGTGCAGGATGAAATCCTAGGCGCTCGCCCAATCGGCCGTCGCTCGACCTCATCCCTCTCCTCTGCTGCGTCCGGCTCGCGAGCGGGCGAGAAGCACGCCCAGGTCGGCGTCGACCTCCCCACGATCGACCAGCAGGACGCCGCACCGGACCGCCACCAGGCCATCTACCTGCCGGACGAGGATGTCCAGCTGCAGCTCTCCTTCTACCGCCGCAGCATCCTCCGCCTCGTCGTCTGGTACGCCCTCTGCTTCCTCACCGCCGGCATCTGGTACATCGCCGACAGCTGGGCCAACAACAAGTGGTGGATCCGCTGGAACTGTACGCCCATCAGCCTCCGCCACCTCGACTCTCGCCGCCATGTCCTCGTCCGCATCAAGTCCAAGCACGGAGACGTCGACATCCTCCCGCTCAGGCGCATCGGCTTCGCCCACCCCGTCGATGCCGGCGAGGTCTTTCCCTCGAGCCTTCCGGTGCCCTTTGAGAGCGCCAGCGATGCGGCCACCCGCGAGTTCACCCTGGCCGCCCAGGACCACGGGCTCACTCCGGACGCCAGCTCCGCAGCGACCCTGACCCACGTCGACGTCCTCGAGTACCGCGCCTCGACCTTTCTCCTGCACCCGAGCACCGGCAACTTCCGCCAGCTCTCGTCCTGGCGCGACCCCTGCTGGACGACTACGGAAACGGCAATGCGGGGTCTGCAGTCCGATGTCCTCGCCAGCCGCAAGACGCTCTTCGGGCTCAACCAGATCTTTGTCCCGGGCAAGAGCGTCTGGGCCGTCATGTTTGAGGAGGTGCTGCACCCGCTCTACGTCTTCCAGGTCTACAGCATCATCCTCTGGGCCAACGACGAATACGTCCCCTACGCCATCGTCATCGGCGTCATCTCCATCATCGGCATCGGCGCCACCACCATCACCACCAAGCACGCCATCAACCGGCTGCAGAGGATGAGCCGCTTCAGCTGCAACGTCGAGGTCTACCGGGCCTCGCACGGCGAAAAGGCGGGCGGCGCCTGGTCCAGGATGAACAGCGAGGAGCTCGTGCCCGGCGATGTCGTCGACATCTGCGCCACCAACGGCGGCGACGACGACAGCGCCCTGCTGAGCGTGCTGCCATGCGATCTGGTGCTGCTCGAGGGCGACTGCATCGTCAACGAGTCGATGCTGACGGGCGAGTCGGTGCCCGTGGTCAAGGCACCCATCCCCAACAGCAAGATGGAAACCATCCTCGCCGCCGGCGGCGACCTGGGCAAGATCGACAAGCACCTCATCTACTCGGGCACCAGGATCGTGCGGGCCCGCCCTCCGTCCAGGGAGGACAGGGCGCAGGCCACCGCAGGCGACGGCAGCGCCGAGGTGCGACGGGCTCGTGCGCTCGTCGTCCGCACCGCCTTTTCGACCGCCAAGGGCTCGCTGGTGCGCCAGATGCTCTTCCCGCGCCCCATCAGCTTCAAATTCTACCGCGACGGGTTCATCTTCATCGGCTTCCTCTTCGCCATGGCCCTGATCGGCATGGTCTCGACGTGCATCTACTTCAGCATCATCGGCGTCGAGTCCGAGGAGATCGCCCTGCGAGCCCTCGACGTCCTTACCATCGCGTGCCCGCCCGCGCTCCCGGCGACGCTGAGCATCTGCATCACGTTTGCCATCTCGCGACTGCGTCGCGGACAGATCTTCTGCCTCAGCCCGCAGAGGATCAACGTGGCGGGCAAGGTCAACATGCTCGTCTTTGACAAGACCGGCACGCTGACCGAGGAGGGCCTCGACGTGCTCGGCGTGCGCACCGTCGCTGCGGGCGGCCACTTCAGCGAGCTCACGCAAACGGCGCAGGATCTGCCCGGCGAAACGTCGCTCAGCTTGGACGAAGCCATGGCCACCGCGCACGACCTCAATCTGCTGGACGGCAAGGCGCTCGGCGAACCGCTCGAGGTCAAGATGCTCGAGTGGACCGGCCGACAGCTCGAAGACGACGCCGACCGTGCGCCCGTGCAGCTCAAGCGCGAGGGCGCCAGCGACAGCGCACCTGGCGAGCCCTCGCAGAGGCCGCGCAACGCCGACGGCCAGCTCGCGCGCGTCCCCGTCATTCTACCGCTCGCCGGCTCGTCGCACAAGAGGCTCGCCGTGATCCGCACCTTTGCCTTTAGCCCGGAGTTGCGCCGGATGAGCGTCATCGTCAAGCGCGAGGGCGAGGGCGAGGTCGGCGCGCAGATCTACTGCAAGGGCGCACCGGAGGCCATCTTTGGCCTGTGCGAGACCGACAGCCTCCCGACCGACTACGATGCCGTGCTGGATCACTACACGCGCGCCGGCTACCGCGTCCTGGCCGTCGCCGGCAGGGTCGTCGAGGGCATGAGCTGGGCCGGCGCCCAGACCCTGCCCCGGTCGGCCGCCGAGTCGCGCATGCGCTTCCTCGGTCTGATCGTGTTCGAGAACAAGCTCAAGCCCGGCACGGCGCCGGCGATTGCCACCCTGCGCGACGACGCCCGCCTGCCGATCAAGGTCTGCACCGGCGACTCGGTGCTCACGGCCGTCTCGGTGGCCAAGGAGTGCGGCATCCTCGATACCGCCGCGCGCGTCTACGCCCCCCGCCTCTGCTGGACCAACACCGCGTCAGCCGGAAAGAAGGGCGACGCCGGCGCCGAAACGGTCAAGGCCAGCTTGGCGCACGTCGAGTGGGTCGACCTCGACGACGAGGACCGGAAGCTCGACAGCTACACCCTCGACCCGCTCGACGGCACCGCCAAGCTCGGGGACGTCGAGCTGGCCGTCTCTGGCGAGATCCTGCGCACGCTGGTTGACGGCTGCGCCAAAGAGACGCTCGAGAGGATGCTGGTGCAGGCCAAGGTGTTTGCGCGCTGCTCGCCCGAGCAGAAGCAGGACCTCGTCGAGCGGCTGCAGAACCTCGGCTACACGGTGGGCTTCACGGGCGACGGCGCCAACGACTGCGGCGCGCTCAAGGCCGCCGATGTCGGCCTGAGCCTGAGCGAGGCCGAGGCGAGCGTGGCGGCGCCCTTCACCTCGCGCAAGGAGGACATTTCGTGCGTGCAGCAGCTGCTGCGCGAGGGCCGCTCGACGCTGACGGTGTCGTTTGCCATGTTCAAGTGGATGGCGTGCTACTCGCTGTGCGAGTACATGACCGTGCTCCTCCTCTACGGCCAGGCGACGTCGCTCGACAATGCCGAGTACCTCTTCATCGACGTCTTCATGGTGCTCCCCATCGCCATCGGCATGGCCAACAGCCTGCCGTCCAAGAAGCTGCACTGCAAGGCGCCCGCCGCGCGCCTGGCCAGCATCCGGCCCATCATCAGCACCATGGGCCAGGTCGTGCTCATCTTTGTCGCCCAGACCGTCGTCTACGTCGTGCTGCACCGGCAGAGCTGGTACGTGCCGCCGGAGCTGGACCCCAACAACCTCCAGCTCAACGACATGGACAACACGGCCCTCTTCCGCGCCTCGGTGTTTGGCTACGTCATCGCCGGCATCGCCTACTCGGCGGGCCCACCGCACCGCCAGCACCTCTACCTCAACTGGATTCTCTTCCCCGCCCTCTTTATCCTCGGCGTCTTTTGCTTCTACTTCCTCTTCCTCACCTCGGGCCCCTTTTTCACCCTCTTCGGCTTCGTCGACACTCCCTCGAGCTTCAGCTGGATCATCTTTGGCGTCGTCGTCGCCCAGTTTGTCGTCGCCATGCTCTTCGAGGCCTACGGCGTCCAGCTCGTCGCCACCTACGTCGCCGAGCCGCTCAAGAGGCTCGTCACCCGGAGAAAGACGGGGCCACGCGAAAAGGATTACCGCCGCATCCTGCGCGCCATCGAGCATGGCCGGTGACGGGGAGGGGCCTTCCCCAACCTTGCTCCTTGTGTACTCTAGTCACCCGCCTGCCTGCACTTTCATGCCTAGATTTGACGTCGACGGCGGAAAACAAAATCTACAGCAACGGCCGACCGCCGCTCAGAGGCCCTGCATCCTCTGCAGCCGGATGCGCACGGCGTGGGCGTGGGCCTCGAGGCCCTCGCACTGGGCGAGGTCGATGACGTGCTGCCCGAATCCCTTGAGGCCCTCGGCGGTGAGCGACTGCGAGGTAATGTTCTTCTCAAACGTCGACACGCTCACGCCCGAGTAGGAGCGCGCATAGGCCGCCGTCGGCAGCGAGTGGTTGGTGCCCGACATGTAGTCTCCGCAGCTGTCGTATGGCGAGGCGGGGTCAAGAGGGAACGGGGAAGGGGAAGGGGACGGCATCAGCAAAAGTCGCCTTCTCGCTACCTCAATAAGTCTGTGCCCGCCGCCGCCGACTCACCTCTCGGGACTCCACTGTCCGACAAAGCAGCTTCCGGCGTTGCGGACGCCCTTGATGAGCTCCTCGGGCCTCTCGGTCTGGAGGATGAGGTGCTCGGGCGCGTAGTCGTTGCTCCACTCGATGGCCTCCTCGCGCGTCTTGACAATGATGGTGACGCTCTTGTCGATGGCCTGGCGCACGACGTCGACGCGCGGCAGCGCGCGCGCCTGGGCGTCGACCTCGCGCTCAATCTCGGCCAGCTTGGCGTCCGTCAGGTCGATGCCGACCAGGACCACCTGCGAGTCCGGACCGTGCTCGGCCTGCGAGAGCAGGTCCGAGGCGACGAAGCCGGCGTCGGCCGAGTTGTCGGCAATGACGAGCACCTCGGACGGTCCGGCGGGCATGTCGATCGAGACCTGCGCGTCCATCTGGTTCTGGACGAGCATCTTGGCGGCAGTGACGAACTGGTTGCCCGGACCGACGATCTTGTCGACCTTGGGGCACGACTCGGTGCCGTAGGCCATGGCGCCGACGGCCTGCGCACCGCCGGCGCACAGGATGGCAGTGGCGCCCACCTTGTCGGCGCAGTACAGCACCTCGGGGCTGATCGAGCCGTCGGGCCGCGGCGGCGTGGCCAGGACGACAGTCGGGCAGCGCGCCACCTGGGCAGGGATACCGAGCATGAGGGCCGTGCTGGGCAGAACGGCGCTGCCTCCAGGCACGTAGAGACCGACCCTCTCGATGGGGCGGGCGAACCTCCGGCAGACGACGCCGGGCATCGTCTCCATCTCGAGCACTCCGTCCTCGGCGCTCTCGCCAGAGCTAGGGTCGACGCCCTTGCCGTCGGCGCCGCCGACCTCGCTGGCCGACTTGTTGCCGAACGTCGTCTTCTGCGCCTTGTGGAATGCGTAGATGTTGCGGTAGGCGACGTCGATCGCCGTCTTGACCTCGGGCTTGATCTTGGCCATCACCTCGTCGTTGGTAAACGGAGGCAGGCGGATCGGGTTGGGCAGCTTGGCCTTGTCAAACTTCTCCGTCAGCTCGAGGAGGGCGGCGTCGCCGCGCTCCTTGACCGAGCTCAGGATGGGCCGGACGAGGTCCATGATCTGCTCCGTCTTGAGCGCGGGTCGCTTGAGGAGCTCGACGCGCTGCTGCGGTGTGATGTTCTCGAGGCGGTGCGACTGGATCTTGATCGGGGCGTTGGCGTCGAGGACGGGCTTGGCCGGCGCGGCGGCGGGCTTCGCGCTACCCTTGGCCTCGGCCTCCTGCTGCTGCTTGGCGTACTGCGCCTTGGCATCGCCCTTCCTACGGCTGACCTTCTTGGACTTGGCGTCGAGGCTGCGCTCGATGTCCTCGAGGCCCACGCCGGCGCTGACGCACTTGGTCAGCGCAAAGTAGATGAGGTCGGCGGCTTCGAACGCGACGTGCTCCTTGTCGTCGTTGTTGGCATCCGCCAGCTCGGCCGCCTCCTCGCGCAGCTTGGCGCCGAGCAGCGAAGGGTCCGTAAAGAGGCGGGCGGTGTAGGAGCCGGCCGGGGCCGACCGCTTGCGCTCCTGGAGAGTCGACTCGAGCTTGGCAAGACCCGTGGCCGAGCCAAAGCACCCCTCGCGGTTCTCGAGGTGGCAGAAGCCGGCAGCGGCCGTGCCCTTCTTCTGGCGCACGCGGAACTCGACGGCGTCGCTGTCGCAGTCCTGTCGGATGCTGACGACTTCCTGAGTGGCACCGCTGCTCTCGCCCTTGTGCCACAGACCGCGGTTCCGTGATTGGTAGTGGGCCGAGCCGCTGAGGATCGACTTGCGGATGGATAGTGGTGAGGAGTAGACGAGGCCGAGGGAGGTGGAACATGCCGACGAAACGACGAGGGTGGCAAAGAGCTTGTCGGAGCGGTCCGACTTGAGCGGGGCGAGGAAGGCGTCGACCAGGTCGAGCTTGCCAGACTCCTGCTGGCCCTCTTCGGAAGCGCTGAGCAATGTCGTGGGGACGATGAGGGCGGCCGAGAGGGATGCGAGCTTCTCGACGTCGGCGACGGTGGGCGTGCCGGCGGTGGCGAGGACAAAGATGCTCTTTCCGCTCGTCTTGGACTTGAGCCCGTCTGCAGCGGCCTTGACCGACGCGAGCGTAGCGTCGGACGAGAGATCCGAGGCGGTCGGGACGGTCAGAACGGCGCCGGCGACCTTGGCGAGCAGGCCAGCGTCCGGAGTGCCAGAGGCTGAGTGGAAGATGAAGCGGGTGGACGAGGTGTCGACGTCGAAGCTGTCGATGAGGGCGGCGTCGGCGGTGACGATGGCCTCTGCGCCCTTGTCGAGGATATCGGCGGCCTGGTCGGCGGTGAGCTGGGGCGCTGCGAGGACGAGGTAGGGCAGCTGGCCGGGCAGCTGCGGCCGGACCGTCTCGATGATCTCTGCAGGCACGAGGATGGGCGACGACCTCGAGATGGCGGCGATGAGGTCGCGCTGCTGGCTGATGGTGGCCGCCGACTGGAGCAGCGGCAACAGAGGCGCGGACAGCTGCTGCATGGCGGGCGACGTGTCGGAGAGGGATGGGTTGGGTTTGGTGGTGAGGTCGATGGAGGGGTCAGAGTGTCAGCCTCTTTCTTTTGTCTTGAGGAGCAGCTGCTGCTGGCCCCGCCCCGCTGGCCGGTGTGCCGGAGCCTTTTTTGAGTTGGGCTCTCGTGGCAAAAGGGCGGCGGCGGTTTCTTCTGACTCGGAAGCGACCGACGGTTTTCCGCTCGGCCACAGCGGCCCACGCCAGGCCCAGGGGCCCAGGGGGAAGCTAAGGCTAGGCTGAGTCGGGCTGATCCGCGCCCGTCAGCCTGTCGGCTTTGTCAGCGCCGTGCGGGCGGCGGCCTTAGCTTGCTTTAGGCAGGCCTGGCCTGCGCGGCTGCAGCCCGACGCTCGCATGATGGCGCTCCGCAGGGGCCACTCTCTAGTTGGTGCTCCACCACACCGGGGTCGTGGCGAGCGTCTAGGATCGCCCGTGTGCTTCCGATAGTGTACCATCACGCACAGCCCTTCGGATCGGACCGAGCCACGACGCCAGGATGAAGCTCAAGCTCAGTTGCGCGCGCCTCGTTTGCCTGTTGGCGGCAGCCTCCGTCGGCCTGACCAGCGTGGCCAGCGCCGCTCAGATCCCATTCTCTGCGTCTCGCGAGGGCGGCGGCATCGGCGCGACGACGCTCCAGCATCCGCATCTGCCTGCACACAGGCTTCGCGTCGTCACGCCGCCGGGCTCCCTCTGCGACGACAGCGTGCGCTCCTACTCGGGCTACCTCGACGTCGACGTCGACAAGCTGCACCAGCACCAGCAGCAGTCGTCGCTGCCGCTCAGCAGCTACGGCAACGACGCCTCGCTCAATGCCACAAGGACGGCTCGCCACCCACGCGGCACCACCGAGCACTTCTACTTCTGGGCGTTCGAGTCGCGCAACGATCCCAAAAACGACCCCGTCGTCCTCTGGCTCAATGGCGGACCCGGGTGCTCGTCGCTCTTTGGCCTGCTCAACGAGCTGGGACCGTGCAAGGTCGGCGATCCGAAAAACAACGGCGGCAAGCCCTTCGCCGAGCCCAACCCGTACTCGTGGAACAGCAACGCCACCGTCATCTTCCTCGACCAGCCCATGGGCGTGGGATACTCGTACGTCTCGTGGACCGACAAGACCAGAAAGGACGACCCGCCATCGCGCGTCCTGTCGACGCCCGCCGCCGCTCGCGACGTCAGCGCCTTTCTCCACCTCCTCGCCATGCACACCGACGAGGGCCCCTTTGGCGGCAGCGCCTCAGCCTCGTTCCACATCGCCGGAGAGTCGTACGGCGGGCGCTACCTGCCCCTGATCGCCAACCAGATCCTCGAGGACAACAAGGAGGCTGCGGCCCACCCGGAGCGTGGACTGCGACCCCTGCCCCTCGCCTCGGTCCTCATCGGCAATGGCTTCACGTCGCCGCAGGACCAGTACCCGGCCTACGTCGAGTATACCTGCACCAACGCGTCGGGCAAGGCAGACGGGCCCCTCCTCGCCAAGCACAAGTGCGACAAGATGTACAGCTCCATCCCCACCTGCCTCGCGCTGGTCGACAAGTGCAACCGCAGCGACGACGTCGGTGGTCCCGAGGGGCCCTACGACAACCTCGCCTGCCAGACTGCCACCACCTACTGCGAGGGCGCCCTGGCCGGACCCTACGACGACCTCGACGTGTCGCCCTACAACTGGCAGCACGCCGCAGAGTACAAGGAGGACGCCTGGGTCGCCGCCTTCTACAATGCCAAGGAGACGCAGAGGGCCTTGGGCGTCGATCGAAAGGGACCCGGTGACAACCACGACGGCATCTTCGTCGGCTGCTCCGACAGGGTCTTTGAAGACTTTGCAAAGACCGGCGACGGTTCGCGCGACTCGACCTGGGCCGTGGCAAGGATCCTCGACCAGGGCGTAAAGGTGCTCGCCTACAGCGGCAAGCTCGACTTCATCTGCAACTATGTCGGCAACCGCAACTGGGCAGACAAGCTGCAGTGGCACGGCGAGCAAGCATTCCAAAAGGCCGCCATGGAGCCGTGGTACGTCGGTGGCCAGGACAAGGAGAGCACCCGCGCCGGCGACTTCAAGCAAGCGCACGGCTTCACCTATGCCACCGTCGAGGCCGCAGGCCACTTTGTGCCTCACGAGTGAGTAGCGCCGTCGCAGCCTGTGGGCCCAGAACTTGACATTGACCTGCCTCGCAATCCCCCGGGCCCCTACCTCTCTCTCCTCACTGCGTCCCATCATCAGCCAACCACGCAGCGCGCTGGCCATGTTCAATCGATGGCTCGACCCCAAGTCGGGTGGCCGACTGTAGACCAGCGGCGGAGGCCTCAGACGCGGCCCTAGAGCATCGCAGGCAGCTTGGATTCGTGCGCCATGACGGAAATGCCTCGAATGCGCGAGAGTGATGTTACATGATGTGGCTCAGGTTTGCCGTCGTACTGGACCCTCTGCGGACGGGCCTGCTACTTCAGAATCGGGTCTGCGCTCTTTGTGGCGCGATGGTCGGCCGCTCGGGGCCTGGATGTGGTGCGATCGAATCGTGCGCGGGTGCTTCTTCACTCGGACTTGACATTGGCGGGTCGGTTGGAGGCGTTGGAGCTTGAGCCGCTCTGGCTTTGCCTGGGTCCGGCCCTGTCGCCGGACAGCAGGTCGACTGCCTCGCCCTTGACCCTCGTTCCGCTGGGACCGGCCGTCGGGTTGGCGTTGGCTGCGGTGGAAGAGCCGGTGCGCGAAGCCAGCGTCGCGCTGTTGCCCGTGCGCGAGACCGCCAGTACCCTGCTCGGGCCAACCTCCGGCTCGATCTCGGTCTCGGTGCCGCTGTCGCCTCCGCCGGCGCGGTCCTCGAGCACCTCGCCGTTCCTGCCAGTGATGCCAAAGATGCGCAGGATGTCGCGGATGGTGCTCTCCTTTTTCTTGGCCGGATTGTCGATGCTCTCTCCTCGGTTCTTGATGCCGGCGAAGCTGTTGGCGGGCGGGACGATGCGAGGACAGGCAAACCAGGCGCCGTCAGTTGTCACATCCAGCCGTCGCACAGGATCCCCCGCAGATCGCCGCGTGCGGTGCTCACCTGTTCCTGATCAGATCCTCCTTCTCGCCCTGGATCTCCATGACCCTCTCCTCGACCGTGTTGGTGCAGACAAACTGGAAGACCTTGACGTCGCGACGCTGGCCGATGCGGTGCACGCGGTCCTGCGGAGTGCAAGGGCATGAAAAGGAGATGCAGGGCGGAGTCAGTCGACTGCGAGCATCGAGACGTGATTGAAGCCGCCGCGATACGCACGATGGCCTGCGCCTCGATCTGACCCTGCCACCACGGATCGAGCAGGAAGACCTGCGATGCGGCCGTCAGGTTGAGGCCGACGGCGCCGGCCTGGATCGAGATGAGCATGACGACGGGCACTCGGCCGTCGCAGTTGTCCGTGTTTGCATGACGACGACCGCAGCCCCGTTTGCCACCGTTGACGTCAAGGGCGGCCAGCTGCCGAGAGCTAGATGAAGCCTTGCACGTCTCGTCGGGCAGCTCGTCCTGCTCGACCGCCTCCTCCTTCTTTGGGCGGACGAACTGCTGGTCGAGCATCTCGAGCAGCGTGCGAGGCTTCGCCACGGCCGCTGCGAAGGCTCGTCCCGGACCACGGCCGGCGCCTGGATCGCCAGCGGGGGGCGAGTGGTCCTGCTGGCCTGGGTAGACCGGCTTGCTGAACCTGTCGAGCACCTGGGCGCGCTGGACCTTGTTCATCGAGCCGACGAAGCGACAGAACGGGATGCCCTCGCGAGTGAGGCGCTCGGCCACCTTGTCGAGGAACGAGACAAAGTTGGAAAAGACGAGGCTTTTGATCATGGGCTGGCCCTTGACCATCGTTGTCCGGTCCGTCGTCCTCAGGATCTCGACGAGCTGATCAATCTTGGCGCTCTGGACAGCCTCGCCGTCGGCTGCAGCGGGTGTTCCGTCGGTACCGACCTCTGAGATCAGGGGCGAAGGCTCCTTGGATCGGCCCGGCTTGACGTCCTCGTCCCCCTCGTCCTCTGTCAGAGCGAGCACCTGCTCTTCGGTAGGCATCGCGACGAGCGGGGTGCCGGCAGGCAGCAGGGCCCGGTCTAGCGGGCACTTGCCCTGCGTCGTGATGACGGCGGTGATGCAGGCGAGGCAGAAGACGTGGGAGCACGGAGTGATGCGGGGGTCGTTGAACGCCTCGAGGCAAATCGGGCACTCCTCGGAGCCGGTGGTGATGAGCGCGCGCAGCTTCTCCTGGAGGCTCTTGACGGTCTTGGCGTCGAGCTCAATGGCCGGCGCCGCCTGCTCGCCGCCTTCGCCCTCTTCGGGGGGCGCGAGGAGCTCCTGCATCTCTTCGAGGAGATTGTCCGGAACGAGATCCCTGTGCAGGGCGCAGAGATGGGACAGAGACGGAGGAGCGGGTGTGAGTTGTGGCCAACAGCGTCACACACGGCGGAGGCTACACCCACCTCGAGCAGCAGATCTGACGCAGTCGGCATAGGAAGAGCAGAACGTTGCTGTACTGAGCGGCGAGCTCGCCGGCGCGCCAGAGGCCCAGAACCCGTCCTCGCATGATCTCGGCGACGCGGTCGTAGAAGACTCGGGTCTCTGGGTCGAGCTCGATAGCATGCTTGTACATCTTTGATGGGGCAGGAAGTAAATAGGGCGGCGGTCAGCATCGAGGTGCGCCGGCTGCCACGCACCGCCATGCGGACTCACCTGGATCGCGGGCAGCTCCACGATCGGCTTGCCGTGGATGTCCATCATGTGTTTCGTGCGGCGAAGCGTGGTGCAGAGGATGATGGAGCGCAGCAGGCGCGAGCCAGCCTGGCTGGAGTCGCTGCGGATCGCTCGATCGATGTACTTGTTCCACAGCTTCGGATCCTCGAGGTGCTCGACGCGCAGGAAGGCGCACAGGCTCTGCAGGTCCTTGGTGGTGTTGATGAGGGGCGTGCCGGTGACGGCCCAGACGCGCTCGGCGGTGATCTCGAGGATGGCGCGGTAGAGGAGCGTCTTTGAGTTTCGGCCGACGTGGGCCTCGTCGAGCACTAGGCGGCGGTACTTTGTCTTGAGGACCTTGGGCAGCTCGTAGGCGAACAGCTCGTCGAAGTCGTACTCGACGTCGTCACCGTCGGCCAGCGTCTGCTTCGACTTGATGCTGCCCTTGGACGGCGTCGAGGTCGACGTGCTCGCCCTCGAAGTGCTTGCCAGGTCCGACTTGCGCGGGGCCTTTTTGGGCCTTGCGAAACCGTCGTCGTCGTCTTCGTCGTCGTCGGTCGCGCTGGGGCTCCACGCAAAGTCGCTCTCGTCGTCGTCGTCGAGCTGCTGAGCCCTGGCTTTGCCCTTGCCCTTGCCCTTTCCCTTGCTCTTGCCTTTGGCCCCGCCCCTGGCCGACGACTTGGCTTCGGCTCGGGCAAAGGCGGCCTTGAGCTTCGACGACGACGGCGCCTCTCGCTTGGCGGCCCACGCCGCCAGCTCGTCTCGCTGTTGGGCCCTGATTCGCTCGAGGTCGCGTCGGCACTGCTCCTTGTCGATGTACGCCGCCCCGGGGGCGTTGACCAGGGTGAGCTTGCGTTCCAGCTCGGCAATCTGATCCTGGCGGGTCTCGGCGAGGGCCCTGGCCTTTCGGATCGTGTCGATGGGCTTGAACTCCGACTTGATCGTGTCGTACGTCGTGATGATGAAGTCGTAGCTGTCCCACCTCGAGTGTATCATCTTCTTGATGCCATCGCCGTGGTAGATGGCGACCTTGACGTTGCGGGTGTGCTCCTGGATCTGGCTCGACCAGTTGTAGATGACGCTCAGCGGGCACACGACCAGCGTCGTCTTGCTGTACATCGGGTCCAGCGGGTCGATGATGGCCTCGGGCACGCCGTCGCCGGCCTCGGCTTCGGTCTCGGTCTCGCTCCCGCTGACCTCGGCCTCGGCCGCCTCGGCCTTGGCCTTGGCCTTGCCCTTCTTCTTGAGCGCCGCCTCGCGCTTCTTGAGCCACGCCCTCTCCTGCTTGTCCTTCTTCTTGACCTCGGCGGCAACCACCTTCTGGCCGGTGGGATCGTACAGGCTCAGCGCGATGATCATGAGCGTCTTGCCCAATCCCATGTCGTCGCTCAGGATACCACCGCGGGGCAGTGCAGGAGGGTTCTGTGAGAGGTGCGAACGTCGAAGGCGAGATGGCCAAGTGTCAGCTTTCCGCAGCGAATCTGGGTCGACACTGTACCTTGCGCTGCGCATCACTCACGCGCTGCCATTCTCCCGGTCGAACGGCGTGCGAGTAGCGTGAGCTGCCGTTCTTGATGCGCCTTGCGCGCCAAAGCATCACGAGGCCATCTGCGTGGCGACGGGGCGGCTGCGGGTGCTCCTTCTCGACCATCCAAGCCAGGCCTTGGCTCTGGTGGTGCTTGAGCGGCGTCTTGAGGCGACCGGCTAAGAGGCTCTCATGGTCGGGGAACGGAGGCAGCATGGCCACGTCGAGAGAGTGGCTCTCGTCGTAGAGGGCGCTGAGAGCGTTGCGGCCCTGGTAGTTGCTGCCGGCGAGCCCGCGCATGACCTCATCTTGCTCGCCGGTCACCGCACCATCGTGTCCGCCGTGGCCGTCGTCGTCGTCGTCGTCGTCAGGGTCGGTGTGCATGGCGTTGAGCCGCTCTCCCATCCAGTCGTCCCAGAAATCGGGGGCACCGTCCATGCCCGCGGCAAAGGAGCCCGGAATGGTTGTCGTGCCGCTGTACATGCCGCCCGAGCCAAGCGATGGCTCAGCTTCGGTCTTCGGCAGGTGCGACGGTGCAGTTGACTGAGCGGCCGCGGAGGCAGCCGGGACGGAATGAGCAACGGAAAGCGCGGCGGAGACGCCCGGCGCCCAGCGAGCCATCTCGGCACGGACTCGCTCAAGCCAATCGATGGGCTGTGGGGGCGCAGCCGGTGTCGCGGTCGCGACGTTGCGAAGTTGACTGGCGCGATCGGCGGCCGAAGTGGGGAGGCCTTCGAAAGCAAGATTGCGAGTGTCCGGAAATCCGTGCTTCAGGGCTAGGAACCAGGCGCGCTCCGTTCCAGTCTGGCACTTGATGTCGATGCCTGCTCGGCCAGGACAGCGATCAGGACAAAGTGATGCAGCATCAATACCGGCGCTCGCGCATCGAGCGGGGACCGTATCAGACTTTCCGACTCACCGACGCGAATCTGAGGCGTCGCCGCCATGGTCCCGGAGAGCGACAACGTCGCCGGGTCGATCCCACCCGAGCCAGTGTGGACCGGCTCGAGGGCGTAGATCTCGAAGTGGAACGTGGGAGAGGCGAGGTGTCTGGCGAGCTCCATCGCGGTAGGTTGCGCCAGCTTCCCGGCGACCTGCAGTCCCGAGGCGTAGATCGTGACTGTAGCGACACCGCGCCTTCGCTCAAAGAACAGCTGCTGGCCCGCAGTCACGGCCGGACAAGTCGGGGCCACGTCGCAGAGCGCCTCGATCGTCAGGCAGCGGGTGTACTTGGGCTCTGCGGGCTTTGCAGCCGCGGGCGCTCTGGCCGCTATGTCGATGGCAGGCGCCTGCGTTTCGGGCTTGACTCTCTTGGGCGCGGGCGCCGTGGCACTGTGGTCGCGATCAGAACCCTCGCGCTTGGCCAGCAACGAACGGACTGGAGTGTTGTGCAGCGGCGATTCCCGGGGCTTGGACGAAGACGACGGTCCAGCGGCGGACGGCTTCACCTCTTGGAACGGCGGGGAGCTTTCTCGCTTTGCCGAGCGCGATCGCGGCGGAGGGGCGGGTAAGGGCTTGGCATCTCCGGGTGGCGGCGAGTCGTCGATCAGGACGGTCTCGCGGATCTTGGAGCGATCGGCGAGGAACTCGACCTCGCTATCGTCGTCGTCGTCGCGATTGTATGCACGCGTGGTAGCCTTGCGGCTGCGGGAAGGAGTCGGCATCGTGCTCTGGCCAGAGAGGCGATTGGGAGCTTGGGGAAACTCGTCGTCGTCGGAGTCGTCCGAGATGACGATGACGCGGCCGGGGTCTGGCCCGCTCTTGGGAGTCTGACGAGCAAGCAGGAGGATAGGCGATGGAGAGCGAGGCGACGGAGAGCGAAGTGATGGTGGTGGCGGTGATCAAGGCGGTGGCGATGGTCAGCAGGGGCAAGACAGCAGGGGGGCAGGGGAGGGGGGGGGGGGGGGAACGAAAGGGGACGGAAGGGGATGGTCGTGGTCAGAGAGAAAGCGGCAAGGCAGGCGGAGCGGAGGGTGGCGATTGAGGAGGCGAGAGGGGGCAGGCTGGATGGGCGCACTCCTGTTGTCGCGCTCCTTTCTCTTCTCACCTTTGACGCAGCAGGCTGGCCAGCACCGAAGCGGGCGGCGGGTCGACTGTTGGGCGTGCGCCGCGGCGTCGACCCGCCCGGCTGAGGCCATCTCGAGGGGCTGTCAGTCATCTTGGCTCAGTCGCGGCTGTCGAGCCGTTGGGCGATAGATGGCTGAATGGGCAAAAGAGACGGGCGAGGCCGGCGGCGTGGGCAAGCGGGAAGGGCGAGGAAGGCTAGAACCTGTTGCGCGCGCACGCGAGAGTGTGAGTGCGAGAAGGAACTTTGGCCAGCAACCTTGCTGGCTAGCCTGCCTGCCTGCGTGACTACTGCCCTCTGGCCTGCTCTTGACTGTCTGCCTGCCTCTCTGGATTCTTCTGAGACGGGGCAAGGGCGGGTGGCGAGCTGGCCCAGCGCAGTTGCAGAGGGTAGTCTGACGCGGCAGCCCTCTTCCTCCGTCAGTCAACGGGAGATTCCGTTCGGCGAACGGCGCAGGCCGGCCCAGGGCAGCCTTAGCTAGCCTGCCAGCCCAACGCAGGCAGGCTTCGAGGAGACCTGCGCAGCGGGTCTCGACGAGGCCGGCCTGGCGTAGGAAGCTTGCCGACCGCTCCTCGAGCCTCAGCTGCTGCTGCTGCTTGCCTTCTGCGCCCCGGGCGTGAAGAACAGAACGGGTCCGTCGCTGCTGTCTTTGTGGCGTCGGGCGACCTTGCTTGCTTGTTGGGGCGATCCGAGAGGCAGAGCTGCGCGCCAGCCGGAAGAGCAGGAGTGGTACGTCACGTCAAGGGAGGTCGTGGTGCCGAGTAGTGGTGACCGGTGCTGTGGCTCAGGCAGTAACCTCGAGGTCCATGTCGATTGCGCTTCGTCGGGATGCCAGAAGAGAGGCAGGCAGGCAGGCAGGTAGGGGTAGGCTATCGTCGTCCTGCTGGGCTTTGACTTGAGAAGGCAGCGCCCTGCCTGTTTGGCCAAGTCCCTGGGTCGCGGCGCGGCTCGGTGCGGTGCGGCTGCTGGCTTGCTTGATGGGGGTCGCCCTGCTGTATGTGTAGCCTAGCTAGCCTAGCCCGTCCCTCGTGTGTTTGGTAGATCCCGTGGGGCGTAACGTGGGTCCGGGCGTCGCGCTGAGATGCAGGTTGAGCAGGCCAGCAGCGCCGGCCCTTCCGATGATGCAGATCCGCGCCCAAAGCGTCAACGCGTCCGGTGGGGCAGGCAGGCCGCCTGCGCGTTGAAGTGAGCGATTACATAAGCGCCTGGTCGGAAACGGCGCCGACGGAGGCCAGCTGGCTTGGCCTGGCCTGGCCTGGCCGTCTGACCCGTACGCGTGGCCTGGCCACCCACTCTGCTTGGCGTTGGCGCGTGCGCGGGCCGAAGCCTGCTGCAGGAGCCGGCGGGCCGGCGACTTGGCTGCATGCAGGCGGCCCCCCCTACTGTACCGCCCAGGGCTGGCCGGCTGGCTTGCCGCATGCCGCTTTCAACCCATGACGCCTGCCTGCCGGCCCCTAGGTTCTTTTCTGCTCCACCACCGCCGCCGCTCAGAGGGACTCTTCCATCGTCCCACCGCGCCCGTAGATCTCGTCAACATGGGTATCAAGGAGACGCTCAAAAAGCACACCGACATCGATGTCCTCAAGCAGTCGATGAGCCGCCTCGGCGTCAGCGTGGCCACCGCCTGGAACCCGGACCACCGCCACGACGAGGAGCACGAAAAGGAGCAGGACCGCATCCGCCAGGAGATCCGCGACCTCCATCGCTTCAACTCCTATGCCAACGTCCGCGAGGACAACAACGTTGGATGGTACTCGGATGGCCTCGACTACTTCTGGGCCCTCTCCGAGGCCATCGAGCGCGCCGAGGACTCCATCTTCATCCTCGACTGGTGGCTCACCCCGGAGCTCTACCTGCGCAGGCCTCCGGCGCTCTACCCAGAGTACCGCATGGACCGCCTCCTCAAGCGCAAGGCGGAGCAGGGCGTTCGCATCTTCATCATTGTCTACAAGGAGGTCACCCAGTCGATGACCCTCTCCTCGGCCCACACCAAGCACTTCCTGGAGGACCTGCACGAGAACATCTGCGTCGCCAGGCACCCGGACCACCTCGGCGGCGAGGTCGTCCTCTACTGGTCGCACCACGACAAGGTCGTCGTCATCGACCAGGAGGTCGCCGCCGTCGGCGGCCTCGACATCTGCTTTGGACGCTGGGACACCCCGGCCCACCCCTTCTCCGACGTCCACCCGACGCGCCTCCTCGAGGCCACGCTCTTCCCAGGTCAAGATTACAACAACGCTCGGATCGAGGATTTCCAGACGGGCAACCCGGGATCCAACCAGCAGTCCAATGTCGAGATCGGCCGCATGCCGTGGCACGACGTCCACGCCATCCTCCAGGGCCCTGCCGCCCTCGACGTGGCCCAGAACTTCATCGAGCGCTGGAACTTTGTCAAGGACACGAAATACCGCCACAACAGCCATTACCCTTGGCTCGCCTTCCCGCACGGCGGTGACCCGGCAGAGGAGAGCGACGTTGGCTGGAAGAGCGTGACGCTCCATCCCCACACGGCCAAGTTCCACCGGCTCGGCCAGAGGTTCAAGCATCCCTTCAACCCGGAGAACCGCGAGTGGCGCGTCGAGCGGCCCGACCCGCTCGAGCCGGGCACCTGCGCGGTGCAGCTTCTCCGCTCGGCGGGCGACTGGAGCTCAGGCATCTTGACAGAGGACAGTATACAGAGGGCCTACATCCAGCTCATCCGCGAGGCCAACCACACGATCTACATCGAGAACCAGTTCTTTGTCACCTCGACCGAGACTGGCGGCGCGGTGCTCAACCAGGTCGGGGCGGCGCTCGTAGAGAGGATCGTCGCTGCCCACCAAAGCGGCAAGCGCTTCAAGGTCGTCATCGTCATCCCCACCATCCCGTGCTTTGCCGGCGAGTTTGACAAGACCTCGAGCATCCGCTGCATCATGAACTACCAGTACAAGGGCATTTGCCGCGGGGGCAAGTCGATCTGCGAGCGCCTGCGCGAAGCCGGCGTCAACCCGGACGACTACGTGTCCTGGTACAACTTGCGCGGATACGACAGGATCAACGTCGCGCCCATCAAGCACATGGAGGAGAAGAGCGGCGTGACCTACCACGAGGCGCAGGTGGCACTCGCGAGGATCTTCCTGGGCGACCACGGCTACCAGTCCGGATGGAAGACGGTGGCGATCAAGAAGGCGGCCGTCGTCGAGGACGTCGACGGGCCCAACAAGGGCAAGGCGGCCAAGATTGCCGAGATCGCCATGCCCGAGACCGAGGACGAGGCGCGCGACATCATCCGGCGCTTCCAGGACGCCGCACCCGAAGACTGCCGCCACGTCCGCGACTCGATCGCCACCAACATCCTTCACGGCCACGGCAACACGGCCACCGAGCCCTGGTGGGGCCCCGAGGACGAGCGGGCCTACTACGTCACCGAGGAGACCTACATCCACAGCAAGCTTATGATCGTCGACGATCGCATCGTCCTCATCGGATCGGCCAACCTCAATGACCGCTCCCAGTGCGGCGACCGCGACTCGGAGACGGCCATGGTCATCGAGGACCGCGACATGGTCGAGTCGACAATGGACGGCCAGAGGTACATGGCGTCCAAGTTTGCCCTGACGTTCCGCAAGCGCCTGTGGCGCCAGCACCTCGGCATGATTGACAAGGAAGAGTGCACGCCCGAGGAGAGCCACAACTACCCCACGCCGGCCATGAAGGCCCCGCCCTACTGGGGCCTCGACCCGGCTCGTCGCGCCTACCGCCGCGAGTATGACGACCTGGTCCAAGACCCGCTCGGCGAGGAGGTCGAGCGCATCTGGAAGGAGCAGGCCACGCACAACACCGAGGTCTACGACGAGCTCTTCCACGTCGTCCCGACCGACAAGGTCAGGACGTGGAAGGACTACCACGCACACTTTCCCAAGCCGCCGATCCAGTGAGTCGCCGTGGTCCCTATCCTGCAGGCTCCGAAAGCAGGCGCTGACATCCCCGCCCGTTGCTGTCCCCTCGTCACCCTTATTGCCCCTAGGACCGGACACATCGCCGACCCGTCCATGCCGCTCGAACACATCAAGCAGAGGCTCTCGACGGTCCGCGGCAGCCTCGTCAACTTCCCCATGCACTTCATGGAAGATGAAAAGGTGCGTCCCGCTGCGATGTTCTCTGCGCGAGTCTGCCACCGATGCTGACCTCGTCCCGACTACGCCACCCTTGCCCCCGCAGCTCGACGAGGAGACCATCGAGGTCAATGCCCGAACGCTTCCCATCTACGTCTAACCCCGTCTATCGCTTTTCTCTCGTGTCTAATTGATCTCTGGCGCTAGATCGTCGCAGCAAACAGTCTGTTTCTCAGAACAGTGCGCCGCCAATGCGCCAGTAGGCTGGGACGGCATCGCGGAATCGGAGGGCTGTCTGGGTCGGCCAAGAAAACAGGAACGGCATCGAGCCGGTTTGAGCAAGAGCAGAGAGGTATCGATACATGCGGATCGATGGAAGACGGGAGCGTGTTTGACCGGAGAACGAGAGGAATACGGGGAGGTGAAAGCGAGTGCGTGCGAGATTAGGTATCCAATGAAGAGGGGCAGTAAGAGATGAGGGATCTAGGATGCGAGAGGGGGAGGGGCAGGGGGCGACGCGAGCGACGCCTAGACGGCGTGGACGACGTTCCTCGAGTCGGCGTGGCGGAGGGCAGGCTTGTCGGCGTCGGCCTCGGAGGCGTGGCCGCGCTTGTGGTGCTCGTCGGACGAGTTGCGGTGAACGGCCGAGTGCAGGTTGCCGACGACGGCCGAAAAGAGCGACTTGTCGTGCTCCTTGTTGCCGGAACCGGCGGTGCTGGCGCCGCGTTGGTGATGGTGCTTGCCCTCCTTCTTGCTGTTGCGGTGGAAGAGGGAGCCAAAGTGGTGCTTGCGCGAGTCGGACGAGGATCGCGGCTGGGCCTCGCTGGCGTCGTGCCTCCTGGAGTCGGCCGAGGCACGCGGCGGCGCATCGCCGGCGTCGTTGACTACGGTCGTGTTCTCCGAGTCCGAGTTGGTCTGGCTCAGCTGCTCGCCGGCCTCCTTGGCCAGCGGGTCCTCGGGCAGCTCCTCCTGCGAAGTCACGAAGCGGTCCAGGAGCGAGTCGGTATCGCTGTCGACGCGCGAGCCGCTCTGGTAGGTGACCTGCTTCTCGGGCTTGGGTGTCGGTGTCGAGGGCGAGGCGGGTCCGACGTCCGCCTCGGGTACCGCCGCACCAGCTGCCGCAGCAGCCACCGCAGCCGGCGCCGACGCGGCAGCAGTCTGGGCAGCGATGGCGGCGGCGGTCAATTCCGGCGATTCGGCGTAGGCCGAGTCCTTCTTCAGGGCCGAACGAGGGTCCTGCTCGTCTCCACCGCGGATGACCCACTCCGACGCTCCGATCTCGCCGTTGCAGTCTTCGCGGAAGCGCTTCAGCTGCTCCTCGCGCCTCTGCTGGACGAGCCCCACCAGGTCCGGCCAGTACTTGGCGTGGTCGTACTGGAAGTCGACCTCGCCGCCAAAGTCGGCGGCCAGCTGCGATGCCGGCACCTCCTCCTTGATGGCCTCGTCAAACTTGCACTTGGACTTGGTGACCGGGTCAATGAAGGGGTAGATTGCGTTCCAGAACGCCTTGAAGAGCCACGGCACATTGATGCAGAGCGCGATGCCGAGGCGCTCGACATAGTGGTTCTGCAGGATGTAGAGCATGAGCTTGGCGTTGCTGATGCTGGTCGGGTTGCGGTTCTTGCCGCCAAAGTTGATCAGGAGCGCCAGCTGCTCGACGCCCGGCGGCATCAGGTCGATGGCCGCCTCGAGCATCCACACGGCAAACTGCATCTGCCGCGGCGTCTCCTCCGTCGTGTTGCGACTGGGATGCATGTAATGGAGAGGCCTCGCTCTCTTGTCGTAGCCGAGGATCGTCTCTTTGCCCGTCTCGGCCTCGGGCTCGAGCTGGGCCGGGTCGAGGCTGTCGACGCCATAATCCCTCCGCCAGACTATCGTGTCCGTCAGCCGCTTCTTGGCCGCCGCCACGTCCCACTTGGTCGCCCGCAGGTATCGGAGCATCGACTCGCGCGAGAGCATACGCAGCCGCTCCCAGTCGTCGAGCGGCTTCTTGCCGGCCGACGAGTCCTTGAGGCTGACCGGGTATTCTTCGACGGATCGGAAGTGTTCTAGCATCTGCTGATACTTGCGCTCCTGGTCCTCGGAGAGCTCTTTGGGCCGCGAAAGCTTGACGCTGGCGTCGGGCGCCGGAAAGACGCCCTGAAAGGGGCGGAGACCGCCTCGGGACTGCTGAGGGGTGGCGGTGATGCCCATGTTGGGGTCGAGGGTGGAGGCCTGGGATTCCGATGCGCCCTGGTTGCGACGGTTGCCGGTCATGTAGCTGGACGCCCGGCTCATAAACGACGAGACCGGTCGGGATTGATTGCTGGAGGTCCGGGATGCGCGCGACGACGACTTTGTCAGGCGGTCAAAGGTGGAAGACATGGTGGTCAGAGGAGAGGAGGGAGGGGGAACGAGGCCGGCACCCGTTCGACGATGGCGTGTCTGCGTATATAGCTGAGCGTGTCGCTCTGCTTCGGGCGTCTTGTGCCGGCCGTAGCGATCTGCGGAGCTGTAGGGGCAGGCGGGTGCAGTCGGTCCGCGTCGATGGGTGGATCGTGGGCGCGGTCGTGGATGTGCAGCGAGGGCGAGGGTTGAGGGGGAACGTGAGGAGGGGAGAAGCTGCCAGCGCGAGCGGAAGGTGGTTTCCGTGGGAGCGTCGGTTTTGTTGAGAGGGCCGGGCCGAGCAAGTGGTGGGTGCAGGTGAAGGACCAGCGGGCCACGGCAAAAGAGATACGAGGAGGCCAGGCCAGGCAAAGCAACGTCTCTTCTGACAGCTCTCGACGGGCGAAGAGAAATTCAAAGACGCTCTGTGATCTGCTCGTCTCAGTCCGGGCCAAGACCGGTTGGCCCTCTCGCAGCGGTCATGAGTCCTAAACCTCGCTCGAGGATCAGGCATGGGGGGGAGGCTGAGAGAAGGGGGCGGAAGAGGGCCGAGGGTCGACGAGGACGCGGATGACGACTTTGCGCCTCTCCTCTGCTCGGCGACTCTGTCGCTCCTTGGCCCGATGGAAGCCAAGCCTGCCCACAGGTGTGCGGGCAGCCTGACTGCTGCTGGGCTGGCTCAGGGCAGAGAGCGCAAAAAAGAAAAATTGGGCGCGCCGGGCCGAGAAACGTGTGACAGGCAGGTAGGCGGGCAGGCTTCCGTGAGTGCGGCGGGACGGAGTTTGCAAAAGAGCCAAGCCACGCACATTTGCCTGTGCAGACGTGCTTACCGCCACCCGACCAGCAGAGACTGGGTCGGTCCAGCCGAAGTAGGGGTCGTGGCGCATCGCTCGGCCTCGCTCCGTCCCGTCGTACTGGCCCATTCCTCGGTTTCTGAGTCACGGAGCTAAGGGTTCATGCTCCCCTCGTCGGCCAGCGTCCGACGGGGCTAAGTAGAGTGACGGCTCCGAGGGCGGCCAGGATGGGAGCAAGCGCCCGTCGGGTCGACGACCTTTACGAACAGGGCGACGCCGTACGAACTGGTACTTTTCGCCACCGCATCGTCAGTCAGCCGCCCCTCGAGCGATGGGCAAAATCTCGCCGCGGAGCGAAATGACGCCCGGGAAAGCGGCGCTAAAGGTTCAAGGAATCGAGCTCTTTTCCGGGGCGGCGGGCCGGCGTCATCGCTGGGCGATTGCCCCGGCCCCCTGCAAACCTACAACTGGTCCTCCTTCGGGACCGACCGGCGAGCATCGCCCTTATCCTTGAACCGCTCTCATGCGCAAGCGTCGCCCTGCCATCTACAACAGATCGACTTGCAACAAGTACAGGGCCGGCCTCGCCTTCCATGTCGCTCGGGCCCTTGCGACTCCAATATCATCAAGACGAAGACGAGGGAGCAATGGGCGGCGGTACAAGCCGAAGCCTCCACCTTATTTTTATTTTTGTTTGCGCCGGAAGAGCAATTCCGATGTCAGGCCGCGGTCTTTTCGGGGCTTGCAGCCGAAACTAGAAAGCCTTGGCGCTCGGATCTCGGATGTGTGAGGCGTCCGACGGAGAAGAGACAGCTCGCCCGATGGCATCCATCGGGTCTGCAATCGGAGGTTGGGGGGCAGCTTCGGGCCGATATTGCAGCACGCAGATTTGGACAGGCTGGCCGCCGCGATGCCCCTGGACGGCGGACGCGGCGTTCTGTATCAAGGGATGACGCGTGGGCGTGGATTGGTCTCCCCCCGCTGGCCTTTGTCCGCCCCAGTCAACGAGGTGGGCGGTGTCGCAAGCAGCGACAATCGTCAGGGGCTCATTCGGCGCGGTGGGTGGCGTATCCTGGGGCCCTCCGCCAACAGCCGCCGAGCTCATGAGCTGGCCGCCAGCACATCACCAAGTGGGGTCGCTCTAGGCGGCCTCGCCGCTCTCTTAAAAAAGGCATCGTTGGGGCGACGGGCGATTACCGCCCTCCATCTTCCGTACCTCGCTCTCTCCTCACCTGATCTGTCGACACTCGTTGGAAACCCCTCGCATCGCCACCATGAAGAACCTCTCATTTGTCAGCGCTGTCGCCATCGCGACCACCCTCGGCGGTTCGCTGCTTGTCAAGGCTGACCCCACGATCAACACCCCTCCGAGCCTTGTCGCTTGCGCCAAGAACCAGGTCGGCTTCACCGGAACCACCGGACAGGGTGAGTAGTTCGACACTTGGGGGCACTCATCTCGCTGCGAGCTGACCTGTCATTGTCCGGTCGAGCGGCGTTTTCTTCGTCACGCAGTCCTGGTCCGCGTCGTACCGGGCACCGACGTCTCCACGACGACGCCTCTGGACCAGCTGACCGCCGACAGCTCCCAGGGCTTCGTCACTTACACGCCCAAGGTCGCCGCCGGCACCGTCGTCACCTTTATCATCAACGACGACTCAGGCAAGTCCCAGTTCAGCGGTCAGGTCCCCGTCGTTGCGGGACCAAACAAGTGCTCCGACGACTCCGGCAGTACTGGCGACTCGGCCAGCTCATCGGCTGCCTCTGCCCCTGCTGCCACTGGATCGGGCAGCCCGACCAAGTCCGGCGCTGGCTCGGCCTCGGGCACGGGTTCGGCCGCCCCCGCTGCGGCCACTACCGGTGCGATCAGCTCTGCTCCCTCCCACGGTGGCGCTGCGTCTTCTGCGGCGCCTTCTTCGCCTACAGGGTGAGTTCTCGTGCTTCGCTGGAGCAAAGCCCCTGCACAGGCTCTCCTGACGCTAACATGATGTCTCTCACCTGTCTCGGTCCCTCTTCGCGCAACCACAGTGGCTCGTCCAGCGGTGAGTCGGATCTGAGGGACCCGCACGAAGTCTGTCGGTCGATGCTGACCAGACCGCGTTCCTTCCCTTCGCCTGTGTATCAGGTTCGCCCAGCTCGCCGAAGCCCGCGACCAGCGGAAGCGCCGGGTGAGTTTACTCTGCCGCCTTCTTCATCCGTCGCGACAAAGAAACAGCCCAGCTGACTCCTCACCGACTTTGGTCCTTTTTGCCTTGGCCCAGCTCGAGCGGCGCGACCTCCGGCGGCTCGACTCACAGCGCCGGCACCATCCTGTCGCCGTTCGTCGCTTCTACCACTATGGCCGCCGCCGCCGCTGTCGCTTTCGGCTTCTTTGGCGGCCTCGCCTTGTGGTGAACACCCTGCGTGGCCTTGGACGCAGAACCGCTTTTTTACCAAACCTCTCCGTACCCGATTGGCCCCCGCGAACACTCCGTCCTCTTGTCAGCGGCTTCAGCCGAAGCTGCCCCATTCCCCGTTTCGTCTTAATCGAGTAGACTCCGACTTTATCGCTCAACTTTCAATATCATGATGTTTGTCTCCCCAACGTTGGCTAGACGCTCTGACCAGGATCGTTACGCCGTCCTGGGATCTCGTTCTTCTGCAGCCTTCGGAAGCCAGATCCTTTTGCCGTAGGCTCAGTGAGGTCGAAGCGATTTACGGTCTGGCTCATCAGACGTTGCCAGGCTTTCGCCGCAGAAGCCAAGGAAACGGTGCTGGTGCCGACGATACCGGCGACGCTTTCATAACGGCCAAGAGGTTAGCAGAACGAGGTCAGCTTTCGACTAAGCGCTGGGACACGCAGCGCAACTATCCTCACCTGGCCTCACCAGCCTGGGCCCCGGAAAGCAGGATCGCAAACGCCGTCGGGCTTCTCGCGCCGGCCGAGACCGCTAGCGTGATGTGTCGATCTTGGATGGAGCCCAGCAGCCGCGTTGAGACCCGCCGTCGAAGGTGCCGGAGCGAAGCTTGGCTGCAGCGGCGTGGGCTCGAAGAGCGTCAACCTCCGCTGCTTCTTCGGCCTCTCATCCGCCCCTTTATCGTCGTCGCTGAGTAGGATCGTCTCGGTCGCTCTGATCGTCAGGCTTCCATCGTGATCTCTATCGCTTCGCCACCTCTGACGTGCGCCGCATTCCTCACGCTCCCCCAGTGCTGCTTGCGCAGCCCGTCTTTCTTCGGACGTACTGCCGAGGGGCCGAAAGAGAGGCAGGCGCAGGTGGCGACCCGTGGCCGCGCGACCTTGTGGTTTCGTGGCCGGGATATGCGGCTTCGCAGACAGGCCAGGTAGCTTTTGCAGGCCATAATGACTGCTGTCGTGGTCACGACGAGCATCTCGCTGCGCTCTCGTTGGTCCCCTGCCTATCCGACTTGAGAGCAGCGTCGTCCACTCTGTCTGGGGCTTTGCTTCGGCAGCAAGCGGAGCAAAAGCGACTTTTGGCATGCAGGCGCAACAGGACGACGTGAGGATGTCAGCAAAACCCTGCCACGCTGATCACCGACGGGATGGGTGCGCCACTCACTATTCTCCTTGCCAGCCTTCAGCTTCCGCTCAGAGGATCGCAAAGCTTGCAATGCCGCTGCAGGACACCAGAGAGAGACTCTTCAGTGGAAGGGCAACTTGATTATCCGTCAGCAGCTGTGTATCCACTTACTGTCGGCATAGCGCTTGGCCACCGAGGGCGAGCGATGGGGCGGTCGCATCTGCGAGGCGTCGATAGGATTCGGGGTGCTTCCAAAGTCTCGAATCGCTCGCGATCGCGCCTGCGGGAGACACAGCTCCGAAGATGCAGTGTCCGAGCCTTGGGCGTAGGTGGTCGCCGATGCGGGGAAAGAGGGCGGTCCTTGCACGATCAATGTGCGCGTTGCCGTCGGCGGTCGTTTCTGTGGCTCGAATCGCTGGAATGCCGGCTCGTAGACCCTGTCTCGAGGCGATGGAGTGAAGGGGCGCCGATGGGACCTCGATGCATCTTCTTCGTCGTGCGAAGTAAGAAGGCCTTACTTTCAGGTGTTGTTCCGTCTTGCCAAACCGTAGAGCGACGCCAAACACTTTGCTCACCAAGTATGCCAGAAGACCAGGATGGTGTTTCGAATACCAATCCAGGCTCGCCGGACGCAGCATCGTCGCAAGGATTCCAGGTTGATGAACCCCGACTAACCAAGTTCGTCGACGACCACTCCCCCGTCGCGGCAATGGCTTCGTTGCGGTCGTCGAGCATCTCCATCATGCCGTCCGATAGCTCGGCATCCTTCCTAGGGATTTGCAGTGGTGAGCCATGATCGGACGAAGCGAGAGAGATGACGAGGTCGCTTAGCGGACCGGACCTGGCTTTGCCTTGCTTCGGCGGGCTCAATTCGGGCGGCGAGAAGCGGAAGATGGGGTTCGATGCCGTCCCCTCTGTACTGGAGGAAAGTGTCTCCGAGGGCGGCAAATCGGTGGCAGGGAGAATGGTGCTTGGTACACCTGGCTGGACGAGGTCGTTGCTGGCGAGTTTGAAGCTCGAAGCATCTCTAGTCTTGTCCCGCGATGGAATCGCTCCTGACCACCTCTCGACTTCGGGGTCGTGCACGATCTCTCGTCCGGCTGAGATTTGTGCGAGAGGCTTGCGCGGCCTGCTAGTAGAGGCTCCATGCTTTGACCGTGGTACCGCCGGGGCTGGACCGGTCCTGGCTGTGTCGCTGGACGACTGCGAGACGGTGCTTGGTATCGAGCCTTGCAGCCTTTGTCGCTTGGTGTTGGCTACCCTGGCCGCAATCGTACTGCCAAGATGTCCAAGACGATCAAGAGACTCACGGTCAGGACCTTCTGGTGCCTTCCAAGGCCCCCACGACGGAGACAGGGAACTCACAACGGCGTCTCGGTGAACTTGACGCACGACTCGTCGACGTTCGAGAGATCGAGTGCCTCCTGCCGGATGCGTTGAATGAGGTCGCCAGCCAGGTCAGCATCGAGCACCTCGCCCTGAAAAGCGAGCAGGGATCGAGATCCGCCGGCCTTGGCTCACTCTCTCTTGCAAACGCCTTCTCTCGTCTAGCGCAGCGGTCGAGGAGCATGGAAACGCGTCGCCCAGCTCCGTGTCCGACGAGCCGTAGATGTCGTCGGCGCGATCGGCCAACGAGTGCGACCATTCAGACATGTCGATGATCAGGCTTGAAGCGGCTCGTATGGCGGTGGAGAAGCATGTCGCGAAGATGGGTATGATTGTCAGCCGTGAACAGCGCGCCGGGATCGCTGAGCGCCACCGAGCACATCAAGAGCTGGCTCAGGCAATGACAGCAGCCCTACTCGCGCCATCGCCGGTTGTCATCAACGACCGCGCGATGTGATCTCTGCGAAGAGGGAGAGAAGCGGAGTCGAGAGCCGACTCTGGCGCAGCAAGTGAAGAGCAGGGGAGGGCGATGGTCTGCCCCTGGTGCTCGGATCACCCGAAAAGAACCGGCCCCCGGCCCAAACAGCCGTGGGAGTAGCCGGTGGTGCCCTCGGCTACGCCCGCGACCGTGCAGCTGGCGTCGGGTCGACCCCGGATTCTTCTCCACAGGCTCGGGCAGGGTCCGGCAGCCTTGCTCGCTCCCTTGCTCGCTTTCCTCCCTTGGTCGTCGTCCCGTGCCCTGGTCCTGGTCTCACTCGTCGTCTCGCCCTTGAGCCTCTCTCTCTCCCATCATACCATGGCCATCCGCTTCGCATTCCCCCTATCGAGCCTTAGAAACCGCTACATCTCTCTTCGGTGTCCAGCCTCGAGCACCGCAAGCGCCGGCCTCTTCCGACGACACTTCCTCACCTACGCCACCCCGATCGATCGGACTCGGCCGGCCCTCTCAATCTCCCCGCCATCCTTTCTCTACCAGCACCGAGGCACCTTGGTCATGTCGGCGGCACCTCCGAAGGGCTCTGGCGACGCCAAGCCCGTCCGCGTGCGTGGGCGGCAGCGCCCGACCGACCACAAGACGGGCCCCAAGGGAGAGCCGATGACGCCCATCCCCTCGGCGACGCTGGTGGTCCTCTGCCCTCGTTCGACGAGCGGGCCAGCCGAGGCCGTCTCGTATGACACTCTGATGGTACAGCGCTCTGCCAGAGACGGTTCGAGCTTCCGCTCAGCCGTCGTGTTCCCCGGAGGCGCCCTCGACCTCGCCGATGAGGAGGCCATCGACGTCGCTCTAGCCTCGAGTGCCGAGCGGAGCAGCGGCGGCAAACCGGCTTCGACGACGCCAGAAGGCTTTCTGCTGGCGCTCAAGCTCTGCGCCCTGCGCGAGACGTTTGAAGAGACAGGTCTGCTCCTCGTACCTTCGGCTTCGCCGAGCCAGCCCGGAGGGATCCCGATCAGCCGAGCCATTGGTCACGAGGAGGCGGGCATCCCGAAGGACGAGTGGGACCACATCCGCGACGAGGTCCACAACGACGCTGTCCACTTTGTCCCCTTCCTGCAGCGGGTCACCAAGGCGCTGGCGGGCGAGGGTGCTTCCGCCGCCTCAATCGGAGCGAGCCTGCCCGCGCTGGCCCCCATGGCCCACCACTCGAACTGGATCACGCCCCGCGCCGTTGTCCGTCCGGCCAAGCGATTCGATGCCCACTTTTTCGTCACGGCGCTCGACGCCCCGGACGCTTTCGGCAAGGACAACAAGACGCTCGCCTTGTCTGCCGACGGATCCGAGACGCTCTCGCTGCGCTTGGGCACGCCGCGCGAGATCATCGACCTCGGACTCGCCGACCAGATCAGCCTGTTCCCGCCGCAGTTCTACGTGAGTCCCACGGTCCAGTGCCATGACGACGGCGATCGATCGACGCACGGAGACTGACATCCAGCCCCCCTCTGCGCCCTGTAGATTCTCGCCGACCTGGAAGCTGCCATTGGGCCCCAGACGACGACCGCTTCTCGCCGCTTCCAGCCTCTGATCTTCGCGCCCAGTAGCCCGGCGACGTACACGCCCGCGGCCGAGTACCGCGTCACGCCGATCGAGGAAGAGCAGCGCGGCCTGACTGGCCGGCAGAACTTTTCGTGGGATCGCACCGATCCGCCGGCGTCCGGAAAGGCCTCTGGCGCCTCGTCGGACAAGACGAGCTGGGTCGGCGACACGCAGCCTCCGCTCAACAAGCAGCGCGACCTCGGCCTGCACCCTGACCGCATCGACCCGCGAGTCACGGTCGTCGAGCCAAAGGGACTGCCCAAGCAAGGCGCCATGGTCTCGCTCGGCAGGAAGAAGGGAGAGGCAGCAACGTCGTCGGCAGGCGAAGCGGAGGAAGAGGAGACGCCGTTTGTCTTCCCCCTGGTCCTGCCCGGCGACTGGCAGGCCTCGCCCTCGCAACAGGAGAGGATTAAGACGGCCTTCTCTGTGCCCTCCTCGTCCAGCGGCGCTGCGGCGTCGGGGCAGGCCACGACGGCCGGCGGCCAGCAAACCTCCGAGGCGGCCACCGCGCCCGCACCCGAGTCCAGGCCGCTCAACCGCCTGTACGTCTCGCCACGCCCCGCCGAGCTGGGAGGGGGCATGACGGTGCGAGGCTGCGTGCGGCGCAGCATCGGGACGCTGCAGGATTTCCAGATCGGTATCCAGCTCCAGGACAAGTCGGGCGACGCCGAGCAGGCAACGAGGCGTGCCAAGATCTAGACGGCGCCTCTGCACCGCCTCTGCCTCGCTTGGGTGTGGGAACATGCGAATGACACTCTCTATTGCAAAAGGTTGCGCTGCCTCTCTCAGACGGGATCGTCGTAGTACTTTTCCGCAGTCTCGAGGATGCCGTGCTCGAGCGTGGCCCACCTGGCTTTGAGCTCGTCCTCGACGACCTTGGACTTGGCCGGGTCGATGGCCTTGACCTTGGCCTCAAAAATGGCCGTGACGGGGCGATGGTCGCTGATGGTCGCCTCCCAGCGCCGGTACTCGAGGCAGCGGATGCGGTCCGGATTGTGCGAGCGCCACAAAATGCGGTCGCACCACGCGGGGATGCGCGACTTTTCAGACGTGTCCCACTCGTGCGTGCCCCGGTCGTACTTGTACGTCGGCAGGCTGTCGGTGCAGGGTAGGAGGTGTGGCGAGGTGTCAGCCTCGTCCGGCACAGTCGACGCGGTGGGCTGGATGACTTCGGGGCAACTCACAAGCTGAGCGGCGCCTCGCTGAACGACTTGAGGCGGAAGGTGGGGTTGTTCTTGAGCTCCCGCCGCAGCTGGTCAGCTTCGACCAAGGGGCCGAGCCGGCTCGAGCCAACGGCGCTCAGCACCGTGTCGCGTTTCAAGTCGATTCGGTCTGCGGGTGCGCATTGGCGGGCAAGCGTAGACATCGTTCAGCCAGTCTCCAGATCGGCGGCGGGCAGGGCGTACGAATGCAAGCGGACTCACAGTTCAGATCGCCGCCCCAGAAGCAGAGCTCGTGGTCTAGGATCATGGACCCGTCGCCTCCGCCAACATAGGCTGCGGGGTCTGCATAGTGGTCGTCGAAGACGGTCGGAGACTCGAGGATCTGCATGGGGTCCAGCAAAGCGAACGTGTCAGTCGGGTCACCCGCAAGGCGGTGGAGCAGACGGCGAAGTACTCGACTCACGTCTGCGACGTCCGCATTCCGCTGCTTGATGTGCTTCTGACCCGCTGCGAGGTGGCAATTGGCAAAGCAGAGACTGCGGCCGCGTCGACGTGAAGAGCAAGGAAGAGATTGTCAGCATCAGCCGACGGCCGAAGACGGAGACGATCCGCAAGCGAGCGGCGAGCAACTTGACAAGCGACTCACCTCGTGTGGTCGATGACCATCCTGGCGATGACGGCGCCCTTGTTGCCATACCGCCCTCCCATGCCCGTCTTGACCGTCGAGATGGCCGTCTCTTTGACGTGCTTGAACTCCGCCTGCTTGACAAAGACGCAGGTGAACAGACCCACGAGCGACTCGGACTGTACCAGCAGGTAGCCGCACGTCGGCGGCATGGCGAGCCGCACCAGCGAGGTGAGCTTGTCGTGCCAGGCGCGGTCTGTTGATGGCCCAGGTGAACGCAGTACGGGTCTCAGGGTCAGCAGGCTGGCAGCGGCGAAGGCGAGTAGAAAGGCGCGAGACACTCACACTGCCGCGACACTCGATCGCCAAAGTCGTTGGCCCTCTTCTTGCCGCTACCGAGCAGGAGGCTCTTGGCCGTCAGCTTCTTGCTCTCGAGGTCGATGAGCTCCTGGAACCCAAAGACGATGATATCCGGCGGACGGTCCGGCGTCACGCCGCCCGCCTTGGGATCGCCGCCCACCGCGCAGGCATTGCGCAGCATGTTCGGGAAGAGCTCCATGTTCTCGGCAGACGTCTCGAGGTCGACCGGGTTGGCCGCATCGACGTTGAATGTCGCCTGGAGGATCTTGAGGTTGCGGTAGGTGCAGAACTCGACTTCGCGCTTGCTCTTCTCGAGCTGGATCCAGTCGAAGCTGAGCGTGCCGTCCCATAGGTGGACGGTCGCGTCGAGGCCGGCGGAAGCGACCTGCAGCCGGCCCACCTTGCCGATGCCATGCTCGTCGACCCGAATCGACATGACCGGCTCCTTGTGCGCCGGCCAGATCTTGAGTGCCCGCCAGGGCGTCGCGTCGATGTCGTACACGGCGATGTTGCCACTCCGGTTCGCCGCCCACAGGTACTTGACCACGCCCGCGACCGCAGTGATGCCGGGGCCGAGCTTGTGCACGCTGATGCACTCGAACGTCTGCCTGGACCAGATCGACACGTGGCCCGAGTCGTGGGCCAGGCAAGCGCGATCCGGCTTGGTGGGCACGATAGTGCCGCCCGTCACCGATCCGACGCCGTTGGCCATCTCGGGCGGCATCATAACCGCCTTGGACGTGGCGTTGAACGGCTTGTCGTCGGCAAAGGGGTTGTAGATGCGGATCCGAGGGCCCTTGCTGCCGTTGTAGTCCTTGGCGGAGCGCGGGCTGACGGGCCCCGCAACCCACAGCTGCTGGCCAAGCATGACCGCGAACGAGCCCTTTTCGAGGGCGATGCGCTGCGTAATGGGCTGGTTGGATAGGCGCAGACCCTGCAGCGAGGGGTCCTCGTTGGCCTGCGGCAGCCAGACGGAAATCTTGCCAGACTCGTCCATGCTGATCATCTTGTTGCCGATCCTGCGCAGAAGCTGGATCGGCGCCGAGTGCACATTGACTCTCGAGTGCACCGTGCGGGCCTCGGCCACGTCCAGCTCCCAGAGATGGCCGTCCTTCGTGCCGCACCACAGGTAACGGCCCTCGTCGGCGGTCTCGCCGTGCGAGCGTATCCCCATGGCCGGGACGGGAGGGACACCGTGGTTCGGCGGGCGGAACTCGAGCGCCGTCAGCTTGAGCTCCTTGGAGTTGCCGTGCTCGCCGACCGTGCAGAGCTTCTCGCCCAGTCCCGTGGCGAGCTCGCCGACGCGATAGACCTTGACTTTGTCTCCGCTGCCGGTGACGACCGTGTGCCCGCAAGCCGCAAAACACTGGAAGGCGGCCCTCGCAGCGGTGGTGCAGTCCGGCGAGAACTTGGGAGCTCGGCGGTTCGCCCGCGACGTGTCCGGCAGCTCGGCGGCCGAGGGCATACCGAGCGCGCCTGCCGGTCGTCCTGCGCTGAGCGGGCCTGCCAGGCTCGATGGAGGCAGCAGGTGGGCCGCCATCTCGCCGTACTCGTCCTCGTCGGACGAGTCGCTCCCGTCGTCGCGGGCAGGAGGCCTGGCCGGTGTCGAGGAGTGCGTCGACGAAAAGAAGCGGCTATGCGTGTGGCTTCTTTCGAGCAAGCGTGCGCCGCCCGGAGGCGGGGGAGGTGGCTGGATCGTATAGCCGGTGCCGCTCCTCGCGGGAACATCGGGACCGGATGCCGTCGTCGTCGTGGGGATGGAATATGCACTGGAGACGCTCCGAGACACCGGCGCGGACGTTGCAGCCGCCGCAGTCGCGGTCGGCTGGACGCGCTGCGGCGGAGGCAGCACTGCTGGGGATGGCGCCGCGTTGATCTCTGGCGCAGCGCCCGGGCCGCGGCGGGCTGGAAGGGGAGGGAGTGGAGGTGTACGATCGTCGTCCAGCGGATCGCGCAGTAGCGGCAAGCTGCCGGTGCTCTTCGAGGCCGACAGACTGAACCGACGTCGCCTCACAGAGTCGGCAGCAGACTTGTCAGGCGTCCTCGAGGGCAGCGGCGGGGGCGCGCCGGACGGGCCAGATGATAGCACTGACGAAGTGCCATCGACCTCGGGTGAGTATCCGTCCGCATCGATGGCCAGCGCCGCCATGGTCCCGGGCATGGCAAGCAGGCTATCCGATGAAGGGTCACCCTTGAGCGGCTTGGGCGGGATGGCAGGCCGCGGCGGCGCGTCCTTGTGCGACGGAGCGCGCAGCGTCGTTTCCGCCGGATGGGAGCGCTGCCGTGCATGCTGGCTCGAAAAGGCCTGGTTCATGGCCATCGAGAAACGGTCTGCGCCTTCCTGCGCGCCATGGGTGAACTTGCTGGCGAGCGAGGCGACGCGGGCCTGGGAGCGGAGGTGCTCGAGGTCGGCATCGTCGAGGATCTTGAACTTTTCCGCCGGCTTGGGCGGCCGAGGCGGCGGCACCTTGATGCTCGGTGTCGTCGAGGACGACGCCTTGGTCGTTGTTGTCGGCGCCGAGGCAGGCTGCTGAGGTTGCGGTGGCGTCGCGGCGGCAGTGGCAGCGGCAGCGTTGCGGCCGCCACTGGGATGATGCTGCCCGGCGGTCGCCGGTTTGTTGATGATGAGGGAGGGCGGCGCGGCGCCAAACGCGGTCGGCGCTTGCTTGACCGCCTTTTGATCCGAGGGCTTCTTGGTGTGGGCGGGGCGGGAGTTGGCGTCGGCGGAAGCGGAGCTCGCGGATGATCCGGGAAGAGGCGACACGCTGCGAGACGAAGACGACGTCTGAGGTGGTGGCTGGCGCAGCGATGACGTCCCGGCGCTCGAGGGCGTCGCGGCGACGTCGGCGCTGGCTCCGCCGCTGACCGTCATCGCATGCTGCGAGGGCGGCGGGCGAGCCGATAGGGAGCGTGCGCCAGACGGGCGGGGAAATCCGGCGCTCGACGACGGGCGCGATCCGACGGTGGCCGAGGAAGCGCCCGCGGGCGGCCGCTCCGATTGCGAAAGCTGCTCGAAGCGCGAACGCAGGCTCGAGACGCCCTCGTGCGCCAGAGCGCCAAACTCGTCGGCTTCTTGGTTGTTTTGGGTGTCGGCCATGTCTACGAGCAGTCTATGGCGAAGGTATGCAGCGGAAGCGGGAACGAAGGAGCGGCCATCGACGCGAGCCTCGAGCCGGGCAGGGCCAAGGCGGCTTCTTGGTGGCTCGACCTCGAAGTCGGAGGACGCTGAGGCGGTGCAGGACGAGGAACGGCCCTGGCTGCTGAGCCGTATGGCAGTTCAGACAGCGGGCGACGTGGACTTTGAGCGACAGAATCAAAGCAAGGGAGGGTAGAGGCGAGGAAGGTACTGAAGATGGTGGTGATGGGGTTCGTCGAAGCCAAGCAAAGCAAGGCGGCGAAGCCTCAAATTTGCCCGGCCGCCGGCATCCCGCGCCGGTGGAGGCCTGGGCCAGACCCTGCACGGACCCTCACGGACGGGCCTCAACACCGCCACCGCCGCCCTCGCTACCTACCACCACCAACTGACACCCCTCGCCATGGTCGTCGCCGCCGTCGCACAGCTCAATTCGACGGGCATCATCGCCGATAACCTCGCCGCCGCCGTCGGCATAATAAGGTGAGCCGTGCTCGGTGCATCTCTCGTTTCCTGGCCGCTACTGACGCAGGCATGCTCCACAGGCGTGCAGCAGCGGCTGGAGCCAAGGCCGTCTTCTTGCCCGAAGCCACCGACTTTATTGCCCCGACGACAGCGGTCGCCCAGCTCACGAGATCCCCCGAGAACGCCTCGTTTGTGCAGGGGATCCGCGACGCTGCCAAGGAAGCCTCGGTATATGTCTCAGTCGGCATCCATGAGCCTCCCAGCAAGGAGCAGGACCAAGCCGACGAGCGGGACAACAACGGCAGGCTCCGCTGCTTCAACACGCAGCTCCTCATCGACCAGAAAGGCGACATCCTCGACAAATACCGCAAGGTGAGAAGGCCGTCCACGCAGATGCTTGCGCTGGCTTCCCGCTTGCTGATCGTCACGGCGCCGTCCGGGTCCGCTTCGCGACAGCTCCATCTGTTCGATGTAGATATCAAAGGCGGCCTAAAGATCCTGGAGAGCGACTCAACGATCAAGGGCAGCGAGCTGCTCTCGCCGCGACCCTCGCCCATCGGAAAGATTGGTGTAGGTGCCGGACACGCGCCAAGCCTTTTTCGCTGCCGATGATACCGTATCCTGCCGCGATGGCAGCGCGATCTGACACGGGCCCCACACGCCTCCCCTGCGCTGCTCTGGCAGCTTCTGACATGTTACGACCTCCGCTTCCCCGAGCCGTCGCTCTCCCTTCGCCGCCAGGGCGCACAAGTCTTGACCTACCCATCGGCGTTCACCGTCCGCACGGGAGCGGCCCACTGGGACGTTTTGCTTCGCAGTAGAGCGATCGAGACGCAATCCTATGTCCTCGCGGCTGCCCAGGTTGGAGCGCACGACGGCACGAAAAGAGTATCGTGAGTATCGTTGGCCGTCGGAAGCTTCCACGGCCCTTGCTCGTTCGCTGACGAGCCGACGGTGCCTTCCGACCTTCGCAGATGGGGCCACGCAATGGTCGTCGATCCCTGGGGTTCCGTCGTCGCACAATGCCCGTGAGTATGCAGCCCGAAGCCGAGCGATCTGGCCGGCAATTTGACACACAGCGACCTCTCCCTCCCGCCACCACAGCGACATCCAGCCGTACCAGCCCACCTTTTGCTTGGCCGACATCGACCTCGACGCGCTCGAAAACACACGAAGGGAGATGCCGCTGTGGTCTCAGCGCAGGCTCGACGTTTTCCCAGAGCTTTAGACGATGGCCGAACTGAGGCGGAGTTGTATGATAGAGGTCTTGAAGCTGTGAACGCAGCAAGACTTGGCCGAGTTGTGAGAAGCTGCCGCCGGTGGGTGACCGAAGCATCTGTGGGCGATCAAGTTTGAGCCGGCTGCTGCAGCAACCTGCCAACGAGACGAGAACAAGCTTCTCGCCTCAGGGGACTGTGTCATCAGCTGCATCAGGACGCCTGTGAGCCATCACCTCCTCTCAAAGTTGATGCTGAAGCAGTGGTCCAGCAGCAGGGCTTGCACGTACCACAGTGAGCCTCAACACATGGACATGACCTTGTACTGGCCACATGAGGGCTTGAACAGACTGCTGCTTTTCTTCTTGTTCAACAAGCATGCACGACCATCACCTTTCAACCACGAGGATCATGCACATCTTATTTTTGCAGGCACCAGACCTTCACCTGAAGTGACCTATGACCTTGTACTTGACTCCACTTGCCCTATGCCTTGTTGACAAGAAGGACGCAGATGCCATGGGCCCACAGCTGCCAGCGGAGCCCAATGCTGTGCTGCGGGGGGTGACCCCTTGTGTGCCATGCAGACAAATCCCCAATGCAAAGTGTCAGCTGAGCATCAGGCCCAGTGAAGCAGCGGTGGAGTCCTTTGGCGAGGTCGGCCATCGCACGCTGGGCACGGACATAAAGGCTCAGGCTGAGCTTGCGGTACAGGGGATGACCTGCCAGCGTGGTCATGTTTGCGTAGTGATCCAGCAGGATTGGGTGGACTCCTGCGCGGCTGCGCAAGAAGTGCACAAATTGACCAAGGTCGATGGCTTTCTTGGTTGTGGCCAATATGAGGGCCTTGGCCTCCTGGACGGCCACCGGCTTGAGGTGCTCCTGCAGCTTGCAGTATGCACACAAGCTGGTGGCCTTGTCCCAGGCCATCTGCATGTGTCGGAACACGCAGGGCCTCTCGACCAGGTACGCGATGATGTGGTCGCGGTCGAGCCCGAGGTGCTTGCGCAGAGTTGGGTAGCGCACGGGGATCTTGGCTGTGCTCCCGAGCGCCGGCGGAAGACTGTCGCATCCAAAGCGCAGCATTGCCTTGTACCCAGCCTCCGAGGTGCTGTAGTGGGACCGCTGCCAAATGACATGCCAGAGAAAGGCCTTGATGCAGTCAGGCATCGGACTCCAGCGGCAGCTGATCAATCTGACTTGATAAAGCTGATGCCAGGGCAGATGCAGCTCACTTGTTGTGATAAAGTGGTTGCAGGAACAGTTGAAGCTGTCCAAGCAAACAAGCTTGCTGCTCTGCCACAGCTTATGCCTGCCTCTAGAGCCAGTCTGAAAGGGCTGCAGCAGCACCAACAACAACGGTCAGGGAACGACAGGGGCAGATGCAAGAGCGGGTGCACGATGCAGCCTGACTCTTGCATCAAGCGCTCCGAGCTTGTTCACACACTGAACGAGCCCCCTTCAAGAGCAAGCACAGTCAATGTTGGCAGCCGGATCAAAGCGAGAGAGAGCGTGTGTATGTGACTGTGTACTACAGGCGCGGAAGGGGTAGTATACAGCAGATGTTCTTGCGGCCGATGATGGGCCACACGTCCAGCGTATGGCCCCGATGGCACGGGAACGAAGGGAGAGGCGGGGGCGACGGTACATCTACCCAACAGAAAAACCGGGCCGAGTGTCCATGACGGCGCCTTCTACAATGGGGGGAAAGATGCTGATGCTGCCCAATCTCTAATGCAGGCCAACGTTTTGCCGGAGGAGTTAAGGTAGCAGGGCGTCGCCACATTCCCAGGCCCGAGACTTGTTGCCTGTCTTTGCGACCAAAGCCTTTGCTCGGGCGAGCTCCGAGCTGTGAGGTCGACCGAACGGCTTGAGATATGATGGCGGCGACATCAGACTTGACCACGAGCTTGCGGCGCTCTGAGAGTGCTCCAGATCGAAGGACGGACCAGATGCCTCGACCGTGAGAGAGGTCGCTTTGAAGGTTGCAGTCCAGCGAACGATCAGCGAGGCGGCTCCGCCGTGCCACTCTGCAGGCTGTCCGTCCGGACACGCTCGAGGCGAGAGGTGAGGTCGCTTGGATCCAGCTCGAAGTCGAGGATGGGTGCGGGTGCGAGCTTGAGCTCCCGAGGCGCCTCTTGCTGCTGTTCTGGCATGTCTAGGGTCGTCGAGGGTGCGCGTCGGGATGTGCTCGGCTGCCTGCTGGGACGGCCATCGGCCGAGGGTTTTCCCGTTTGCGGGGCGCCCGCGGCGACGGGGAAGACGGCGAGCGACGACAGCCGCATCGCGACTGCGTACTGGGCCCAGAGGGCGGCGAGGAGCGGCAGCGCAGCCTGAACCACGAAGACGGCGAGGTAGGTCAGCTGGTCCTGAAGCGAGCCGACGTTTGACTGGTGCGGTGTCGTCGCCGGGTCGAACGCGGTCGGAACATAAGGGTTGGGGTCCTCGTCTGCGTCAAAGCGGCTGAAGCGCAGCTTGGTGATCAGCTTGCCGTCGACGGCGAGCGCCGAAGCGGCTGTGAGCGGGGCACGGTGGTGGTAGATGGCGGAAGAGCTGAGGTTGCGCAGCGCAGCCAGCGCGATCAGCACCTGGCAAAGGACGTGAGCCCGCACGAGGCGCGAAGACAGATCCATGAGCCATCGCCTCTGCAGCAGCAAGCCCGCGAGACCGGCGACGGCGAAGACGGGCTGCGCCAGCATGAAGGCCACCAGGGGCAACGAAGCCGCGTCGGGATCTGTAGTCGACGGCGGCGGCGGCGGCAGTGGGCAGGCACAGCGTGCGCACGTCAGCGCCCGTGAGCGAGCTGGGTTCCGGAACCAGACTCGAAAGAATCGGGAGATACTCACGAATGCTGACCTCGAGCGAACAGAGGGCGACAATGGCAATGGCGATGGCCGCAAGGCCCACGGCGGTGATGGCAGGGCTCGAGAGTGAGTCGCTGAGTCCTGCTTTCGGTCTGCTAGTACCATCGATCTTGCGTGGGCTCCTGCTCTCGTTGGCCTGCCGTGGCGGCAGTGCCAAGGCCGGAGCGAGTGTGCGGCCCTTGTCGTGCTCGGTCGAGCCGCGGCTCTCTTCGGCATCGGGAGCGACCGCCTCCGCGCCGGACCCGGTACGACTGGCCCTTGCACCGTTCGCGTGGCGGTGCGCCGAGCTCGCTGGCCTGGCGACGGTAGGTTGCCGGGAGAGGCTGCGAGAGGAATGCTCCGACATGTCCTGAGGCGAGTCAAAGGCGTCGTCGAGATCCAGCCGTCGGGGGAACTGAAATGTGCCGGGGCGAAAGGCTCGCAATGGGGCGTGTCCGCGTGCCGAGCCCTCGTCGGCGGAGCTGTCGTCGTCGTCGTTGGCCACCGAGCACTCTTCCAGGTCGCCTGCGCTGATGCGATACTGGTCGCGGGACTCGCCGCCCAGGCCGATGGTGTCGACGTCAAAGATGGACCTGAGCTCGTCGAGGCCGGCCTTGAGGTAGGGCGAGGTGGTGGACGAGATGGTCTCGTTGATGGCCGAGATGCTCATCCTCCTCGACATCGACGACGACCACCGCCGGGCCCTCGCCGACCAGTCACGATGATCGCGCGGAGGGGTCGCAGTCGCGGCGGAGAGGGGCAGCTCTTCGGAGGAGCCGATGGTCCGGTGGCGGCTGTGCCGGGATCCGTACTGGTATCGGTCGGCTCGGTCCGACCGCAGCGACGTCGAGCGCGAGAGGAGGTTCGACGAGCTGGCAATGGCGCTAGCGGATGCGTGCCGCTGGTGGTGCGACCTGTCGGGCGTCGTCGGCGTGCGGCCGAGCTCTGCAAACAGGCCGCTCGAGCTGACAGGCAGGATCGAGTCGCTATTGAGACGAGCGCTCGGCCTTGTCGCGGGGCTCGAGCGGGGCTGCTCGTCGTCCTCGTGCAGCGCCAGGATGCGCGAGAGGCCGGACCTAGACCCGATTGGCGATATCGGCGGAGAGGCCAGCCTCTGAGCAATCTTGTGGCTGGGCGAGCGGGGCGGTTGCGAAGAGGAGCTGGCCGTAGGGAAGCCCGGACGCTGAGCTCGAGACCTGACCCTGGATCGCTGCGGGCTTTGACCGCTGGTGTGGTCGATGATGCTGGAGCTGTCGAGTACAGAGGTCGGCGACAGCGGTGAGAGGAGCAGACGAGGACTGCTGTCGGTCGTCTCGATGTCAGTGGTGGCAGGCATCTGAGTCGGCGGCAGCGTGAGGTCGAGGTGGTCGATGGTGCGCCTGCGACGGTGGCCGGTGTGCGGCCGTTCCGAAACGTCTTGACTCATCTTGACACGTTTGGGTCACCCACACCGGAAGGCTTCCGGCGTGCGTTCCCTTTGTCGGCCTGATCAGGGATGGTACGGTCCTGCACTGCCACGCCGAGCGGCTCGTCGGCGCCCGTTCCCGAGTTCGGTCAGCGGGTGTCCCCTTTGAACGGCAATCGTGACAGATGGTTGCGACGCAGCGCAGCGAGGATGATGATGAGGATGTGCCGGAGCCGTGGGTCAGCGGCGTGGAGCGATGAACGAGGGTGCGGCCGATGCCCGTTCGGCGACAGCGAGGTGGGGTTCGTGACACGACTCGTTGACGGACAAAGGGCCCGGAGGTGGGTCACAATGCTTATCGATGAGGGCAGGCCGCCGGTATCGACTTCGGGTGCGTGGGTGAGAGGAGATCGTGGTGGCGACGAAGGCCAGCGTCGGGCGACGGCGGTGGTGGCTTGGGATGCTGGGCTGGCGATGAGGGGTAGGCCGGTCGACCAGACTCTCTTTGTATGGCACGAGGGGTTCGTCCACCCAGCACGATCCTAGGCGAGGCGGAACGCAGAGCGAGCCAGGCGGTGACAGGCTAGGCAGGCTGAGCTCGGTGTTGGTCTGGACCCCCTCCCCCGCTTCGGGTTGCCGCCTCTCTGCCCGCCTGCCTGTTGCGCTCGAGTCCCTTGCTCGCTCGCTTCGCAGAAGTCTGAGAAGCGTCATGCAAAAGCGCCGGGCCGAAAGCGGGCTCTTCGCTCGCCTTGATGGTCTTGAGTGCGGGCCGCCGCGGCAGCTGGTACGGCATCCCCCGCCAAGCCTTGCCTGACTCCGGGCGTGTCTCTTAGCTAAAGAACAACCCCGCGTACAGTAGAAGCTCTCTTTGCTCTGCGGCTTGGCAGTACGTCCGCTCGTCCATCAGGCAGGCTAGGCCGATCCACGACGCTCAGAGGGCCAAGCACCGCCCAAGAGCAAGAACCGGCCCCATGGGGCGCGTTTCCCCTGAAACACGCGGGGAATGGCAGGATGGCCGAGCCGTCTTGGGAAGGCGGCGCGCGGCAAAGGCCAGGTCACCCTCTGACCTCGTGGAACGGTAGCGACGAGATTCCGCATGGCCCCCAATCAAGGAACGTATCAGATCCGACGTCGATGGGCCATGCATATGCCTGACGGTCAATCGGCACACCATCTACGTCAGCGGCCGCGGTCCCCCCAAACCGACCAGGCTTGGCGGGCGATCCCTCGCGTCCAAGGCAGAGGACGTAGTACTAGGATGTAGGCGCAGCGTGACCGCCCGGATGGCAGACGGGTCACGGGTCGCGGACCCCTAACGACTTCCATCTGGTGTTCCCGAGGCCATCCCGAACGTCACCTAAGCTGATCCTCGGTACTACTTCGCCCCTGTTAGGTATGGACAACTCTGTCCGACCCGACAGCGTTACCGGGACGCTCATACGCATTGCTGCCTTGCCGGAGTCCCCGATTGGGTCAAGACTCGGCGCGCGAAAGCCATCAACGCGCGATGACCGCTTCAGGTGGATCGTACTACTGTTTGTGCCTTTGATTCGATGGATTGTTCTTCGGCCGCCAGCATGAACGACCACGTACGAGCGGTCCGGCCATCCACCGTCCGTCGCCGCCTGCCAGGTCGTCGCTTGAAGGTCTGCGAAGTGAGCAATATGGGTTGCGACCTCGATCGCGATCGCCAATCTTAACGCCAGCATGCTGCCAGGCCGTGCCGTGAGGGCCTGAACCTGTTCGCTGCCCTAGCCAACCTCGGGCACAGAAGCATTTCTCGTGCGAGAAAGAGGCCGTGGCGCTACCCCGCAGCCGGCCCACCAGAGACGGCGGCGTTGGACCTTGTCACCTGCATCGCACCTGCGACCATCCGACCTCTTCGCACCCTACCCACCGTCGCCCAAGATGCCGCCCAAAGCAGCCGTCGAAGACTTTGACGATGATACCGATGTGAGCACGCCGGTGAATCACGGGCAGCCCTGGACATACCGCACAAGCTGACCTCTGGCGGTGCGCACCCCGGTCTGCCCATCGGTTCCCCACAGTTCGACCTCCCGACCATCGGCGCTGCCGCTCCTTCTCAGCAGCAACCTCAGGCATCGCAACAGGACCAGATGGCCGCATTCCAGAAGATGATGGAGCAGATGCAGATGGGTCAGGGCCAGGCGCCCGCGGGCCTCGGCGACTTTGGCTCCTCGCGACCCCCGGCCGCCGCTTCCAGGTCTGCTGCGGCAGCCAAGGATGCAGGCTCCGACGAGCACAAGAAGTGGATCAGCGTCTACCCGATCTACTTTGACGCCAAGCGCCACTATGGCAAGGGGTGCAGGAGGGTCGCCTACGACAAGGCCAGCCCGTTCCCGACCGGCCTGTGGATCGCCAAGGCCGTCGGGAGGCTGAACCTGCTCTACATTCAGGAGGTGCGTCCCGTCCGTTCCGCTAGCGATGCCTTCGCCGCCATTGCACCTTTCTTCAAGCTGACATCGCTTTTTCGGGCTCGTTCCCGCGTGCTCTGGCCGCCGACAGCCGTACAAGACCCACCCGCAGGACTGGGAGAACCCTGGCAGGGTCAAGGTCAAGCTCTTCGATGAGGATGGCAAGCCGCTGCATGCCAAGTTCAGCAACAGTGAGTGTGCTACGATCGCCCGACCGTGGTCCCCAAAAGATCTTTCCGACGTTGAAGCTCATTCTTACTCGACCTGCTGCGTCTCAACCCCGACAGAGAAGCAACTGTTCGACGCCATCGCCGAGATCCTTCAGCCCAACTGCGGTGGCAAGCCGCCCGCCCTGGAGCCTAGGACGAAGCGCGTCAAGCCTGCCGCCTTCAAGGCCACCGCACTGGCCGAGAACGCCAAGGCCCGCGCCGAGGGTGCTGCTCCTGCGGCAAAGAAGGGTCGCAAACCCGCCTCGTCCTCGTCCTCGGCCTCCAACCCGTCCAAGCCGTCGCTGACGAGGAAGCAGAGGCAGGAGCTCGCCCGGATGCGCCGGGATCCCAACCCCAACCCGATCCGTCAGAGGCTGGCGGCGATCAAGTTCCCCCCGCGCCTCGAAGACCGCCTTCCGGAGCACTCGCCCGCCCTCGAGGGCGGCGTGCTCAACATGAACCTGGCCGAGGCGATGGGGGGCATGCCGCCCGGCATCGGCGGGCCCGGTGGAGCGGGAGGCATGATGGAGCAGCTCGGACCGCTGGGCGGCATGCTCGGCGGCATGGGCCTCGGTGGCGGAGACGATGACGATGACGAAGACGACGAGGCCGAGGCCGAGGCGCTCAAGAAAAAGGGGCAGGACAAGCAGATGCCCAACCTCAGCCGGCGGCAGAAGAAGAAGGTGGTGCGAATCGGCCGCTGAGCCCGCCGTTGGTACCGACTCGGTCCGCACTCCTGTATCAGCATGGACCCAAAGGAGGTTGTTCGTCGCTCCACGCTGCGTCCCCGACTTACTGTGTGTGGCAGGCATTGTGGTCGGTCGAGTCCAGGCCTGATTCCATCGCCTTGCGAGCGAGCATCCTTTTCGTGCGGGTTTTACGCTGGTGATTTTGGCGAGGCAGGAGGGGGTGCTTGTGGAGGGCTCGAGGACGTGTGACTTTTGAGAAGAAAGAGGCGGCCTCTCTTCCGGTCGAGCCACGTCCTGAGCCCCAACCACCACAACATCACCATCATCACCGCCACCACCAACAACGCCCGCCACGTCACACCACCGCTGCGCACTACCATGGCCTCGATCTGATCGCGCATGTCAGCCCTGCTATCCCGCCTCGCCGCATCAAGGTCTTTGGTACGGCTTGCTTGCAACTCATCTCGATTCGAGCCCGCGAGACACTCTGCCCATCGAGCGCCTTGTCCCTCGCCGCCCCGCTTCAGCACCGCGGCGATCCTGCTGCAGGCACGCAAGATGCCCCGCATCCAGCTGACGCAGCACGAGGACGCCCTCTGCCAGCTCCTCGACCAGACCTGCCGCTACATCCACGATGTCAAGCCAGATATCCCCGGCGTCGACAGCACGCAGCAGAGCCCCGACGCCTCCCAGCGATGCGAGGCAAGGATAGCAGGAGGCTGGGTCAGGGACAAGGTGAGACGCCCCGCGCTCCATGGAGTCCGCGAGCGGTAGATGAGCTGTCGAGGCTGATACCCCGCCCGGATTGCTCCTCGCCCGCCCACCCGCACAGCTTCTATCCAAGGACTCCGATGACCTCGACATCTCCGTCTCGACCCTCACCGGCAACGCCTTTGCGCTCTACCTGCAGCACTACCTGTCGTCCGAGGAGTTCGCCTCTTCGTCGCTCGCCGCCTCGCCCATCTTTGCCAGCCAAAAGACCGGCATCACAAAGATTGGCAAGATCGAGGCCAACCCAGAGCAGAGCAAGAACCTCGAGACGGCCACCGCCGTCGTCCTCGGGCTCAGCATGGATTTTGTCAACCTCCGCAAGGAATCGTACGACGCCGGCAGCAGGATCCCGACAATGACCTTTGGCACGCCCCAGGAGGATGCCGAGCGGCGCGACATTACCATCAACTCGATGCTCTACAATGTCCACACGCGCTCGCTCGAGGACCACACCGGTCTCGGACTCAAGGACCTGGCGGCGGGCCTGATCCGGACACCGCTGCCGCCGCTCACGACTTTCCTCGATGACCCGCTGCGAGTCCTCCGCTGCGTCCGGTTTGCCAGCCGGTTCGCCTACGAGCTGCACCCGACCATCGTCCGCTGCCTCACTGGGCGTGTCATTGAGGGCACGGGCGCCGCTGTCGACGATGTCGCGCTCAGTGATCTCGCCGCCAGGGACGACCCGCGAGTTGCAGCGGGGAGCAAGGGCCTGGAAGCTGGCCGGGACGAGATCCGCAACGCGCTGCTGACCAAGGTCAGCCGCGAGCGGTTCGGCATCGAGGTCGACAAGATGATCAAGGGACCCAACCCGCTGCTTGCCCTCTTCCTCATCCACCGTCTCGAGCTGTTCCCGCTCATCTTCCACCCGCCGCCGACAGCAGGGCAGATCTTTGCGGGATCGCCTGCGGGGCCCGATTCGCCGACGGGAGAGCCCGCACCGGATGCCGTCGCCCTCAATGCGGCCCGGCTGCTCGACGCCGTGCTGAAGCGCCAGACGCTCGAGCAGTTCGCGGCGCAGCAGCACGTTAGCATCGATGGCCTGCGCCTGTCTTCGGCCGATGCCGACGTCGAAGTCGCGCAGACCGAATCCGAGGCGGCCAAGTCGGCGACGAGGGCCTTTTCCGCGCTGCCCACTTCGCCCATCCCGCAGACGGTGTTCGATGCGCTGCCCCAGGACCTGCTCCAGAGCTGGGACGCGAGCGCGCTGAGCAGCGAGGAGAAGAGGCGGTTGTGGATATCGGTGAGCCTGCTGCCGCTCCGCGGCCTGCAGTACGAGGAGCGCAAGAACAAGTACGCGTGGGCCGGCGAGAGCGTCATCGCCAACGGCCTCAAGCTGGGCACAAAGTCGCTCAAGGAGCCCGTGGCGCACCTCGATCGGGCGACCTACATCCTGCGCTCCCCGGCTCGGCTGCTGCAGGAGACGCAGGAAGGGCAGGCGGCGGCGCAGGAGTTTGTCGCCATCCCGGCGGGCGTCAATGTCAAGGCGCGACTCGGTGAGCACTTGGCGCGAGCAGCGGGCAGCAGGAGTGCGCCATGTAAGCCGGCAGAGCTGACCGTACCCCCTTTCTTCTGATTCCCCCCTGCACGCCGACAGGTCTCGTGCTTCGCAGCAACAGCATCATTCACAGCCCTCTGCAGCTACGCCTTCCGCCGGCGCTGCTGCTTTCCTTTATCACTGAGCTCGTTGGGCTGTGGTCAGGGTCGCCGCGAGGCTTCGACCCGGATACCAGCTCGCTCGCCGCCGTCGAGGCAGAAGCCGTGGCGCTGGCGCGAGACTACGCCTCGTTCTGGGCCACGGTCAGGCAGTGGAAGCTCGACGAGAGGGCCGAGGAAAAGCCCCTGCTGGATGTGAGTCTACCTCGCCGCCTCACCGGGCTTTCGTGCACGACCACGGAATGAAACGCCAATCTGACCTAGCCCTCGATTCTTTGCCCGCATCGCACCGCAACGACCTTTCCGACAGGGCAACGCCATCACCGCGACGCTGCAGTGCTATCCCCGCCTGATTTCGCGGGTGCAGACGGCGGTGCTGGCGTATCAATTCGAGCACCTCTCCGAGCTTCCATCCGCGACGGACCGGCCCGCAGCGGCGGAAGAGGAGGTGGCCAAATGCGCCGCATGGCTGAGGGCGGAGTGGGAGGCCGGCCGCATCGTCCCCTTCGACGAGCGTCCCCCGCCCCTCCCAGCGGCCTCGGGTAGCGGCAAGGCCAAGAAGGCCAAGAAGCCGCAAGAGGCTCCGGACCGGAGAAAGAGGCAGAAGAGCGAGTGAACGCATGGCTACCACGCCGAGACTGGAGCAGAGGAACAAGAGGGGAAGAGGGGAGGCATGTATGAAGGTGCAAATTGAGAAGCAAGCAAGCGTCCGCTGCGGTGTTCCTTCCTGGGACCCCGCGTCTACATGCCTCGCCACCCGCCGGATCCGCCGGGCGTCTGGTCTTCTTCTTCTTCGTCGAACGGGGTATCTTGGGACGCGAGGACTGCTTGCGAAGGGGGCAGGAAGGCCGAGGTGGGCACCGATCGTGCGAGTACGGCCCTGACGGTGCGTTGCGCACAAGATGCAGAGGTCCACGGCGGCTTCAGGAACAGATATCCTCCTGCATCGCAACCTGCGGCGCCGTCGATGTCGCGGCACGCGCTCGGGCACTCACCAGCGGGGCAGCCACCTCCGATCCGCGTCCTTCCAGACGCAGCGTTCGCGGAAGAGCTCGATAAACTCCTGGTCCATGCTGCGGGACTTGGGCCAGCTGAAGCGGCGGTACTCGTCAAAGATGGTCGTCAGGCTCCACTGCTGCAGCTTGCGCAGGCACCCGATCAGGCAGCCCGTGCGGTGCTTGCCCTTGTTGCAGTGGATCAGCATCGGGTGGTTCCGCCGGTCGAGGATCGTCACCAGCGCAGCTGTGATCTTGTCCTCGGGAACTGCCGTGGTCCGGCCGCACAGAGGCATTCGCGATGCAGGGTGAGAGTCAGCCGTCTCTTCGTAACGGTGCGACAGCCGGGCGGTGCGCAGGCTTACTCTGCACGAATGGCTCCTTGTTGCCCGGGATGCCGAATTGGAAAAAGGTGATGCCCTCCTGATCGAGGAACTTGGTGTTCTGCTCCGGGTACTCTTCCAGGATCAAGGTGCTGCGGCCGGGGCACGACGGTAGAGGATCAGCGGTGCGCTCGAAGCAGCCTGTTCATCATCCTCATCAGGCCGTCGGGACTCACAGCACGCTCCGTAACCCGAGCGTCTTGAGAAAGGGAAAGTGCTTCTTCTTGGGGAAGCTGCTGCGATAGACCCAGGTGTTGACCATGGCAAAGTTGTCTGGCGGCACCAGCTCCTCGTCAAACACCTCGGGCCCAGGGGCGGGGTTCGGCGGCACGCCGAAGCGCGGCTCGGGCCGGACGATGCTGCCGTTCGAGGCCGAGGGATGCAGGAGCGGGCCGACGCCGCTGCCGCTGCCAGGAGCTGCGGGCAGCGTCGAGGTCGACGTCGCTGTCGGCCCGTTTCCAGCCAACGTGCCGGTCGACGGCGTGGTGGGCGTGGCCTGTATCGAGCTGGGGAGGGAGACGCTCTCCGACATTGATGCTGCTTCCAATCTTGGCGGTATCGCGACCGAGGTCGCGCTGCCCCCCGGAAAGGCAGAGGCTGCCGACGAGGACGACGAAGGCCGTGAGCCAAGGCTGCTTGTGGCAAAGGGATTGAGGCCGGACCTCGTCTTGGCCTTGGCCGTCGCGCTGTTGGTCGGCAGCAGCGGGATGCCGGCCGACCGTAGCTGCGGAAAGGCGGCCAGCTGGGAGAACCAAGGAGCCTCCTCCTCGTCCGGCTCTCCTTGCTTGTTCGAAGGGCTGTTGGGTAGCGACACTGCGGCGCCACTGCCGGATATCGATGCCTTGCTCGAAGCTCTAACGGGGGTATCCGGCGCCTGGGCGATCCCCGGTCGCGTGGGCGAGTCGGCGACGCTGCTCGCCTGGTCGACCAGGGCCGAGGTCTGCAAGGGTGCCTGCTGTACGGTCTCGGCGAGCGTCTCGCTCCCTTGCTTGACGTCGAGGCCGGCCTGGGCCGCCACTACGGCGCCGGTGCCGACGGTGAGGGTGGCATCGCCTCCGTTGACGCCGAAGCTGGTGGTGGTGGTGTTGGCCGTCAGCGGCTCTGCGCCCAGGTAGCCATTGCGAGCCTGGTGCTCGTAGATGATGCGTTCGAGAAAGGCCAGGGGTTTTGGCTGCGGCACCGAGGGTGCGGTCGGCATGCGGCGGCAGTAGAAGTTGGCGGGCGCCTCGTGAGCTGCCAGGTCGGCCTGCGCGTCCTTCTTCTTGCCCATCCTGTCGAGGGTGGTGCGAGAGAACTAGAGGCGTGGATACTAGGACTGGCGGGTGAGTGTCGTGGCGATGAGCATCGTAGCTGAGTGCGGGCAGGGATGGTGGTGATGGTCTGTGGAGCGAGCAAGGCCCCATGGGTGACTGGCAGCCTTCGTCTGGCATGCCTCTGGCCTGGGCCACATTGTGGAGTCGACCCTGAGGCTGGTCTTCGCAGCCCGAGTCCCGAAACGCTGCGCGAAATTTCAACGAGCCACTCGACCGACCCTTTGACAGCCTCGCCACCGCTGCCTTGCTCCTCGGTTTGGCTTTCCCTCTCCACCACTCGCTCCCGCACAGACCGAAGACGCCCGCCCCCCCAACGCATCGAACCCCGTGTGAACAAACACCGAGGAACAAAGCGACAATGGCGCAAGGATTCAAGCCGTCGAAGCCCGCGGCGACCGCACTCGCCTCCAAGAACAAGGCAAAGAGCAAGGTCACAAAGACCGGACCCAAGCGTGGTCGTGAGTGTCGACTCGACTGCATCCGTCGACGGACGCTGTCCCGTGCAAAAGTGGCCAGCGAGCCGCTCGAGATGATGGCCGAGCACCGATCTCTGGAGACACACCTCGAGCTGACCTGTCCGTTGTGCCCTGCACTCCGCCTTCTGCCCCGTCTCTCGCTCGCCGGTAGCCCGAGTCATCGCTCCAAAGAAGTCGGCCGCCGTCAGCATCGCCAACCTGAAAAAGGTACGCTCGCTGCTCTGACCATGTTCTCTTCTTCGTCGAGGAGAATACACGGCTGACCCGTCTTGCACCCCGTCTGCCTTGCCCGCGACCCGACCGCAGCAACAAACCGCTTCGCTGACGTCCAAGATTGAGCAGGAGATGGCGGGGAGAGCGGCCAGCGGTGGCCCACTCACCATCATGAAAAAGGCTGCCGATGGCGCACTCGAGGCGCAGAAGGGGGGCAAGAAGAAGAAGGCGGCGTGACGGGAGCCCTAGCGGCGCCATCCCCCGTACCCACGATCAGCCATCTTCCTACCGCCTCCAGTCGCCTCAAGTCCCGTCGCCCTCTCGCTGCTCCTCGGCACCGTCGCGCATCGTCCAGCTGTACTTTTATCAGATCTTCCTTCCCCCAACCTGCACTCATTCTAAGACTCTCATCGACAGGGGTCCATCGTGACTCGTGGCTCGTGGCTCGTAGCTCGTAGCTCGTGGCTTCGTGGCCCTTGAGCGAAGTGCGGGGAGGCGGCCAGACGGCTCAGTGCTTTCTCGCACGGGAAGCGGCCCTGGATCCACGTGATGCCTCGCGCCGTTACTTTCCATTTTTCGTTTTCGACTTTCGGCAGGCTGGGCGCGCGGGGCAACCTGGGAGCCCGCGCCGGTTTGAACAGACGGCAGGCCTGCCAGGAAGGCCTGGCCAGGCTGGTTCGGGCTGAGTGGTGGGTCTGGTCTGGTCTGGCCTGGCCTGGCAGCCTGGTTGCTTCGATGGGGCAGGCCCTGAGGCTGTTGGGTGTTGGATGGGCCCTGGTGCTGCCTGCCTGCTTCCTCCACCCAAGCAGCCAGGCGGCGCATCCCGACAAACACGCTGCGCCCGAACGACGCATTCTCCGCCACCATCACCCAACATCTCTCATCCTCCTCGCTGTCGATACCCCATCCTCCCCTCGACGACGCCGACTCGACACTGCTGGGCGAACCGAGGCTTGATTCTTCATCCACCACTCACCCCTGTCATCTGACGCGACTCTCGTTCACGACGCGACATCCCACCAGACCGACGCGTACACACCCACAGAGGCCTTCACGCACGCAAGCGCCGGCCCATCGTTGTGCGCTCGCGGCCAAGGTCCACACTGCCAACCTGACGACGACAAAGCCCACCCGCTCAGCGCCGTCACCCACGCGCGACCATGTCGACCGCGGCTCGTCGAGCACCCTTGACCGAGTCCAAGGCTGCCAACACGTCTAGCAACCGATCCATCTCGTCCAGCTTCCGCGGGTCCAAAGCGTCCCTCGTCCAGGCCACATCCGACACCATGAAGTCAAAGCCATCGTCTCGGACTTCCAGCGGGCCGGCAGCTCGGTCAGCATCCGGCCGACACCCGTCTCGCGGTCGACCAAAACGTGTCGCCGAAGACAGCGAGGAAGACGACGACAGCGATGGTGAGGTCGACACGGAGCAGAGTGACCAAGACTTTGACGACTCGCGCGACATGCGCTCGGCCAAGCAGAGAGCGGCGGCGGCCACAGCCGCCAAAGCCAGACAGCCTGGCAAGAAGCAGGCACCTTCCCACCAAACAAACGCCGCCCCAGCACCGCCGCCGGCCGCAAGGTCCGCCCAGGTAGCGCATCGAGTCGCCGCGCTGGCCAGGTCTCACGCCGTCGCAAACGCGGCCGACGGCTCCCTCATCATGGCGTCACGGAGCGCCAGGGTTGGAGGGGCAGCTGGCGTGGATGCTCCCGCAGCCATCAGCGTCGACACCACCAGCTTCGAAGAGTGGATGAAGATGGCCACGGACAACGTGAGTACGCCGGCGTGGCGCGAGCTAAACACGTCGCAGTGGGCGTTTGACTGATCTGTTGTGACCGATCTGTGTCCCTGCCTGGCCGACAGAAAATAAACTCGACAAACACGTGGTCCTTTGCGCTGATCGACTACTTTCACGATATGTCGCTGCTGCGAAACGAGAGCGGCGACGGCTCCATCAATTTCCAGAAGGCCTCGTGCACCCTCGATGGCTGCGTCAAGGTGTGGACCAGCCGAGTCGACTCCGTCGTCGTCGAGACCGGAAAGCTCCTCAGCGGCCTCCAGGACGAGATCAACGGCGAAAATGCCAAGGAGAAGCGCGGACGTGGAGGCGAGGACGGCGCCGACCTCGACGACGACGAGGAAGACTTTGACGAGGACGGCGAGGCCGGAGGCGCGACCAGAGGCCGGAAGCGGACGCGCAACAAGGAGGCCACACTGGCCAAGAACTTCAGCCAGATCCAGGCCAAGAAGTTCGACCTCGAGTTCACCGTCGACCCGCTCTTCAAGAAGACGAGCGCCGACTTTGACGAGGGCGGAGCGGGCGGCCTGTTGATGAACCATCTCGGCGTCGATTCCAACGGCCGGGTCGTCTTCGACGCCTCTGACGTCGCCGGGGTCGGCGACGAGGGCGATGCCGACGACGATCCCACGGCGGCAGCCGAGACCAATGTCAAGGCCGCCGACGACGAGGTCGACCTGATGGACCTCAGCAAGCTCCGCGCTAAGCTCTTCGAGGGCGAGGCCGCGTACGGCTCCGACGGTACCATCGCCTCCCTGATCGGCGGCCGCGTCATCTGCCCCTCGCTGTGCAACTTCAGCTTCTCCGAGAGCGACAACACGCCGTTTGGGGTCGGGCTCGACGACGTCGAGGATCCGGGTGTCGGTCTTGCGATGCAGACGGACGATGCCGGCATGGCACAGACCATGACGCCCTTCGACGACTTCCAGGACGACAACAACGTCATGCTGCACGGCGACGGTGACGGAGCCGACTTCTTCTCTGGGGCGGGTCGGAGTACCGGTCCTTCGATGGGTGTCGAGGACGACGATGGCCTGCTCGGGGCCGGGGACGACGACGACGACGGCGGCATCGACTTTTTCGACGCGCCGGAGGCCGACGAGGGCATGGCGGCCGCCGTCGACGATGCCGTCGGCCAAGGCGCCGGCTACGGGCCCTTTGACCATGCCGCCGGACCGAGCCAGGGAGACCTGGTCATGGCGATGGCCTTCAACGGCGGCGAGGGGAGGGACAACGACGACGAGGCCGGCGCCGACGCTGGCCTCTTTGACTACTTCGACCGGCGGCTGATGCGCAACTGGGCCGGTCCGGAGCACTGGAAGATGTCGCGCGTGGGCGCAGGTCCCCTCGGCCTGGGCGGCATCAACGGCAAGAAGGGTGAGTAGCCGGCCGGGCGGAAGGCACCGCTAGTGAGCATATGCTGATTTGCGCGACAATGCTCTAACCTCGCTTCTTCATCGCTCTGCAGGCGACGAAGGCGGAGGAAAGGCCGCGTCGGGTGCCACGACGACGCGCAAGTCCAAGGAGCCGTTCGTGATCGATTTCCTGTCCGACGAGGGCGCCGTGGACGCCAAGGAGATCTTCGAGCCGGCCAAGCAGCCGGGCAGCATCCAGCTCCCTGCGACGACCCGGTCCAAGGTCTCGCTGAGCAACTCGAACAGCGATGCTTACCTCCTGCCCGAGGACCGGCACTTCAACTCCCGGCAGCTCCTCAAGCTCTTCCTCAAGCCCAGGGTCGCCATCAACATGCGGCGGAGGGGCGGCTCGTCGAGGCTCAACACGGGCGGCATCGACGAGCAGTTTTGGGCTCAGGCCGCTGCCGCCCACGGCGGCGATGTTCTCGGCGGCGACGACGACGACAGCGGCGCGGCGATGCCGTTCGACACGCAGTTCTTCCACGACAATGACGAGGGCTTCGACCCGATCTCGGACCTCGCCGGGGGCGAGCACGGGTCGCCGAGTGCAGCCGCCAACGGCGGAGCGGATCTCGAGGACGAGGAGATCCAGTCTCTGGCCGCGCTCAACCGCATCAAGCCAGAGTATGTCAACTATGCCAAGAAGGCGAAGCGGGTCGATGTCAAGAAGCTCAAGGAGAATATCTGGAAGGAGCTGGGCATCATTACTGAGGTCGACGGCGACACCTCCACGGCCGCACCGGCCGACACGGACGACAACCCTGGAGATGTGAGTGCGAGAGGCCATTCGGCGTTGATCGAACAGCCCAAACCAGTTCGCTGACATACCTGCTATCGCGCACTTGTGGCACTGCAGGACTTGACGGCGACGACAAAGCCGGCCGCCGAGTACAAGACGTTCGACACGGTGCTGACGGGGCTCAAGAAGGCCTATCCCAGGGACAAGATGGAGGAGATCTCGACGTCGTTCTGCTTCATCTGCCTGCTGCACCTGGCCAACGAGGAGGGTCTGCAGATTTCGACGGGCAGCGACGACCAGCCACGGCCCAAACGACGCGGCAGTGCCGGCCGCAGCCGCAAGAGCACGACACCGTCACCGTTCGGCGATGTGGACGACGGCGCCGGCGAGGCGGAACGCACCGACGCCGACGGCATGGCGAGCATGTTTGAGCAGCTGGCCAAGGGCGCCGGCGGTGCGAGGATCATCAGCTCGACCGAGGACGACGACGATCTGGGTGGCGAGGGATGGGACGAGGACGATGAGGAGGACCAGGAGGACCGTATCAAGGTCGGCAAGCTCGAGAGCCTGAGGATTGTCAAGGATCCCAAAGCTTTCCGCAGCGCATGAGTCCGTCGCCCTTCCCGCCACACCCTCCCTCGCTGCCGCGTCGCCATCGGCGTCGCTGCCCCCGCCGACGCTCTTCTCGCCATCGCTCCCTCACATCTGCACGCATATACCTCCCGGCCCTCCCCTGACCCTCTGTCTAGCAGCCGATGCTTCTTGTTGTCTCACACTAGCTTCGTTCCCGAGGACCAACCAAGAGAGCTCTTCTCGAATCGATGATCACGCAAGCATGGGCGCGTCGGACGCTCGTCGAGTGGTATACAGCTGGTGCCGATGGTGGTGTTACATGGTGACGGGACGAAGGTAAGGGGCTGGGGCAGACTGCAACGTCAGAAGGGCAAGGGCCCAGCCTTGCCATCGCCGTCTACGGGCAGGCGGCCCGTTTCTCGTGCAAGCCACCAGTCGACGTCCCAACCTTGGAAGACCTGGGCGAGTTCGCGCTTGGCAGACTCGGGCGAATCTGCCGCGGGAGAGAAGGTGCAGCATAGCGAAGCAGTGGCAGTAGTCAGACTCGGCCCTGCCCGGGGGGCAACGAAGGAGGGGGAGAAGGGGGGCTCGCAGGGAGACGCACCTGAGCCGTGGAAGCCGTTTCGGGTATCGCCGAGGCCGTAGCGGGCACGCAAGGTGTGGGGCTGCTCCCACTTCGCGCGGTAGGCCTTTGTGGGGCCCAACATGGCCCTCCACGTCCTGATGGCATCCGGCCCGGCCAGCGCGAGCGCCATCGAGGGACCGCTCGTCATACCCACGACGAGGCGATCGTAGTAGAAGCGCCCGCGGTGCTCGGCGTAGAAGCGGTGCGCGTCGTCGGCCTTCCAAAAGAGGCGCTTGGACCGCACCATCTGCAGGCCGGACTGCTTGATCTCCTTGAGCACCGCGCTCACGTCGGGCTGGTAGCTGCAGAGCGAGGGCTTGAGGAGCGCCAGGGTGAGCTCCATCTCCCTCGGCGGGGCCGACGAGGAGGAGGAGAGGTGCCGCACCGCGCCCGCCGTCGGGTCACCCTTTGGCGTCGGGCATATCCGAAGGGCCGTGGGGGAGGGGCGCGGGATGAGCCGAAGGTGCGACATGGCTGTACGTGTAGGTAGGGTCGTTGTCGTCGGAATCGTCGTTGGCGGGATGGAAGGTGCGTCGGCCAAAGAAGCAGCGTACCTTTGATCTGCGAAGACAACGGCCAGGTCGGCCAGGTGGAGGCTGCTCGGCGACGCCGACGGAGCCGAACCGACGCCAACCCCAAAGCCATGCCATGCCGGGCAGGCAGGCCATGCCGGCCCATCCGACCTGCAGCGCGCGTTGGGAAGCGCCTTGGCAACCCGCCTCCACCAACTGCTCACCACCATCAGCTTCGACACCAACACCACCGTCGGCCTTCCTCCTCTCCTCCTTCTCCTTGAACCTTCAACACGATCGTCACCGCTTTGAAAAGGAGCGCCGCGGCCGAACCATAGCAACCGCGGTCTTGCGACATCGCCTGCCCCCCTGCCTGCCTGCTGATCCCGGACCCTTCGCGTCTTCTACGCGTCGGAAGACGTCCCGTCTCGACCGCCTCTGCCTCTTCATCCTCATCGACCCATGTGCTGTCCATCGATAGCTGCTTGTTAAATCGTACACGGACGCAGAATCCTCATCCGCGCCCTCTGCCTCCGCCGCCGACCCGCCCAAGATGGCCACCACCGCTTCGGTCTACAACTTTTCCCGCACGAACCGGCAGATCCTTCGACGCCATCGCAAGGACCGCCCCAGCCTCGTGCTCCACCTGCACAACAGCCACTTTAGATTCGAGCGTCAGGTGAGGCGTCGGCGCCTGGTCTGGCGACCCCAGATCATCGGCGCCCGTCGAGGCTGACCACCCCACTCCTTGACATCCACGCCCGGCCGCCTGAACCGCACCACAGAATGGCATGTTCCTGTTCGATAGCCCGGTCAAGGTGAGCTCGCTGTGCCGCAGTTTCGTACTCGCTCTGCCATCTTGTGCTCATCCGGAGACCGCACGCGCGGCCCTTTTCCCGTCTTGCCATCGCATCGCAATGCCAAAGGCGTTCCTGCAGTACATCCGCGACCAACGCGTCCCCGCTGACCTCGTCGACGTGCTGACCGACTCGGGCGTGCAGTTCTTTGAAGGTGAGCTTGACCCATGATGCCCGATGCAGTGCATGCACGCATCCCGAGAGACAAGCTGAGAAGGACACTTGCTGATGCCCGCTCTCCGACGCTGTCGCTGCTGGCCGTGCTCTGCCTGCCGACGCTAAAGGCTGCCTGATCGTCGAGGTGCACGATCACCGCTCGCACAACGTCTCGCTCAACTCGGCCCTTCCGCCATCACAGCTGCACTCCCTATCGAACGGATCGAGCCTTCGGCAGCCGCGTCCTGCTCCCGGAGGATCCGCGACGGCGTCTGGCTCTGCATCTTCGACGGCGCAGCCTCCGTCCCTGTTCTACCTGCGCGAGGGCGGCCGCTATGGCGCGCGAAATCTCATCGGAGGCGGCGGGCCTAGCGGATCGTCCCTTGACGGCAAGTTCGGCGCGCTCGCGGGAATCGAAATCTATCGCATCGTGCTGCATCCCACCTCCGAGACCCTCTGGAGCGACCTCAAGATGCTCGACGACATGACCGGCGGCATCTGGTCGGATCAGGAGGCGCTCGAGGTCGAGGCCAAGATTCTGGTAAGTCTCGTTCGCCCTTCTGGCTGTGCTGACCTCGCACCTCGCACGACCGCGGATGACGCTGACCAACCTTCGACTTGGTGACTGTAGTCCCTTACCGCGCCACCGCTCTGCTTGTCGCCCGACCCGCAAGCATCCCGCATCGCCAATTTGATGCTCAGCTCCACAGCGCCGCCCTCGGCCTACGCGCCCTCGTCTGCCTCGCCGCTGCCCTTCCACCGCAACGCCAGCAAAAAGCGCGGCGCCAACAGCATAGAGATGGAAAAGGAAGAGGCGAGCCGACAGAGGAGGGAGAAGATCATGCGTATGATGGAAGGAGGCTTGCGCACCGTCCCATCCGCTGCCAAACCGCCGGACGGCTCCGCCCTCGCTGCCGTCGCTCCCGTCAACGCGCAGGCCGCCGCCGCAGCGTCGAAGGCATTTGTGCCGACGTGGGTCTCCTTCGACGGCCTTTGCTGGACGCACGATCGCTGCCTCTTAAAGCTGACACTCTGCCTGCCTAACCCCTACTTTTGCGCACAGGTTCGGACGGATGGCGTTCATCGAAAAATGGCGCATGGGGAGGAACCTGGCCGCAGACCCACACGCCGCATCCGGCACCGCTTCCGGCACGAAGGACGACTCGGGCAAGACCTCGGGCGCGGCCGCCAAGGGGGACAAGGCAGAGCCGGCCAAGAAACCACCCGCCAAGAAGAAGAAGAAGGCGCAACGCGAAAAGGAGGAAGCCGAAGCGGCGGCCGCGGCGGCGGCCGCTGCTGCGGCCGAGGCCAAGAAGAAGGAAGAGGAGGCAGCGGCCGCAGCCAAGAAGGACACGGCAGCGACGACGGGCAAGCCGCTGAGCAAGAAGAAAAAGGCACAGCTGGCCAAGGAGGAAAAGGAGCGCAAGGAGAAGGAGGAAAAGGAAAAGGCGGAAAAGGAAAAGGAGGAGAAGGAGAAGAAGGAAAAGGATCAAGCGGCGGCGGCGGCGCCGGCCAAGAAGAGCAAGTCGAAGAAGAAGAAGGACGAGGGCGACACGGCCGCCGGCGGTGGCACTGCAGCCAACGGCGCGGCCAACGGCGACAAGGGCTCGGGCGCCGCAAAGGCCGGCACGTCTCCGACAAAGGGCAAGGCGGACGCCGCGACGCCTGCCAAGGCCGATGCCACCACCACCGGCGCGACGGCGGGCAAGAAGCCAACGCCGGCCAAGAAACCGGCGGCCAAGAAGCCCGCGGCGAGCAAGGCGAGCAAGGCCAAGACTTCGCCCACCAAGACAAACACGTCGGCTGCCAAGGCGGGCACCGATCCGACATCGACCGAGGCGCCCGCCATGTCTGCTGCCACGCCGGCGTCGATCCAGTCGACGCCGACGCTCTCCCACGCCATGCCCAACGTGGCGCAGCAGCAGCAGCAGCAGCAAGTCCAGGCGGCCATGTTCATGCAGCAACAACAGCAGCAGCAGCAGGCGAACGGGATGAACGCCGGGCCGTTCTACGGCCTACCGATGATGAACAACGGCTCGGCGGGCATGTTTGCGCCCAACGGCGTGGGCATGGGCGGGCCGGGGTTGGCGGGCATGATGCCGGGCGTATCAATGGGGACGCCGCAGGCAGGCAACATGGCTGCGACGATGATGGGCGGCGCGCCGGGAATGGGCATGGGCATGATGCCCACGGGATCGCAGCAGGGTCAGCCGGGCGTCGGCAACAACGGAGGCGGATTCATGAACGGGGCCGGAGGGTATCCCGGCCTGCCGCACGGCGTCGGCATGATGCCGCAGCAGCAGCAGCAGCAGCCTGGCCAGCCGCAGGGCAACAACCTGTCCGACCTGCCCGTCGGCGTCGGACTCGCTGGACTGGGCAATTGGGGCAATTCGTCGTAGCCCCGCCGGCTCTTTTCAGTCGACAGCCGGCGTCCTTGGAATGGAAGGCATCTGATACGATTCGTCGTCGTCGTCGTCGTTGTCGTCGTCGTCGTTGTCGTCGTCGTCGTCGGTAGGACAGTGTCGAGCGGGCGAGTGCGCCCGAGTGGCACGATCAACGAGCGGTGGTGCCGCCGTCGAGGGCGAGGATGGTGCCCGTGCTCCAGGGTGCGTCGCGGGCAAAGTACCTGTTGCGGCCAGCAGCGTGAAGCGAGGACGAGGACGAGGCCGTGTCAGCAGCAGGTTTGGCGGCCCAGAGAAGCAAGTGCAGGCTGGGGACCACCCACATGACGCTCTTGGCCACGTCGCGGGCGGATCCGCGGTGGGGCCAGTACGTGGGGCGCTGTTTGGAGATCTCCTCGGGGATATTGACCGTCATCGCAGTGTCGAGGTAGCCGGGGCAGATGGCGTTGACGTTGATGCGGTGCTTGGCGTAGTCGCACGCCACCTGGCGCGTCAGGTTGATGACGGCGCCCTTGGACGCGCAGTAGGCTGGCTCGCCGGGCCCGCCAATGAGGCCGTGGATCGAGGCAATGTTGACAATGTTGCCCCGCGAGCCGCGCCCGCCCTTGTCGCCGGGCAGACGTCCGACGGTGGCGGGCGGACCTTGCTCCTCGGAAAAGGGAGGGCGCGACCGAGGCTGCGAGGAGATGTCCTCCTCCTCGTTGGCGTCCAGGTCCTCTTCCAGGTCGGCGGGAAAGGCCAGCGGCTCCTGCTTCATCATTTGCCGGATCTGCATTCGTTCCGACATGACGAGCGGCGCCAAAAGATGCAGCCACTGGTTAGCAGATCGGTGCAGAGCAGCGACGGCGGCGTCGGTCTCGTAACCGCACTCACAGCAAGCTGTGTGCCGATGTACAGGCCCTTGACGTTGACCGCTAGCATGCGATCGAGGATGTCGAGCGACTCGCCCTCGATGCCCCCGCTGTCGATGGGCAGAGGCGATCGCTTGAGCGTCAGCGATGCAGCACGCGGAGGAGTCTCTCATTGCTGCTCGGCGACTCACGAGAAAGAGGTGATGCTGTACGTGGCGGATGAAGAGCGAAGGCGCGAGTCAGCAAAGACGATCGTCCGGGCGGGGAAAGGTGGGCCTGACGCGATGGGCTCACCCGGCGTTGTTGATCATGCTGTCAGTCATGGACACAGGTAAGGGAGACAGAATCAGCTTCGTTCTCGAGGCGTAAGGACCACCAGGCAGCCGCCCCGACACGTACACGTCCAAACGACCGTTGCCGAGCTCGACGGCACTCGCCATGCTCTTCTTGAAGTCGACCTCATTGCGAACGTCGAGCTTTTGGAACTCGGCCTTGCCTCCGAGACGGTTGATGACTGCGTCGACGAGGCGGCGGGGATATCAGCGCGATTTCACCTCGGGGGGTGGATAGAGCCACGACGAGCCGATGCCGGACCACGCGGTCACTCACGCTCGTGGGTGGGAACGTGGCGGGAGCCCTGACGAGCGGGCGAGCCGAGCGGTTCCGTGGCGCCTGCCTTTGGCGCGGGTCTGTCGTCGATGGGCTCGGGTCTCTGAATGCATGGGGAAGGATCGGATGGAGCCGCTGCCGTTCCAGTCAGCGAGGCGACAGTGGGTTCAGACCCCAGCGCTACTCACGAGGTCCGCGCAGAAGATTGAAGCGCCAACCCGGGCGAGATGGAGCGCAGTCTGGCGGCCGATGCCGGACGATGCGCCGGTGATGAGGGCGGTGCGGCCGGCAAGGCTCAGCGATGGCGGGAGACTCTTTGAGAAGGTAGAAAACGACATCCTCGAGGCAGGGCGGCGGAGACGAGACGAGACGAGACGGTGGAAGCGATGAAGGGCGCAACGGTTGGACCCACACGTCGGCGGCCTTCTTATGGTTCTTCAGAATGGCCCGCCTGGGCCACGCCCGCTGATGGCCGCGCTTCGTGTCGCATGGGAGCGACCATATCATCATCATCGGCTGCACCCGAAGCGTGGGGAAAAGACGAGAGGGGCGAGAGGGCGACAGCAGCAGCGACTGCCGATGTGGGGAGAGGGCCGTCTAATTCGCCGAGGGTGCCGGGTTGCAGCCACCAGTCGCTTGGTCGCCGGTTGCTTCTGGCAGTCGGTGCCGAAGCCTCGCCCTTTCTTGCGTTTCCACGCGAGCGACGGCGGGGAAGACACTCAGGCCAAGCGGGCGTGGTCAGGCCAGGCAGGCAGGCTGCAGGCCACGCCGTGCTCCGAGACTCGAGGCCGTTGACCTGGCATCCGACGCCTCATCTCAGAGTCGCACGTACTCGTACCATGACTGTGGCGACGATGCTGTCGAAAAAGTCGGCGGAGCAGGAAGCCCGGCATTTGAATCCGAACCAGCAGTGGTCTTGGGCTCAGCTCTGGCTCCGCTGTGATGTGCAAGGTCAACTAAAGAGCCGGCGCAGAGTCGGGTAGGTGGCGATGAAAGGGGAGGCAGGAGAGGCCTGCTTGCCTCTTGCCTGCATGATGGATGCCTGGCGGGCGGAGGCAGCGGGCCTCAGCGCGCGCTCGTCAGCCGTCGCTCATCGCCTCTTGTCCCAGCTCATCTGAACGCTCTATCCTTGACCGCTTCTTTCCCTGCCACCATCCGTCACAGCTCGAAGCCTTCCTCGCTGTACTCGCCGACTTCATCTTCAAGCAACGCACAGACCCAAGCACTTTGCCCCAGTCGCACCTCTGTCGCAGCAGGGTCGCAGGGCAGCAGGGCCAGGACCATCGCCCCACGTCCACCCTGCGTTCGCATCCGATCGTGTATTCTCGAGACGACGGATTCACGCCAAGCGGCTCTTTCCTACCTCCCTAGCCTAGCCTTGCAGCGTTCCATCGCTAGCGACTACTGAGCTTCAGCTTGTGAGTTGGCTGGCTCGCCCAGAGCGTCGGACGCGCGTACGAATAATATCGTCATCTTCGCCGCCGGGGCGGGGCGCAGGCGAAGCCAAAAGGAGAGGCGGGCGGGCAGCGCTGAATGCCCGCTTTCTCTTTTGAGGGGGGAGCGAATCTCGCATCTAGGCTGGCCCTGGGCCACGCACACACACATGCTCGTCCGCCGTGTGCTCTGGCGCAGAAGGGTCCACGACGCACTCCTGCTGACCTCGTCTCTTGGCCTCTCATCTCGACTGGCATACCTCCTGTACCACGCTGCCGATCCGTCGCTCCCCCGCCCATCCCCTCCTCGACCTGGCCTCCCACACCTGACGACCAACTACATACACAAAACTGGGTAGTTACCACACTTCCAGCTGGTCTGAAGAGCAGGCAAAGCTCCTTTGCGCGGAGGAGAGACAGGTGGCAAGGTCTCGGTCGCCCGCTTCTGCTGGAAGCGACACACACACGGAGCTGCTGCTTCGTCCGCCAGGCACAAAGCTAAGCTCTTCAACCTCGGCCCAGCCGGGATCAGGAAAAAAGCTCCGTGGGTGTGACAAGGGGGACAAGGTTTAGGCGAACGCACGCAGCCAGCAACAGCGACAGCGACAGCGGGCCCAGCCTCTGGCCTGCCTGCCTCTTCTCTACTGCTACGTACGTACCGCCCCTTCCATCGTGCCGGCAACGCGCCCAAGATCCGCCCGCTCCGCCTGGCCGAACCCATCACCCTTCCGCTCGACAACGACGTCCACCATCGCCACACTTCCCACATCAACCCACCCGCCCATCTCGACGCCCTCCTTGTCTTTGCTCGACAGCGTCGATATCTCGTTTCCACGCCGCACGCCGTCCCCCGCTCAGCACTCTTGCCCGTCCGATTGCCTCGCTTCCGTTCCGGCGGTCTCTTGACCGCTTCTTCCCCTGCCTGTTGCATACAGTAGTTGTAGCTGGCCGTGCCTGTCTTTGTTGGCGCGCCCCTCGCACGACGACGGCGCCCTCCATTGTCGCAGCGGCAGCGGCTGTGATCGTCGCCCTCTTCTCGTCTCGCCCCGCTTCCCTCTGCAGTCCTTTCACCTCGTCTCGCCAGCCCTTCGACATTCGCTCTCCATCATCCACCACATAACCAACACCACCACCACACTCTCTGCCACCACATTCCGCCCCATCCTGCTGCCAGCGACACCGTCTCTTCGCTCCCGCGGCTTGCTCGGGGTGCGCCGCATTCCGTGCCAGGAGGGACCTGGCTCATTGCCAGGCACCATCACCGCTGCCCCACACCGGTCCATCGGTTCCGGATGTCCCGAGGCCCCGTTCTCCATGACTATCGACCCGATACAGAAGCTTCGAGCAGCGGCAGCGGCCGAGGCAACGACCACCGCCACCATCTCGAGCTGATGGATTCCTCATCACCGGCGGGGGCTGCCGGGGCCCCTCCGGGGCTGAAGCGCAAACGTTCGTCCGCGGTCATCGCTGATGCTCCGGCCGACATCCGTCTCGCGCAGCATCCGCAGACGGCCTCGCCCAGTGCGGCTGCCGACGCTACCATCACGCCGCCAACCAGCCACCATCCCCCGCTACCGTCGCCGTCAGCCAGAACGGCGAGCCCTCCCGCCAAGCGTCTCAACCGGAACCGAAGTCGATCTCCGCCCCACGGCATCGGCGTCGGCGGCAGCGCAGAGGGCAGCGATGCCCGCACCTCCGACCCGAGCCCGAACGGCCAGCAGCAGCAACAGCAGCAGCAGCAGCGCCGACACCCGGCGCAGCATGAATCGGCCGCCGGATCCAACCCCTGGAAAATCGGCGCTTCCGACGCGTCGCCATCTCGCAGCGACTCGGCCTCGGGCCCCGCCGCTGCACCCCATCCGCCCCTCTCCCCATCGTCGTCGTCGTCGGCGGCGCCGTTGCGGTCGGCACCAAAATTCGCCACCGGGCCACACGCGTCGGATCCGAAAAATATTGCCTCAGCCGCCGAATCCACCGCATCCTTCGAACCCGCCCCGACCACCGTGGACACCTCGACATCACCGCTGGCGGCAGCAGAATTGACATTGGCACTCGAGCCAGGCATCACCCCGCCGACATCGGGCATCGACCGCGACATCGGGTCGAAAGGCCGGATGCGCGTCGCCGACGTCGATGCGATCCAGGCTCCGGTCTCGGCGCAGCTGCCGACGGCGGCGATCGCCTCGGAAGACGACGAGGATGCCGATGCCGAGGGCGAGGACGATCCAGCCAGCGCAGATCGGGAGGTCTCCACCGTCTGCGGCCATGTTCCGGCCGATGCCGCTTCGGCCATGCCGATGGTCCCTGCCGTCAAGATCGAGGCCGACGAAAGCATGTCGTTTGCCAGTCCGAGTCCGGCGACCCGGCAGCGCAAGCTGGCCGCGGTGCGAGCGCCATCCGTTTCGGCCGAGCGATCCGCAAAGAGCGTGGCGGCATCGCCGGTGCCCGCGGCAATCATGACGCTGACTTCGACGTCCGACAACTCGCTGGCAGCCTCGGCTCCTTCGACGAGGGCCACGACGCCAGCGCTGCACGCCACGCCACATTCACGGCGAAGAAAGAGGGAACGCGCCGCCAACGGCAGCGTCACACCGCGAGTGCCGCTGCCTCGCCTGGACAGCGCCGATCGCCGAAGGTCCGGACGCATCGCAAAGGCTTCGTCGTCCCACGCGGCGCCGTCGGATCCCTCCTCGTCCTCGCTCTCACAACTAGGTGCTAGATTTGGGTTCTCGCCATTCCTCGAAGGCCTTGTCTTGGGCACCCGCGAGCCAGAGAGGCGCACGAGGAGCGGCATCAGAGGTGCGCGCGCCGCACCCGGTCGCAGCGGCGCCACGACGAAACGGGGCTCCAAGGCAAAGTCGGTTCAGCTGGAAAAGGAGGCCAGCAAGGATAGGGAGGACGATGGGCCTAGCGACGACGCAAAAGCCGAGTGAGTGCCCCGCGTGCGATGTTCTTCCAGCAGCCGCGATGACTTTGCCGCTGAACGGGACGGTACCATCCATCATGCGGTCTGTCGTTGCGCCAGGCTGTACCTCCAGCTCTGCATCCTCTCTCATCAATTGCAGGCTGAGCTCGAGATGGTCCCTTTCAAGACGGTCGAGGAGCTCAGGGCCGAGTTCCTCGCGCCACCATCCGCTCCCGGTCCGGACGAGGACGCCGCCATCGCGAGCGTGGATCGCACCGGGAAGCTGCCGGATGAATCCGCGGCATGGCCCCCGACGCCGCCGCCTCAGTTCGCCACAGCGCGCGGCCAAGGTCCATCGAGGTCGACGGCCACGACAGCCGCGACGTCGAGGAACGCTAGCCCGACCAAGGCGAGGACGTCTGTACCCGTCCAGTCGCGGGTCGAGACGCCGCCATCATCGCCCGAGATGCCGCTGATGGCAAGCCTTGCCCAGCATCGCAGGCAAGCCGAGACCGTGGATCGCCCCGATCCGCTTCCCTGGGTCTCGCAGGCTTGGCAAGATGCGAACCCGGGGCCTCATAATGCTGGCGTCGAGGATTCGCCCGTCCTGCGACCGAGCCGCCCAAACATCATGTCGATCTCGGCCCTGATGTCTGCGCCTTCGCCACCACGTCGACGGTCGACGCTGACGCCCGCCAGGCCCGCCCCGTGGGAGTGGACGCAGGAGGATGACATGGCCACAGAGATACTCCGCGGGCTTGGCATGGATCCTCGTGGCTTCAGCATACCCGCCACGAACACGGACTCCTCGACGGCCGTCACCCGCTCTGGCACACAGACACCCGCGGAGCCGGACGTCGAGGTGCGGCCAACCAGCATCCTAGACCCGCACCACATGAACGTCCTCTCGGCATTGGACCTCGACGCCATCTTTGCCCGGGAAGAGGAAGAGTACGCCAAGGAAAAGGAGGGCTGCAGCGAGCTGTACGCCGCAATGCGCTACCTCGCCGTGTACGACGAGGTTGTGGACCGCTGGAGGACGTCGGCCGTTGCTCGCCTGCGAAAGCAGATGGACATGCGCAAGCAGGAGGTCGCCCGCCTGCTGTCTGCGGAGCGCGACGCCGCCTGGATGGACTTCCACGACGGGCAAGAGTCGCTGCTCATCAGGGACGGTGCGGCCAAGCTGGCTCACGCGAGGTGGCAAGCCGAGTCGGAGCGCAACCGCATCTCTCTCCGCAAGCCGCAGAGCCGGGCCATGGCCAAAGTACAGCGCAACCTATTTGTGCCCGGCGACAGCGACGCCGCCAAACTGCCAGAGGGACGGCGGCTCTACCACCAGTACGGCACATTCCTTCAGAGAGGCGCCCACTCGAGCCTGCAGGAGCCGCTCCTGCGCGCCGACATCGACAAGATCCGGAAGGGTGTGGCCGGTCCCAGCAGACCCCTCTCGGGCCAGGCCGGCCCCGGGGGTATCGCCGGCGAGGAGCAGGAGCACGATGACGATGACGAGGACGCCGACGAGGAAGGATCCAGGCTCGATGTCGATGCCGATGGCGATGCTACATCCTCCTCGGTCGGGTCCGAGTCCGGCATCTCGTCGCTGCCATCGTTCACCTCGGTGTCCTCGGACGACGAAAGCAGCAGCGAGAGCGAGAGCGGGAGCGAGGCTACGCCCTATCATGACGACGAAGGATCGGCGATGGACATCGATGCCGCGACGCCTTCAGGCAAAGGTGCGGCGCTCATGGATCACGGGCACGATGCGCATGCGGCAGCGGAAGCGGAACAGAGCCACGGGTCGCTCAAGAGGCAGCGGAGACCTCCCCCGCCAGGCGTGCGGTGGTGGAAAGCCGGTCGGCCGATGGAGTGAAGGTTGCCAGAGCGGCCAGACAGCTGATGATGTCTTTAGCGCGCGAAAGGCGGGCGGTTGGTCGGAGAGGGGCGGTCTGTATCAATCAATACAATGGTCGATCGGCAGCAGTAGCCCGATATCCGATTCCACTTGCTGCGGCTTCACGTGCACGCCCCCTTTTTTTCTTCCGAGCCAAGCAAGGGACGCGACTTCGGAGGAGGGGAGGGCAGGACAGAAAAGGACGGCGTCTTCGATCTTCCATTCCCTCTCTCCCCCACCATCCCATCCTACCTCGTAAGTATCGTTTGCCGTCCGAACCTGCGCCTTGCCAGCCGCTCGACTTCCACTCGACGCACGCATCGACGCACGACACTCGATGCACGACGAGGCACGACGACCACAGGATGCCGAGAGAATACATCGACGATCGCAGTGATGATCAACTCACAACCATCAGGAATCTCGTTAGTCTTACACCATCATGGAGATACGGTTATCCTTTGTTTCAGCCTTGTCTGAGTTCGACCTCGTTGTCCCTTTGGCATCCTGTCGTGGGTCCCTCTCGTCGTCGTCGACGTCGTCGTCGAGTAGAGTGGCAGTGGTCGAGCTGGCGAGGTCGCCATCGCGGCGTGGTTTTAGCGCCTTGCCTTGACCATACTGACCTGGGTTCGACCCGAACTCTGTCTTACGCCATCCCTCGATCCCTCGGATTCGCCATCAGACAGGATCAAGATGCCCATGCTTCTCTTCTCGATCAACTCGTCCCCGCTGTACTCTGTCACGTACAATGCACGATGCTGCGATTGCTAGAATCCCGCTGGCTGTCTGTGTGTGATCTCGACTCGCTTGCGAACACGACTCGCGAGCTGACAATGCAATGCTGGTCCCTTCTACAGTCCAGGACTAGGGGGTATACGAGTCATGGTTCTCGATGACAACTCTTCATCGATGCGGATGTCCACTCCCTTCCATTCAGTCCTCGGTCTTTCCACACGACGTTACCGCGGCGGGATCAGGAGACTGCCGGATCCTGTACGGCTTCTGCGGGCTCAGGCTACGGGCGCGGGCCATCTGCGCCCTCCGCACGGCCGGACTGGGCGGCACCCTTCTGCTCATCGTGGCGAACATGGCCGCGCTCGTCGCCGGAAGAGGCGGCGACTCGTTCTCCCGGTCCTCGGCGCCTCCGCGGTACCGCCGGTGCGTTTCCGAGGCGTCTGGCCGCTCGCGGCGGGACAGGACCTTTGAGCTGTCGACGAGCGCCGCAGGGGGTCCAAAGATGTGCGCACTTTCGTGGTGAAGACCCCCGTTCCGACGAGGCTTGAGCGGTGACGAGCTAGCCTGACGGGCCGCGAGGACGGGCAGGGGAGCGTCGGTCCCTGATCGACGCCGGGACGGGGCTTCGTTGGTCTCCTCGAACGCCATCGGCGGCAGCCTTGCGGCCTGCTCGCGCGCCTCGAAGCGGGCGACGATGCCTGGGCCGTTGCCCGTGCTGCGGGTGATGCCGGTGCCTTTGATCTTGGGAAGGTGCAGTGGCGGCTGGGCTGCGGTGGCAGAATGACGCTTGCTGGGCGACGACGTGGGTGGTCCGGCTCTGGCGTGATCCAGGTCGGGGTCGACCCTCCTTCGCCGTGACCCTGGTGACTCTGGAGCGGCCTGTCGAGCCGTTGACCTCGCCTCTCCGTGCGATTCGGCACCCGCGCGCCCGCGGACGCCTTGCGACCGGAGCTCCACCACCGACTTTGTCGCCCGAAGCGGACGCCGCCGTTCGGTGCCCTCGGGACGGGCGGATACGTTACCGCTCTGGACTCTTCGACTGTCGTCACGGCTGTGGCTGCTTGGCGGTGCGGGTGCGAAGAGCACGCTGGCCCGCTTTCGCGGCGCACGAGGGGTGCGTTGGCTTTCCTCGCGCGAGGTTGAGGGTACGTCGTCCCGGACCGTAGCGCTCGACGAGTCGCTATCAGGTGAGGTTGATCGCGATGGCATTTGCCTCGACGGCCGGACGCTCCCGGCGATCTGCGTGCCGCGAGCGTCTCCAGCCGCCGTCCCAGTGAAATCAAGATCCTTGGCGGTGGCCTCTTTGCCCCTCTGCAGCTGACTGACAAAGTAGCGGAACTCGAGGCAGTGCAGGTCGGTCTGCTTGAGGGCGTCGAGCTGGAAGGGCGAGAGGTGGGGCTTGGAGCTGCCCTGACCCGCACCGAGCGCCGAGGAGACGGCGTCCCCGCAACGGTGGCTGAGCTCGACAATCTGCTGCAGACCGCCGATCTCGCTAAAGGTCGTCTGGGCCTGCTTTGACTCGACCAGGATGCACATGAGCATCTCGAGCGCAAAGACCGAGGGCAGGCTGACGAGAGGGGCCGAGGAGGTCGAGGGCGTAACGGTGGCGCCAATGGGTGGGCTGGCGGAAGACGACGGGCTCGACAGCATCGAGGGAAGCAGGTCGGTCGAGTAGTCGGAGAGCGTGATGGAGAGAAGGAGCTGCACGAGTCCGGCGGGGGAGAGGGACAAGGTCAGCATCGGGCCTGCTCGCAGCGAGTTTTGCCTAGCAGAGCCCTGCCTGCCTCACCTCTAGCCAGCACTTTCGCTCGCATATCCGCTTGGTGTTGCTGTGGGACAGTGTGAGTCCCTGGAGGACGGTGAGGGCGGTGCATGCTTCGTCGACGAGGCTGCGCACGCGTTTGCTTTCCGTGTCCGAGTAGGTGGCGGCGCTGGTCGTTCGGAGGCCCTGGCTGAGCTGGTACAGGGCGAGTTCCTGCTGGAGGAGGATATGGAGTCGTGCAAGGAGATGGAGGAGGCATTCTGCAATGTTGAAGCCGGCGTTGTTCTGCAGGCTCCAGAATGCCTCGGCCACGACGCTGTCGGCCCCGAGAAATGGCAACGGCTGATCCAATGAGGAGGACGACGACGAAGGCGGCGGTGATGGGCGACAGCAGATGGAGGCGAGAAAGTGCTCGATCTGGTGCAGTGTAGCCTGGCGTTCCTCGGAGGTCGAGAGGGGCGCTGCGAGCAGGTCGGACCACTCGACGATGCGGCGGTCCATGGCGGGCGCAGCGACGTCAACAAGGTCGAGGGCCAGGACGGTAACGGGAGTGCGTGATGCAGAGGTCGGTGGAAGCTACGAGCGGCCTGATCAGGGGTGATGTGATGGAGGTTGACGCACGTTGGTCGAGCCTTAAGAGGGGCCACCTAGCTGAGACCGCCGAGGCCAGGGCGTGGTGAGACAGCGCCGGGTCGGGAGAGCCGCCAGAGCCCTGTCTCGTCTATGGGCGTGTGATGGGCTGGGCAGGTGACGAGTCAGAAGGGATAGAGGTGGCGTAGTGTTGTGACGGCCAGAGAAGGTGAGCGGTAGCCAGTCCTTGTCGGAAGCGTTCCGTCAGGCCAGGCCCGGGCAGCTGCAACGGCGTGGCGCCCGGGCAAAACCAACTTCTACTGCACGCGCAAGAAAAGGAAAAAGAGCCACGGCCTGCGGGGGACGGGCTGGGCCGAGCCCTCACTACTGGGGTTGCGCTCTCGAAATAGAGCTCGACGGCGTCGCTGCTCCCGAACAGACAAGTCAAGGGCCAAAGTCGAATGACCTGGTCCGCCGAGGTGAATGGCCCCTGCCGAAAGAGTGACGGATGGATTCGAAGCTAAGAGGGTTGGATACGATGTGTTGGTTGCCATGGTCCGAGAACAACATCGGCGAGCGGCGCAGAGCCTCCACACGCGACGCTTAAACGGGTCGACCGCAGGCAGCGGATCATCTCACCTCTGGTCTGGCCGCCCTCACCACCATCCCCGACGGCGCCGACAATATCCCTCTCGCCACCGCCAACGCTCATTAACGCGCTACGACCTGCTGCTCGCCATCAGAGGGAGCGGTCGAGGGTGAACAACCACAACCGCCCCGCTGCGCCACGCCATGCCCAGCGCGCGAAGCTCCCTCGCCCTGCAAAGAGAACGAGATCAGACCTACTCGATCCACATCTCCCTCTTCACCGGGCAATGGCCAGACACAGCGCCGAGTGACTCAACGCCAAAGCAAGGACTGTTCGAAGACCTCTTCCAGCCTCTTCCCGACGACCAGGACGAAAAGGGCGTCGTTCACCACGGCCGCGGCACTTTCAGATTGTCACTGCCGGACTCGATCGACAAGCGATTTGGGCCTCTTCGCATCGACTGGGCCGACCGCAGGCACCCACGCTCACAACGACGTCCAGATATGTCGCAGACCGCCAGCTCTTCGACAGGCGTGTCGCAGGCCGATCCTGCTTTGAGCTCAGATCCAGTTGGACCGGTCACACCAACGACGAGGAGCAAGAAGAAGCGTGTCTTCCACTCGGCCAAGCCCCAGATCACGGCTCCGGTCGCCGTCTTCCAAAAGCAGGATTCCTTCCAGGTCAACGACGGGCAGTCGTCCAAGCAAAAGGATCGCAGCAATGCGGGCAGCTCGGCTTCCGAGCCGATGGACATCGGATCTACCGAGGTGGCCTTCGGCATCGTCCACCTCTTCAAGGACAAGCAGGATGCGGCCGCCGCCCCTGAAACCGACGCTGCCGCAGAGGACAACCAGCTCACCGACAACGATGTCGGGACCGTCGTTGCCGTGCTCGCGGTACCGTCCTACCTCACCGCCGCCGACTTCCTCGCCTTTGTCGAGCCGGCCTCGGAGGCCATTTGTCACCTGCGCATGATCCGAGATGTCCATCCGAACCGCTGCATGGTCCTCTTCAAGTTCCGCGACGCCTCGGACGCCGAAGACTTCCACAAGATGTTCAACGGGCAGCCCTTCAACGCCATGGAGCCGGAAGAGATCTGTCAGGTAGTCTACGTCACGAGCGTCACCGTCTCCAAGCAGAGCACCCTCCCCCTCACCTATCCGATGCTTTCCAACAGCGACCCCTGGCCCCTTCGAGCACGATCCGCGCCTGGCGGATCGATCGAAGTGGCGAGCGCGCCTTCCGGATACGAGCTGCCGACCTGCCCCGTCTGCCTCGAGAGGATGGACAGCGCAGTGACGGGCTTGATGACGATCACGTGCCAGCACACGTTCCATTGCTCGTGCCTGAGCAAGTGGGGCGAAGGGCGGTGTCCCGTCTGTCGCTACTCGCAGACGGGGCATCGCAAGAAAGGATCGCAGCGAGCGAGCCGGCGACAGTCGCTCAACCCGGCCGCCAACGCCGGAGAGGGTGCAGCGGCGGATCTGGACGACGAGGAGGTCGAAGAGAGCGACGAGGACGAGGTCGAGCCGAGCCTGTGCACGATCTGCAAGACCAACCAGGACCTGTGGGTCTGCTTGATCTGCGCCTCGGTGGGCTGCGGGCGGTACAAGGCGGGCCACGCGCATCGACACTTTGAAGAGACCGGCCACCTCTACAGCCTCGAGGTGAGTACAATGGCGCAGAACGATTGATCGACCGGCATGGCACGGCGCTGACCGGCGCCTTTCTGCCTGCATGCGCCCACACTGCCGCAGCTCGAGACGCAAAGAGTCTGGGACTATGCCGGAGACGGCTACGTGCACCGGCTGATTCAGAACAAGGCCGACGGCAAACTTGTCGAGCTGCCATCGGCGTCGAGCGCAGCCGCCACGCCCGAGCGATCGCGCCGCCTGCCTGCGTCGACGGCCATGCAGAACCCGTCTTCCAGCAGTCAGGGAGGGCCACGCTCCGGCGCTGACGGCCGCGGCCCACGCCGCAGCGACGACGCAGCGGACGAATCGGACGTGTTCGACGATGGCGGCCCGTCTTCGACCGTCGCGGCATCGGAGAAGATCGAGGCGATCGGCCTCGAGTACTCGTACCTGCTCACGTCGCAGCTCGAGTCGCAGCGCCATTTTTACGAGGAAAGGATCGACCGGATCCAGGCGCAGTTTGACAAGCTGATGTCGACGATGCGACAGGTCGAGTCGGCGGCGAGCCGGCTGGTCGAGGTCGAGGAGCGTGCGCGGCGCCTCGAGGCCGAGCGCGACGAGCTGCGGCGGGAAAAGGCCAAGTCGGACAAGCGGGCCGACAAGATGCTCGAGCTGGCGCGGAAGTTTGAGAGCGAGATGCAGTCGGAGCGCAGCCTGTCCGAAGGGCTGATGCGCAAGCTAGAGAAGCGGCAGGAGGGCGAGGCGAGCCTGCAGGCCGAGGTCGATGAGCTGCGCGACCAGGTCAAGGACCTCATGTTCTTCCTCCAGGCGCGCGACAAGGTCGAGCAGGAGGGCGGCGAGGATCTCCGCGGCGGCGATCTCGAGGTCAAGCAGTCGGCGGCGAGCAAGAAGAAGAAGGGCAAGAAGAAGTCGTGAGGCGTGCGGTAGCTTAGGATGGGCATCATCGCCGACGTCGTCGGAGCGGGTGAGCTCGGTCACGTACTTCCTACGGCGCATGCACCTGCTGCAAGCCTGACAGCAGAAGTCGAGATCACGTCTTGAAGGGGCCGTCTGTGGTCATTATTGGCGTTGCGTTGGACAGCAGACGATGTGTGTTTGTCTCGACCAGAGCTCAGCGGCGCGATCTACGAGGCAGGAGTGTATGATTGCAAAGTGAGTGGGTCGCTGAAGCCACCGGGCCTCTTGCGGTGGCAAAAGAGTGGCGGCGATACGATGGTAGCGTCGCCGCCCCTGCCAAACGCCACGGGACGAAGCCGAAGAGGCTTGAGGATCAAGAGCAGGCCAGTCCAGTGGAGGCTGGCAGCAGCTTTCTGGCCGTCGGCGATGAAGCCGAAGCAAGGCAGCACGCCCCGCGAAGACGCAATGACGTGCGATCGAGGCGTGAACGGGCCACGCGCCTCTTGCCGTTCGCCGACGTTCTTCTCAACTTCGGGCCCAGCCCGACCGACGGGCGGTTCGGCTTCGGTCCCAGGCGACTCGACCCCTCCAGAGGCCCGCCACTCTTAAAGACCGCGCCACGGCCGCCTCTTTCCGACACCCACCACCACCCACCCTTCCACTCACACCTCTTCATCATGTCGCTCAACAAGGTGAGTCTGCGCAAGCCGATGTCGGCCATACTCACGACCGGATCCGACGCTCACACCTCCACATGCTCCGCCCGCGCCGCCACCGCAGACCATCACGCTCAACGACGGCAACAAGATCCCCCAGATCGGCCTGGGCACCTGGCTTTCGAAGCCCGGTGAGGTCGAGGCTGCCGTCGAGGCCGCCATCAAGGCCGGCTACCGCCACCTCGACCTCGCCAAGATCTACCAGAACCAGCACGAGGTGGGCGCCGCCCTCAAGAAGACGGTCCCCTCGGTCGTCAAGCGCGAGGACCTCTTCATCACCTCGAAGCTCTGGAACACGTCGCACAAGCCCGAACTCGTCGAGCCTGCCCTCGACGACACCCTTCAGGAGCTCGGCCTCGAGTATCTCGACTTGTACCTGATTCACTGGCCCACGGCCTTTGAAAGCTCCAACCCGACGAAGGAGCTTGTTCCGAAGAGCGAGGATGGCAAGCAGGCCAAGCTCGACCTGAAGACTTCGATCGTCGACACCTGGAAGGCCATGGTCGCGCTCAAGAAGACGGGCAAGGTCAAGTCGGTCGGCGTCTCGAACTTCACCATCGAGCACCTCGAGACCATCATCAAGGCCACCGGCGAGGCGCCCGCCGTCAACCAGATCGAGGCCCACCCGCTCCTGCCCCAGGACGACCTGGTCGCCTACGCCAAGGAGAAGAACATCAACCTGACCGCCTACAGTGAGTCATCCCGGCCCGCATCGAGATCGCGGGTACGACCGCCGTTACTGACCCCTGCGCTTTTCCCGACCCCTTCAACGCCGCGCGTAGGCCCGCTCGGCAACAACCTGACTGGCCAGACCAAGATCGTCGACTACCCGCAGGTGCAGGCCATCGCCAAGAAGCTCAACGCCGACCCGGCCCAGGTCCTCATCGCCTGGGGCGTCAAGCGCGGCTACAGCGTCATCCCCAAGTCGGTCACCGAGAGCCGCATCAAGTCCAACTTTGCCCAGATCGAGCTCAGCGACGACGACTACAAGACCATCTCGGACCTCCACACCGAGAAGGGCAAGCTCAGGTTCAACGTCCCCAGGACCTACAGCCCCTTCTGGGACATCAACATCTTTGGCGAAGAGTCCGAGAAGGAGGCCACCCACAAGGTCAACCTGGGCAACTGAGCGAGGATGAGCAAAAGCGAATCCGGGATCGCGGCTCGGGCGGAATCGTCGCTCGGCCTCGTCGTGATGTGTATTTGAAGCCGCCCTGCAGAGCCGGGGCTCCCGAATGACCGCATCTGCATCGTTCAACCACACTCCCTACCAGGCTGTGTCGCTCGATCGCCCGCTTCGTCCTCGGCAGATATGCGAGACGGAGCGAGTCTCAGAGGCGTGAGTTCGAGATAAGCGGCCGCAAACAGACACTGTGACAACGCTGGCATTGCCGATGGAATCAGAGACAGCCGCCCTCGGTGCTGGCGGTCATACAGTGGCGGATCATGAAAATAGGGTGGCCGCCTTTGCTGGCCTGGTGGGGTCGGTCGAGCTTGCTGCTCCTTGATGTGACGTCGATTCACTCGTACTTGTTGGATCCGCTGGTGGCCTGCGCCTGCCTCTTGAGGGCGGCGGGGGCGTCTCCCCTCTTCATAAACACCTCGATGAGGTGGATGGCCTGCACGTTGTCCAGTTCGTCCTGCGGCGTGAGGTCGAGGTAGAACACCGACAAGGCTGCGGGTCAGTGCCACATCCCGTCGTCTGCACAGCGATCGCTTGCCACTCACGCTCTTGAGCAGCTCGTCGAGCTCCGCCTTGGAGTGTACGGCATGGTACCTCTTGGCCGACGGCTGCGGGTCCTTGCGGTGGCTCTCGTCCTTCGGCACCGTCCTGTCCTCGGGCGCGCTGAAAAAGTCGAGCAGCAGCTTGTGGTTGTACGGCGCAATGTCGTTGTACGTGCGCTGAGGGCCGTGGATCTGGCGCTCGATCTCGTAGCTGCCGTTGGCGAGGGATAGGTCAAAATGTCAGCCTGCTACACGTCAGGGCAGGTCGAGGCCGTCGAGTGTGGCAGACTCACCCGTCGTTGTTCAGGACAAAGAGCAGCGGCTTGAGACCCTGGCGGATCATGGTGCCAATCTCCTGGACCGTCTGCGAAGTGGGCGAGAAGAAGACGGCAGATCTTTGTCTTCAGTCAGCTGCTCCCTTCGGCCTGGTTCCACGAAGAAGCCGTCCGGACTCACGAGCTGCAGCGATCCATCACCGACAAAGAGACACGTCCTGCCCAGCTTCTCTTCGCGAGCGGCAAGCGCGACGCCGAGGGTGGCACCGACGCTCCAGCCGATCGAGCCCCAGAGGATCTGTGCGACAAAGTGCGATGAGGGCGGCAGCTTGGCCTCGAGCATGCCGAAGCTGGACGTGCCGGTCTCGACAATGATCTGGTCGGTGGGCTTGAAGAATTGGCCTGGTGAAGTGGCAGTGGGGGGGCGGGCGTTCTGCAACGTCAGCTTCAAGTCTTTTGATGGTTCGCCTCCCGCGCCAGCTCGGGCCCGCTACTCACCGAGACGAGGCCACAGCCAGGCCTGGCTGATCGTGTCTCCGTCCTCCTGCGGCAGGCGGTTCTCGAAGCGGGTGATCCTCTTCCTGGTCGCGTCGAGCCTCTGCTGCCTGCGAGGCTCGAGCTTCTTGGTGAGCTTGGGCAGCAGGCCCTTCATGCCGACGTCCGGGTAGTGGGAGTAGCCGACGATGGCGTGGTCCGAGTGCAGCTCGATAGTCTTTTGCTTGGGGGTGCGGTAGGAGAAGCTGCCGGTGTTGAAGTCGGACTTGAGTGCGCCGATCAAGATGAGGGCGTCGGCCGACTCGACAATCTCCTTGACGCCGTTCGATGTGAGGCTGCCGATGTAGAGGCCGCCGTACTGTTCGTGGTCCTCGTCGATGGCCGTCTTGCCCATCGGAGTGCTGAAGACGGGCAGGCCAGACTTTTCGACGAGGTCCCTGGTCTCCTGCAGGCAGTTGTGTCGGATGGCACAGGCGTCGACGAGGATGACGGGGTTCTCGGCCTCGTCAATGTGTCGGAAGGCGACGTCGAGGGCGTACTGCTCGGCGTCGGGCTCGTTGGCGGGCACGGCCGTGTCGAGCGGTGTCTCGAGGTTTTTGGCCGAGATCTTGGCGTGAACCAGGTCGGTGGGCAGGGCGATGTAGACGGGACGGGCCTGCCTGACGGCCACGGTCAGGACACGGTCGATTTCGTCGGCGGCGCCCTCGCTCCTCTTGAGGACGGCCGAGGCGGCGCTGACCTGGCGGCTCATGGTCTCGAAGGCGTCGAAGCGGCCGTCTCCGAGCGTGTGGTGGAGGAGCGAGCGGCTTCCCTGAGCGCCCGTCGAGGGTACGCCGACGACGTGGACGACGGGGACGCGCTCGGAAAAGGCGCCCGCGACGCCGTTGAGGGCCGAGAGCTCTCCGACGCCGAAGGTGGTGACGACGGCTGCGACGGTGCCCTTGATGCGGGCATAGCCGTCGGCGCTGTAGGCGGCATTGAGCTCGTTGGCGTTGCCGACCCACTCGAGCTTGGCGTGGTCCTCGATCTGGTCGAGGAGTCCCATGTTGAAGTCGCCGGGAACACCCTGGACGGTGCGAGTGCCGAGCTGGGCTAGGCGCTCGAGGAGGTAGTCGCCGATCTTGATCTCGGACATGATAGGCTCAGGCGGATGGTTATGGAGGCAGAGCGGGCAGGTCTGGAGTGGCACTGGCAGCAGTGGTGGTGGTGGTGGTGGTGGCCATGGAAGAGCTCGAGGCAAGAAGCTCCAGGCTGACATCGAACGCACAGCCTGAATCGAGACGAGGCCCACCATGGCCTGCCTTGCTTTTGCTTTCGAAGGAGCGGAAGACCCGACGGCCAGGGTCCTCTGAGGGCAGCGAGAGTCATCGCGCAGCTCGGCGTGCCGGTCCTGCATGCGAGTCGCTCCGCGCCGCCGGCTTCCCTCCGCGTGGCCACGCCTGGCCAGGCAGGCAGGCCAAGTGGAGGGAACCAGGCCAGGCCGGATCGGCCCGCTTCCGAGACGCAGCAACGCGCTCGCGCCGAAGAGGATATCGATGATCCTCGAAAGTGGGACACTCGGCCGTACGAGCGAGACTGAAGGAGTGGGCTGCTGGACCTTGCGATGCCAGGCCAGGTTGGAGTGTCGTACTGGACAGCCTGTGGCGCCTTTGGCCCGCCGTCGTTTGTGCCCGCGGATCCGACTTGCATGAGAAGAGCTATCGAACTTCAGGTTAAGATCGGGAACACCCGCATCGGGCTAGCTCCCTCGGTGCCGGACACTCTTATCTCCTGGACGCTCCGCCGAGTCGCCCTTATCTGTCGCCCCTCGGAGTGCTCCATGTACGAGTTCCGCTCGCAGAACATCGCCGAGGTTGCCCGTATATAGCAAGCTCTCTGGCCGCCATCTCTGGCCAGCTGGCTTCCTTACAGCCTGGACCTTACCGTCCAGCACGCCATCCGCAGCATCCTTCGTGCGGCCAACGGCGACGCGGGGCACGGATGTCCAATGGAACGCTCAGCTCCCAGGATGCGGGGCCGCCAAGGAGCAGATGCGGCCTGTTAACAGCGCAGCCATCGAACCGAGCGCAGCGCATCTTATCACGGCCTCTCTACGCCGTTGGTGGCTTGCTTGGACGCATACGGACCGACCGATGCAGTCAACCGAGTACTAACTATCACGTTCCGCCGTTTAGGTGGCAGCTCGTGCCATGGCTGTGTGGCTGCTGCCGTTGCTGGGTGGTGAACGCGGTGCGCGAGATAAGGAAAAAGAGCTTGCCCCGCCCTCTTTGACAGGCCAGTCAGGCCTTGCACCGGGGCTCAGCCCTGTCGCCGCCAGCCACGACGCACCGTCTTCTTCATCCGCTCGGAGCCTCGCCACGCACGCCTTCCCATGCTAGGTCTCTACGATGATGCTCCTTGACCCCGCTCCCGCGTAAGGCATGCGGACCGCGCGCTCACTTGTCGGCCCGGCCTTCATCTCCAGTCGGAGCTCGCTGCGACCCACAGGCCCACACTACTACGCAAAGGACGGCGGCCATCTCGCAAACGGCAGAGGCCTGGCCCCCACCTACTGCTGTGCTATCGCGGCGCACGCTGTCCCATTTGACTGCCCCGACAAGCTGTACAATCTTTCTCATGAAGAGCTGCACCGAGCCTGACAATTTTCCCAGGGCCGGTCATGATGGCAAGTTGGCAGCTCTCGCCCATGGCCCCGCCTCGCTCGAACCACGATTGCCGGGACGCTTATCCTGCTCCAAGTCATGCCCGGCATTAGGACGCCACACGCAGACTACTCGGCCTTGGCTGTTCCACCGTCTTGAGGCTCGTGCCTCGGCGCCCACATCCTTGACCGCGACGGCAAACCCAGTGCGGACCACCGCCCCGAGCGCCCACGCTGGCTACCTCCTTGCCTCCGACAGATGCAACCAGTCCTCACGGCGGTCGTCCGGTCGCCTCGAGGCCACAGATAGCCACGCGCCTGGCGAGCCGATCTCACGCGAACTTTGACCTCTCCCCTCCGTCTTGTCCATCTTGCACCTGGCACCTCTCTCCTTCCCCCTCTCTCATATCTAACACCTCGCTCTGATCGCCTCGTCCATCCGGACACGTCAAGGTCCTCGCCATTGAAGAGATCGCATCCCCCTGCACCCCGCCGGCGGATCTGTACCGGGCCGCCTTGATTCCAGGGTCACACAGGACTGCCGCTACCGTCCCGGTCCGATCTTCCGCACGGCCCGCTGGCCTGACAAGCGCTAAGGGTCAGCATCCGCAAGCCGCTTCGCCTCGTGGTTGCGCTCGGCAGAGGGACAAGCGCCTACTAGGGGACAGCAAAAGGGCCTAGCACGAGGGATAGTCGTGGTTAGGATAAAAGGAGGGCCGCCACCCGCCCGCGGTCCCCTTGAACGGTCGCCACAAAGCACCGTTCAGAACACCAGAGCATCTTCCGAGAATCATCAAACATGGACAGCGAAGCCAACTCAGCCCTCGACCAATCGCACCTCCGTCCTCTCCTTCTACCCAAGGGCCAGCAACGACACCCATCTTCGCCGACCCGAATCCTTTTTCAAGAGCACGACCGCCGTCAGCGCCGACCCTCGTTTGCCGCCACTTCGTCCACGGTCGTGTCGCCGGCCAGGTCCACCTTTGACGACTCCGCAAGCGTATCAACCAGCGCTACAGCCGTTTCGCCTCCCATTCTCGTCGACGAGTACCGGGACAAGCAGGTCGAGCCTCCGTCGTCCAACATGCTTGGCGACTACCAGGAACATTCGAGCAAGAGGGAGTCGTCGCTGTACCTGCACGCTACCTCGGGCTTTCCCAATCCTCCGCCGCGATCCAACAGCAGGCTGGGCGATGGCGCACCTCCGCACCATCCCGACCGCTCGATGATAAAGCTCGCCAATCGCAGCACGGAAAAGGTTCACGGCAGCGGTCAGCCGCACCTGCTTGACCCGTACCGCCAAATGGAGGGCTTCCGAAGCCGCCTGCGAGGCGAAGAGCTCGTCCTGCGGGCGGAGGAGTACCGTCGTCGTCTGGAGCGCTCACGCTCCCGCGATACGGACCGCCGACTGTCTGGCGAAGCCGCATGGGACGACCAGAGCGCGGTCGACACCCTCGACTGGAGCGCCAACTCTACATCATTGCTGCGGAGCGTCGCGTCGACCGAGACGTACAACACAGACGAGGAAGACTACCGCGACAACGAGGCTCTGAGGACGTCCTCCGACGATCGCACACCCAGGCCGCCGCAGCTATCCCATGCCCCATCCGCGTGGAATCTGCGAGGCAAGCCAGTCCAGCGCAAGCCGAGCCGGACGTCGTTGCAAGCGTCCACAAACGTCAACGCCACCGAATCGTCTCGCGGCACCGGCGGAGATGGCGATGTCGACCTGTCGACTTCAAAGACGATGTCGGACGACTTCGAAGTCTCGGCGCTGAGGAGGGAGGTCGAGCAGCTTCGAATGGCGCTCGTGCAGAAGGCCCTGGCAGAAGGCAATCGCAAGACATCGATCGAGGCGCAGCGTCCGACCGTCTCGGTCGCAAGCAGCCGCGCCGAGCGCGAGAGCAGGATGTCGACCTCGGTCAAGCCGGTCCCCTCTGACCCGCTTCCGCCCGCACCTCGCGTCCACCACCTGGATCTTCGAGACGATGACGGCTGTGCAGCAGTGCCAGCAGCGAGGGACGGCTACGCGACTCAAGGACCGATGAGCCATCCCCGCGATCAAGGGCGGGCTCGACAGTACATCGACCCATACGACGTCCCCGCTCACCATGTCTATAGCTCATCGCCTCCAGACCGGTACACGCAGCAAGAGCTGTATGGCCTGTATGGCCACCGACCCCCGCCACGTCACGACTATGCCGCCATCGATGCGCGCCTGCACCGCACGGCGTCGTCGCAGTATCGCGCTTACGACTCGTCGCGACACCATCAGGGCTACGCGCAGGGAGAGCTTCACCATCACGGCGGCGGCGCCAGAGGCGCTCCGGTCCCCCCGAGCTACATCTCTGCGCCTCCCAGTACGGCATGGCCGGACGAGTCGGTCAGTCAAGTCGGCAGCGAGGATGCGAGGAAGGTCGACGAGCTGGCCAAAAAGGTCGAGGTTCTCGAGGCGCTGCTCCGTGCCGGCAGTGCCCCCCAGTCCAACGACAGGGGTGGCGGCATTTCTCAGTCGATGGACCAGCAGAGGCCGCAACAGCAGCTCCACCGGCAGCAAGGCCCGCAGCAGCGACAGCAGCATGAACCGCAACCTCAGTCGACCCGGATCTCGACCTCGAGCTCGCTCGCTCCGAGCAACGCATCACGCAGCGACGTCTCGGGCGCCACATCGCCCTTTATCTACAACGCGACCGCCTCAGGCCCCGCCGTGTCCAACCTCGATCTTTCTTCCAACTCCCTCGCCGTGCCGCAAGGACAGCAAGGCAAGAAAAAGCTCACCCTCTCGGGCATGTTCAAGCTCTCCAACGCTTCCTCGCCCGGTGAGGGTGCCGCGGAGGGCCCGGGTGTCGTCGAGATGAAGATAAGCACCGTCAGCTGGAGCCGGAAGCGCACCGAGAAGACTCAGGTGCCCAAGGCCAAACTGAGGCAAGGTCCAGGCAGGGGTAGGGTGTACATCGCTCCGGCCAAGACATGAGGCCGTGATCGTCCGCTTTCTCTGGCCTCTGCTTCACTTCATCGCTACCCCATCTGCTCTGCTCTGCCACTCCCTCATCGCCCATCAGCTCACTGTCTTTGTACCGTCACCTTACCCAACTCGATCTCGCCGCAGCGCAGGATCCCGCACACTCGTTTGAATGTCATCATCTCCCTTGATCGCCTCTCTTGTATAGGCCTACTACATCCCTCACTCGCGCCCGTCCATCTTGGCGAGCCTGGCCCTGATTTCGACATACTCCTGATGCTGCGCATACTCTGCCTCGTCGCGAGCAGGCCGGTTGGGCGCCTCGCCGGGCGCCCAGCCACCTTCGGGCTTGCCGTCGACGTAGCGCCGACCCGCCCATCCCGCGGAGTCGCGCGTCGTCCAGCCAATCTGCGTGGCATCGGCGGGGGTGGCTGCCGTAGTCGCCGCCGGAGCCGCGCCTGCGTCCCCGTTGGGTCGCACCGACGACAGCAGTCCTTCCATCGATGCGCGGTAGGCCTCGTCCAGACCCTCCCTGACGATGTAGCCCTTGGCGCCGAGCCACCTGTCCACCCTGGCTTGATCCCTCCGCTTCAATTCTTGCTGCGCTTCCGCATCCGTCGTCCACGGCGAGTCATCCGAAACGGTGCACTCGGCGGCGTCGTCCGAGATCCGCACGTCGCCCTCGCCGGCGAGAGAAAGGACGGCCCAGCCAATGACCATCATGCCCGGCGGCCTCTGTTCGCCGCTCCTCTCGAGCGCATCGGCGATCCCGGCCAACGTGGACGCCACCATGCGCTGGTCCGACGAGCTAGCTCGCTCAATGATGGCGATGGGCGTGTGCGGCGGGAAAGCCGGGCCGTCGCGATCGCCGATGCTGTCCTCCTCGCCCGCCGCCGCCGCCGCAGCGCTGACGGCGGCAGCAGCCGTGTGGCCGAGCAAGCTGTTGCCCGTTAGGGTCTGCACCACCGCCTTGAGCCTCGCCACGCCCATCAGGACGATGAGGGTGCGCCCGCGCTCGTAGCCGGGCAGTCGCACCTTTTTGCCTCCGCGCCCGACTCCCGTGCAGAGCACCAGGCTGTCGGCCGCCCCGCGCTGTGTCACGGGAATGCCGAGCATGAGCGGCGCGGCCAGGGCGCTGCTGATGCCGGGCACAACGGTGCACTCGATGCCCGCCCGTCGAAAGGCGAGCACCTCTTCACCACCCCTGCCGTAGACGAACGGATCGCCCTGCTTGAGGCGGACGACCGTCTTGCCTTCTTCGATGGCCGCCTTGAGGGCCATGGCGATCAGCTCCGACTGGGCACCCTCGGCGTTGCCCGGAAACTTTTTGGCGATCTCCAGAGGCGTCGATGACGGAATCAGACGGAGGATCGAGGCCGGCACCAGCTTGTCGCTCAGGATCAGGTGTGTGTCCGGCGACGAGAGCAGGCGGTGTGCAAGCACCGTTAGAAGGCCGGGGTGGCCCGTGCCAGAACCGAGGAGGTAGATGTGGCCCTTCTTCTGGCGTACGGGTGCCGGTGGGCGGATGACGAGCGAGTGCTGGGACCGTGCGCGAGCCTGTCTTTCTGGAGAAGGAGCGCGAGACGTGGCTCGACCGCGCTCGGTCCGATCCTCGTCCGCCTGCGAGGCTGGCGCGTCGCCGTCGTTTGACGATTGGGCGACGTCGCCTGGCTGGGCCTTGGGGGCACCGGCGGCTGGCTGCTCCCCTGCGTACGTGCTGAGGACGCCCTTCATCTGCTCTTCTTTGAGACCGCCAAGGTATTCAATCGGCCAGTACTCGCTGATCTGCGCCACCCAGCGCATCCGACGCTTAGTCCGCTCGATTGCCTCTTCCCTCTGCCTTTCTGAGGCGGCGTGCTTGGCGGCCGAAGCTCCAAGCGCCGCCTTGAGGCTGATGCCGGCCTTGTCCATCGGATTTTTGGGCGTCAGCTGCGGCACCGGACTGTTGAGCGGCGTGGTGTCGAAGCTGAGGTCCTCCTCTTCGACATCCTTGTAGGCTCCAGAGGCGGTGCGCTCCCTCGGCTTCTTTGCCCTCCTGGCTTTCGAAGAGCTCGCCTCGGCCGCCTCGCCTTGGGCCGACTGGTCCTGGTCCTCCTGCTTCGCCATATCCCGCATCCTGCCGACCTTTTCGACCGCGTCGCCGACATTGCGCGGCAAGGCGCTGACCAGCTCCCTCCTGATCCGGCCCGCGAGTCGACAGCCGCGGCCGTTGGTGGTGACGGCAATCTGCAGTGGAGATGAGCTCGGCACCGCGCCGTCGATGCAGGGGAAGCGGTGACAGGCCGGGAAGCTGAAGTCGCACAGATCGGGCTTGTCGGCCACATTGATGGGGATCCGTCGCCTCCGGCAGAGTTTGGTGATGATGGCGGCTCGGTCGTAGGCGGTCGAAGCGGCCACATCGGCGGCGGCGGCGTCCGCAACATGACCCTCGACGGGGGTACGCTTGGCAGCGTCCCCAGAATGGAGAGTGTCGGTGATGCAAACGATGAAGATGGAGTTTGCCTCGCCCTCGTCGAGTTCGTCGAGTAGCTGCTCCCAGCTGCGTCGTATTGCCTCTGCCTGGGTCGTTGTCGTCGACGTCGACGTCGACGTCGACATCGCCGCTGAGGCGGACTGGTATCGTATCGTCTTGAAGGTCACCATGTTCTGTTGGACCCGATAGCGGATCTCCGGACACACGTCGCCCGACGCGAGTGGGTCCTGGGCATCGGCAGCGTCATCCTGGACGGAAACGACGACGGGTCTAATGCCAGCTTCGAGGCAGGCGAAGCACCTCGAGGCGGCCAGCTTGCCCGTGCCTAGGACGATGGCGACCTTGCCGGTGGGCGGGCGGTGCGAGAGTAGGAGGCTGGCGGTGGATACCGGCGGTGGGAAGGGGGAGGGGTCAGAGGCGTGCGAGGTAGGGTTCGTGGGCATGGCGGCGGTGGTGGCGGACGTGGAAGTATCGAAGTGCATGCTGCATCCGGCTGGGATGAGGGGTGTCGGTGATGGTGGGGTTGGTGATGGTGGTGGTGGTCGAAAGGTCCAGTGCCAGAGGGGCCGAGCTCAGGTCAGCCAGCCTTCAGACGAGGTCCTCGAAGTGGACCGGAAGAAAGCGGCACGCTCGTCGGATGCCTGCTGCGATAACGTCTTATCTTAATCCCCGCTCGCTTGCGCCCGTCCCACGCGACCCAGTCGTCCTCGTCGGATTTATCACCAGCTCGCACGCAACGCTGGTCAGCCAACAGCGCCTTCCGGCAAGCAGAGGGACCGCTCGACAAGGCCAGATCAAAAGTGGAGTTGCAGAGGGGTGAAGGGCCAGCGAGCAAGCCAAAGCGGCTGCGTTGGCTCAGACATGCAGGGGTACAAATACAAGGACAAGGAAGGAAAGTAGCGGGCCGCAAGGCGAGAGGGAGGCATGGAGCACGACGCTCAAGCGGCCGCCAAACGGCAGCATACGTCGATCCATCAAGCATGTTGAGGCGATGCTCTTCCATCGCACGGGTGGGTGTGAGCGTCCGGCGGGGCCGATGAGCCATCAACATCTGGCTGGCGGCCAAGGGCAAAGAAGAGTCTCATCTTGGCCAGCGAGGCGGGCCTCGAAAGTTATCTGACGGTGGTATGAGTGGCGGCTTCAGATCTTGTATCCCAGGCTGGCCATGCACTCGCGGTGCTTGCGCACGAGCTCCTCGCACTTTCTCGCCGACTCGCCGTCCTCCTCGACGCTATGTCCGAACTTGAAGAAGCAGTCATCCCGTGCTGCCTTGGTCTCGGGGCAGGCGCAGCATCTGCAGGCATGTATCGAAAAGCATCACAATGCTCCATATGTACATGTCAGCGAGGTTCCCAAGGAAAGTACACGCAGCCTAGGCGGTGGCGTGGCACATCCGGCTACTCACGGCTTGATGCCCTTGGGGTTGAGCTCGGTGACAAACTTGTTGGCCGTCTCGACGTTGGGCTCGATGGCGGTAGGCATGGCGGCGGGTCCAATCGACAAGAGAGGGTGAGATGTGTGTGTGCGTTGACGATCAAGAGGCCGGATGATAGTACTGAAGGACGAGAGCGATGCTGGTTGTCGCGAGAGAAGGTGGTGCCGAGGCCAGGGTCGGTTTGACAAAGCAGGCAGCGGCGAGCACGCCTTCGCCTTCTCCGGCCGGTGGCGCGGAGCAAACCCATTCGGCCTCCACGCCGGCCTGGTCCGGAGCGGCCGATGCCCTTTTTTTGCCCGGCTGGCTTCCGACTTCCGAAGGCGCCGGCTTCTTTTTCGGCAGAAGCGCAAGCGCCGCCACGTACGCACGATCAGCCGAGGACGTTGGCCGCCCTGCTCCATCCTACGGCATCGGCCCGACCCGACCTACCACCAACCCACCGCCCATCCCACCCCTCCGTTGCCCTGAACTGGCCATTATACTATATTGCTGAGGCCCTCTGTTTCAGACCGACACGACCTCCTCGCTGGCGACATTCTTCGGAGACTCTCCGGCTGCGCCTTTTTTGAGGGAGACCAAAGGGAGCCCCCCGCCTCTTCTCTTCGCCCGTCCATGCCGTTGGCCTCCGCTTTCCGACTCAGCACTTCCGCCTGTCGCTCTCCCGCTGCTACGCTGCTGCGCTCGTCAGGCGCACTCCTCTTCCACTGCGCTCGATCTTCCCCCGTCGGAGTCGCTGCCGCTCGCCCGCTCTCGCTCAGCGCCAGGAAGCCCCCCACCCTAGCCGCAGCCACCTCCGCCTCGTCTGCTCAGAAGCAGCACTCCAGCCACCCTCTCCCTCCCCATAGACAAGGTCTGGCAACCATGGCACTCCCAGCCCGCTACACCACCGGCAAGCCTGGCGCAGCAGCAGCCGCCACCCTGCCTTTCTCCAAGGACCAGGAACCCCCGGCGAGCCTGGGCAACTTTGACCTCATCGCCCGCGTCGACCTCGACTATGCACCCGGCATGTTCGTAGAGAAGTGGCAGTCGAGGGTCACCGGCCTCACGGTGGCCTGGGCCAGCTTCCAGTCGCCCCTCCTCAACTGCTACATGACCTTTGCCACCGAAATCTTTGAGGACACGGGTGTACCCCACACCCTCGAGCACCTCATCTTCCTCGGATCGGAGCAGTACCCCTACAAGGGCGTCCTCGACACGCTGGCCAACCGCGCATTCGCCAGCGGCACCAACGCCTGGACCGCCAACGACCACACCGCCTACACCCTCACCACCGCCGGCTCCGACGGCTTCCTCCGCATGCTCCCCGTCTACCTCGACCACGCCTTTTTCCCCACCCTCACCGACGCAGGCTTCACCACCGAGGTCTATCACATCAACGGCCAGGGCGAGGATGCCGGCGTCGTCTTCTCCGAGATGCAGGGCCGCGAAAACTCGAGCGGAGACCTGATGGAGCTCAAGACCCAGAGGATGCTCTACTCAAAGTCGTCGGCCTACCGCAGCGAGACCGGCGGCCTCATGTCGGCGCTGCGCGTGCTGACCATCGACGACATTCGCAAGTACCACGGCAAGTACTACGCGCCCCACAACGCCGCGCTCGTCGTCTGCGGTCCGCTCGAGAGGGAGAAGCTGCTGGAGACGCTCAACAGCGTCGAGGAGCGCCTCAAGCAGCACGGCGAGGCCCACGGCGTCGCCGGCCCCCGCGGCTGGAAGCGACCCTTTGTCGAGACGCCGAGCGCCGCAGTGCCCAAGATTGACGGCTCCAAGCTCGAACAGCCGGGCGTCGACCCCGCCGACCCGCCGGCCAAGGGGTCGCAGCCGGACTCCAAGCGGCGCAGGGCGTTCATCGACTTTCCCGAGCACGACGAGAGCGTCGGAGAGGTCGAGGTCACCTGGATGGGACCCAAGTACAACGACTGGCTCGAAAAGGAGGCCGTCCAGCTTCTCGGTACCTACCTCTCCGACTCGCCGGTCAGCGCCATCCAGAAGGAGTTTGTCGAGCGCGACGATCCGCTCTTCACCGACGTCTACATCAGCAGCACCGAAAAGGCGGGCGCCGACACCCTGTACGCCTACTTCTCTTCGGTCCCGTCCGAGCACCTCGACGAGGTCGACGACAAGGTCGTCGCGCTGCTCGCCAAGGTGGCCGACGAGGGCATCGACATGGACCGGATGAGGATGATCATCAAGCGCGACAGTCTCAAGCTCCTCAGCAGCCTCGAGACCAAGCCCGCCGACGGCTTCTCGGACCTCATCATCATGGACTTCCTCTACGGCTCCAAGGATGGCAAGGATCTCCACGCCGCCAACGACGACATGACGCGCTACGACACCCTGGCCGGCTGGACGTCGCAGCAATGGGTCGAGGTGCTGCGCAAGTACTTCGTCGACAACCCGCGCCTCGTCGTCGTCGGCCGCCCCTCGGCGCCGCTGGTGGACAAGCTCAAAGCCGACACCAAGGCGCTCGAGGAGAAGCGACGCACGGAGCTGGGCGAAGACGGCCTCAAGAAGCTGGCCGACAAGCTCGAGGCCGCCAAGAAGGAAAACGACCGCGAGATCCCCGACGAGCTGCTCAAGAGCTTCAAGATCCCCAGCGTCGACAGCATCCAGTGGATCCCTGTCGGCTCGGCGCGCAACGAGCCGGTGGCCAAGGACCAGGAGGCGTCAAAGGCCGCCGTGATGGCGGCCGACCTCGATCGCAAGGTGCAGGCGCACGTCGATGCCGACGGCGAGACGCTGCCCTTTTTTGTGCAGTTCGACCACGTCGACTCGAGCTTTGTCACCATCAGCGTGCTCGTGTCTACCAGCGACGTGCCCGCCGAGCTGCGCTCCCATCTCCACCTCTACCTCTCGGTCATGTTCTCGCTGCCCGTCACCTGCCAGGACGGCAGCCAGCGCTCGATGACCTACGAGGAGGTCGTCAAGGGCCTCGACGAGGACACGCTCGAGTACAGCGTTGCGCTCGGCGTCGGCACGGGCTTCCAGGAGCTCGTCTGCGCCGAGATCAAGGTGGAGAAGGCCAACTACGAAAAGGCCATCGCCTGGTACCGCGACCTGATCTGGGGAAGCCAATTCGCCGTCGACCGTCTCAAGGTGGGCACGAGCAAGATCGTCCAGAGCCTGCCAGAGCAGAAGCGCGACGGCCGCACCATCTCGTGGGGCCTGGCGCGCAGCCTGCAGCACGACCCGAAGCGGTCGACGCTGCTCAACAACTCGCTTCTGACCCTGATTAGCGCCATGCCCAAGCTGGCCGAGGCGCTCAACGCCACGCCAGACAAGGTCGTCGACGACTTTGAGACGATCCGCAGGACCATTATGCGGCCCGAGAACCTGCGCATCTCGGTGGCGGGCAACGTGCTGGACCTCGACGAGCCGAGGAGCGCCTGGACCAAACACTTTGTGCGGCCCGAGTGGCAGACGGCGGCGCCGACCCCGATCCCGTGGGCCAAAGACGTGCTGAGCGAGCTGGGCAGGGACCCCAAGAAGCGCGGCCTCATCACGGCGCTGCCCTCGATCGAGTCGTCGTACTCGGTCTTCTCCGCCAAGGGCATCTCGCACTACCTGCACGCCGACAACCCGGCGCTGGTGGTGACCATCGCCGTGCTCAACGCCATGGAGTCGTTCCTGTGGCGATTTATCCGCGGCGCCGGACTGGCCTATGGCGCGTCGATCCGCTCCGACCCCGAGTCGCAGCTGATCCATTTCAGCCTGTACCGCTCGCCCGACTCGGCCAAGGCGTTCCTCGAGGCGAAAAAGGTCATCGAGGCGCTGGCCGAGGGCAGCATGAAGATCGACGAGACCACCCTCGAGAGCGCCAAGAGCTCGCTCCACTTTAGCGTCGCCGACAGCGAGGGCACCGTCGGGCAGGCGGCCACCGAGAGCTTTGTCGACAGCGTCGTCAAGATGAGCGGCAAGAACCGCGGCAGGAAGCTGCTCAGCGACATGAGCGTGAGTGCGCGTGCTTGCGGCGCAGCGTCGCCCCCCCGAAACCCAGTGTGCATCCCCGACTGACTTGCCCTCCCCCCTCCCAATCCCCTCTGACCCGCAAACCCGAACCATACAGGCCGTCACGATCGAGCAGGTACAGCAGTCGCTACAGACCTACATCCTGCCCATCTTTGACCCGGCCCGCTCGATTGCCGCCGTCGTGGCGCCGCCGTCCAAGGTCGACGAGATTGAGGCGCAGCTGAAGCGGGTCGGCTACGACATGGAGCGTGTCGAGCTCGATCTCGGCAAGGACGACGACAGCGACGAGGCGAGCAGCGGCAGCGGCAGCGAGGACGACGAGAGCGGCAGCGAGAGCGAGGGCGAGGATGAGCGGGGCGCCATGAGGTAGACGATCACTGTGTAGCTTAGTCTCGTCGGCGTGGGTTCCGACACATCTGAACCACCTGCCTGAGCTCAGCGTCGTGTGCGCCTCCTGCGTTACGACATCGGGGGCGCACGATATCAGATGCAGACGATGTTTCGAGATGCCAGGACTGGGGTTTCGAATTTCAGGCCTATCAGGATCATTGAGCGCGGTCGCCGACGATGCCACGCTCAGATGGCGCAAAGCGCGATGGTCGAGATGGTGGTGGCGGCAATGACGGCGTAACCGGAAGCGTAGACGCCCTTGAGGTTGAGGCCTGGCACGAGGATCCGTAGGTGTTCGCAGAAGGGAGTGTGAAGGGCGGGGCTTCAGTTCAGTCTTCAAATCCAGGTCGTCCGCCCAGGTGAAGGAGAGAGGACGGGCGGGATAGGCCGACTCACAGTAGCCGTAGTCCCAGGCAAGGTGGCGCAGGCCGTTGAAGTTGTGGTAGTTGAAAGCGGCGGCGAGCGGGACCTTGAGGCCGAGCTTGAGCCAGAAGGGGAGGTGGGCGACAAAGTCGACCATGGATCCCGAGGTGAGGAGCTCGCCGAGGCCGACGTGCGGAGCGGCGACGTAGGCGAGGGCGTAGCCGTACATCACTGAGGGGGCCAGGAAGTGAAGAGGGGAGGATCACGGAGGAGAGAGAGATGGGGGAAAGAGGAAGGAGCGTGATCCGGTCAGTCACACCTTGTCCCCCGCATTGACGGCAGGGCAGAGCGTATCGACGCGACCCGAAGCGGTATCCCCCGCAGCAGCGACGGCGCGGCGCAAACCGCCACCATGGACGGACACTCACGAGCGCTGAGACTGGCGCCGGTGATGCGGTTAGCCACGGAGCCGATCCAGGTGAGCTGGGGCTGGTAGATGGTCATGTGGGGCGAGATGGGGCGGCTGGCGCGGTGCTTGTTGAGCAGCTCGAGGTTCTCGCCCTGCGACATCTTGGCCGTCGAGACGGCGGTGCGCACCGCGCCGATCTGGTTGGCGCGCACCGCCAGGTTCGAGGCGGCGGGCGACGAGCGGAGGAGCAGCCCGACCGATCCGACCGAGGCCGGCTGGGCGGCGCGGAACGACTGCGAGACGAGGCGGTGGGAGAGCGAGAGCGCCTTGCTGGTCTGCATGCTGGGCGACTGTCTGGGGGCTTTGATGGAGCAAGGAGCGGTGGTGGTGGTGGCGGTAGGGCTGGTAGTGTTGATGCCGGTGCGCAGGTGGTGGAGATGACGAAGACGAGGACCAGGCCCAACGACCGAGGCCCCGGTAGCGTGGATCGCGCGCGGAACAGCCGGACCAGGCCGCGGGGAAAATCGGCCCAAGCTGAGGCAGGCCACCAGCCAGCCAGCAGGCCAGGTTCTCGAGGTCTCTGGCCTCCCCGCAGACCCAACCGTGGGTCCAAGCCCCGTCTGAGCAGACAGCCGCCGACCGCCAGCCGATTACAAATGGAAAAATGGCGGCGGCCACTTCTCGCGCGAGAGCGGCGCGGCTAAAAGTCGAAAGCAGCGCACCCTCGGCCTTGTTCATCACGCACACACACACATACACGCTCCGGGACCCAGACTCTCGGACTGCGAGAGGATGCTGTTCGACGAGGATATAGAGAGATACATACAGGTTTCGCCAACATCCACCCGCCCATCATGTCGACGTCCGTTTCCAGGGCGCAAAAGGAATGGCATCGGCAGCGCGATCCGCAATTCAAGAACGGGGACCGATCTTCTGCCAGAGGAGGGGTATGGTTGCGATCCGGGCTCGAGGTGGGGATCGCAAAACTCCGAGGCAGACCGATCCCAGATGTCCACCCGCCTGGGACGAGCGGACCTGTGGAGAAGTGAAGGAGTGGCAACGGCCGGGTCGGGGCAGAGAGCCAGAAACCAGAGGGCGGCGGCGCGAAAGGCGCGTCGCGAGCCTATTTGCGGATCGAGGTGACGGTGCCGTGGATCGAGGCGGCGCGCTTGGCGCGGTCCTGGTCGTTTGCCAGCTTGCGGCTGCGCAGCTCCTCGATGTGGGCCTTTGTCGTCTCGTAGCTCTGGATCATGTCCTGGTGGTGCTTCTTCTTGAGTTCCGTCTTCTGCTTGGCCTTTTCGAGGTCCGAGGCGTACTTTTCGTACTCGGCCTGCGCCTTGGCGAGCACCTTTGCGGCCTTGTGCTCCTTGGTCGTCGCCTTTTCCTGCTTCTTGAGCGCCTCGGCCTCTTCGTCGCGCGCGTTGCGCAGCAGCTTCTCGGACGTCGACGCGTCCTTGAGCGCCTTCTTGAGCGCCTTTTCCTCGCTCTTGGCCTCGGTCTTCATCAGCTTGTCGTACTTCTTGATCTCCTTGGACGACATCGCAGCCTGGGCCGGGACGGCGGTGGGCGGAAGTCGCGGCGGCCTCGGTGGTGGGCTGAGCGGCCGCAGGCTGCTGAGCGGGAGCGGCGGCGGCGGGGGCGGCAGCAGCTGCAGTCGCACCACCGGCAGCGCCGGCAGCGGCGGCCGGAGCAACGCCGTCCTGAGTGGGCGCGTCGGAGCGGGTC